AATTAGCTCAAGCATTTCTAGGAGTTGGACCGTCAGAGAATTAATTAAGTCGATAGACCCAATCCCAAAATTCATATTTGAGTCCCAAACTTTAACAAATGGTGGCCAACATTAATTTATTATGTATATTGAATGTTAGTGAAGTCTTTAAAACAAATCATTTTCAGTTATTCACCATTGTTAAACCAAGCCCACCACTCACTTTTCTATCAACTTAAATATTCAGTATTTAAATTCTTTGCTTTATTTTCTCCAGTCTATTCAATAAATAAAATAAATAAGAAATAGGAAATAGTCAAATAGGAGACCAGGCTCAGAGTAGACTTGCCAAACTCAAACACAACAAAAAGACAAAAACTTGTTTTCCAATAGTAACCCAAATATTTGAAAAGAGGATCCGGTGGAGCCAAAAAATGGAGATAGATTCCGCCCCGATTAGTCGGTGCTCCAAGGAGCACCAGAAGATCTACCAGGACTGGTTTTCTTTCGCCGATTCAGGTTTTTTTGGCCTTGATTTCACGTCACTGTTTACCTTTTTTATTTTTATTTTTTGATTTACTGATTGCAAACCTAGAAAATGCAATAACCTTCAGATGGAGACGGCCGACTCACGGGAGCCGACGCCACCAAATTCTTTTCCTTGTCTAATTTGCCTCGTCAAGATCTCAAACTGGTAACCCCCCCCTTTTTTTTCACTTTTTCAATTGGTTTTTTTTAGTAAATATAGTTTGGGGGAGTTCAGACTTTTACTAGGTTTAGGTTATTATGGAGTTAAATTGTTTGGAATTGATGTGGTCCAGTTAGTGCAGAGTGAATGTGCTGATTTCGGACTTTACGTTTATGTGTACATATAATTCATTTTTCCGGAGCCATTGTCGAATTTGCTTGTAAACAGATTCATATTTGTTTGCTCGTTTAATGTTGTTCGAGTGCGGCATATTGGCTTGTTTTATGTTTGTAGGATTTCGAAACTGGATAGAAACCTTGATTACATCTACTTCAATTTATTTTATCTGTCTTCTAATTTTTCGTTTGCTTTTGTTTCGTTTCGACAAGGTCTGGGCAATTGCTGATCCGGTGGAGCCAAAATTACCCGATTCGGAATCTCGAGAATGGAGATTGATTCCGCCCCGATTAGTCGGTGCTCCAAGGAGCACCAGAAGATCTACCAGGGCTGGTTTTCTTTCGCCGATTCAGGTTTTGCCTTGATTTCACGTCACTTTTTTTTTTTTTTTTTTTTTTTGATTTACTGATTGCAAACCTAGAAAATGCAATAATCTTCAGATGGAGACGGCCGATTCACGGGAGCCGACGCCACCAAATTCTTTTCCTTGTCTAATTTGCCTCGTCAAGATCTCAAACTGGTAACCATCCCCCTTTTTTTTTCAACTTGTTCAATTGGTTTTTTAGTAAATATAGTTTGGGGGAGTTCAAAAATTTACTAGGTTTAGGTTATTATGGAGTTCAATTGTTTGGAATAGATGTGGTCCAATTAGTGCAGAGTGAATGTGCTGATTTCGTACTTTACGTTTATGTGTATATCTAAATCATTTTTTTCGGAGCCATTGTCGAATTAGCTTGTAAACAGATTCGTATTTGTTTGCTCGCTTAATTTTGTTCGAGTGCGGCATATTGGCTTGTTTTATGTTTGTAGGATTTCGAAACTGGATAGAAGCCTTGATTACATCTACTTCAATTTATTTTATCTGTCTTCTAATTTTTCGTTTGCTTTTGTTTCGTTTCGACAAGGTCTGGGCAATTGCTGATTCGAAAAGGCAAGGGTTTCTTGGATTTAAAGAATTCATTACAGCAATGCAGGTTTTGCTCGTTTTTTATCTGTTCTGCGAAAATGATCATTATATTATGATGCTTATCTCTGTTTACCGTTTGGCCATGTAGTTAGTTACTTTGGCACAAGCTGGGCATGCCCTTACTAGCGATATTTTGAGCTCTGAAGGTTAGTGCTCGACTATCATATGATTTCGCTTCTTTTATTTTCGATTTCCTAGTTCGATCTAATTACTTTTAGTATGTTCTATTTTATAATTATGATCGTGAAAATGTTTAATTACATTTGTTATTGGCAGTTGACTTTGAAAACTTGCAAACACCGGCTCTGGATGTTCTGGGTGCGCTTTTCACTGTAAGTTCGTTTTCCTAGTTTATACTTCCGTTAGTTTAGATACCAATTAATGGAGCTGTTTTCTTTCTTTTATGCAGAAGAAAAAGCGTTTATCAAATGAACCCGAACAGAATGGTAAGATGGATAACGTTGTTCAAATTCGAAGCTTAGTATCTTGATATTTGAAGCTGACTTTGATATGATTTAGGTAGTCCTCAAGTTCAATCTTCACTTGCAGCTAGCTGGTTTTCTTCTTCAAAATCTGCAAAGAAGGTATTCCGACATTTTTAGTATCTTGCTTTTGCATTTCCGTTTCATCCTTATATAGTGTCTTATGTGGTTAATCAAACTGTTTCAACAGCATATGAGTAGTTCTCTACTGAGCAATTCCAGCAGTTATACATATTAGTGTACGTTCTACTCCAAAATTTCAACCACCCGAGCTTTATTCCGCTCTCGTTTATTTGGGCTTCTCGCCTTAACCCTGAGTTTTGATTGCACTTTCATATTGAACTGTTTCCTTTCCTTTTTGTTTTTTTAATGTATAATCATCAAATCACTTCAAGATTTTATGTCCTATTTAAAGATAATTCGCTTCCAAGTTTTAAATCTCAAATTAATTGTGTTGTATTTACGAAAGTTCACTGTCCTCGCATTCCACTTCCTTTTCTTTACTGAATCTTTTAATTCCTGGAATGATCCGTTGTTATTATTTATTGTATTAGATATCTTTGAGCTCTGTCACTTCGATTGTTGATGGATTAAAGAGGCTGTACATTCAGAAGCTGAAGCCCCTGAAACAACCTATCAGTTTAACGACTTTGTTTCTCCCTCACTGGTAAGTATTCCTTCTTCCGTCAAATCTTTTTTGGTTGCAGTTTTTGCTTCTTTGATATATATAATACTTTAGCTGCTTATGTTTGGGATTGACTTTTTGCAATTACGTATTGTGTGTTGAAAGACCAACAGTGATTTCGATGCTAAACCTATGGTGATGCTACTGGGTCAATATTCAACTGGAAAGACGACATTTATCAAACATTTGCTCAGAACAAGTTATCCAGGTATTTAACAACTCTCGTATTCATCTACCTTCATTTTCTTTGTTTGTAAAATATATCGTTAATTGTTAACCTATTTTGGGTCATAGGTGCTCATATCGGACCAGAGCCCACCACAGACAGATTCGTTGTTGTGATGGTATGTTATTGTTATGATTTATTTATCTATAGTACTAATATTTAATTATTAGAGGTAAGTTAGACATAAATCTATATGGTTCTTCAATCTCGTTTTTTTTTTTAATATATATTTGGGGCAAGATTGTTAGTTGTTTCATTAATTTTTGCTGATATATATTTATTAATTAATGCAGAATGGACCTGATGAGAGAAGTGTTCCAGGGAACACTATCGCCGTTCAAGCAGATATGCCTTTCAGCGGTCTGACAACATTCGGAAGTGCGTTTTTGTCTAAATTCGAGTGTTCACAAATGCCACATCCCGTGAGAGACAAAACTATACCTTTTCATCGTTTTCTTAAAATAGACAAGACAAATTTCTTAACGGCTCATCTTTTTAATTACTTTTGTTTTTGAATGCCTAAAGCTGCTGGAGCATATTACTTTTGTGGACACTCCTGGAGTTTTGTCTGGTGAAAAGCAACGAACACAGAGAAGCTACGATTTCACCGGTGTGACATCATGGTTTGCCTCAAAGTGTGATTTGATCCTCCTTCTTTTCGACCCCCACAAACTTGATATAAGCGATGAATTTAAACGAGTAATTGGATCTTTAAGAGGGCACGATGATAAGATACGTGTGGTTTTGAACAAGGCCGACCAAGTTGATACACAACAAGTACGACTTATTTTTTAGACCTTTTCTTTTAACTCATTTTTCAGCTTTCACAACAAAAACTAAGTGTTCTGTGCTAACTTGATTAATTGCAGCTTATGCGTGTGTATGGAGCTTTGATGTGGTCCCTCGGGAAGGTACTAAATACTCCCGAAGTTAATCGTGTTTATATTGGGTAAGCACTCTGCGATTGCTTTATTTTTGTGATATTATAGTTCACTTTTTATTAGCTCATATCAAAGAGTAAATGTCAAATTTCCATTATGACCTATAGGTCGCTTAGGTTAAATTTTATTTGGTTATCAAGATAGGATTAGCCAAGATAATATTTAATAATAATCTAACAAAAATCCAATTGTTTTGTTGGACCCCTAAAATGCATGAGAACATAATATTTTCGGATCGACCGAGAAGTTATTGTGTTCTCTGATGAATTCGCTAAGGTCTCTCTCCTTCTCGCACACACACACACACACACACACACACTCTCTCTCTCTCTCTCTCTCTCTCTCTCTCACACACAGACACACACACACACACTCTTTCTCTCTCTCATACTCACAAACACTCTTACACACACTCTCTCTCACACACATGTGCGCGCATTAGATTTAAAAAAAGGTATATGTTCTGTCAAACACTAATGAAAATGAGAACAAGTAGTAACTCTCTTTGGGTGAGTCAAAGTATTTAAATTTAAAATATTGGTATATTATTAAATATTTTTCTTTTTCCGGCAAACACATTATTATTCTATAGACTTTTTCGATTTGAAATTCAAAGTAATAAACTTAATATTATTAATTAATCAAATAATTAGCTGTGCTGGTGATGACGAGGTGTACACTTTAGGCCAAATCGAAATGAATTTTGAATTGCAACGAAAACGCGTGTCATCTTAGTCATAATTTCCACCACTAATAATTTGACCAACCCAACTATTTACAACTGTTGATATATAACCTGATGAAATTGATTTTATATTTTATTTTATATATATAATTTTTTGTTGTTTCAGTAACATGAAGTTTGTTTTATTGTGGGAATAAAATAACGAAATAATTGGACGTGTCATGTCGGAGCCGTAATTGCTTGATTCAAATGCGAACAGTACACGTTGCCGTTTGCACATATGTGGTCCCCACCCGCCGACGACTACTAAATGGTAATTGCACTTTTACTCCTTAAATATATAGGTATTTAGACATAATGAACCATCAATTTACATCTTATTTTGGAAAATTGCCAAAAACACATGATTTAAATTTTTTATAACCCAAAAAGTCCCACGAAATATTCCTCTATGTTAAGAATCCCAAAATTTCAATATCAATGATAACATTGCCCGAATGATAAAATTTAAATTTAATCATTTAAAAGTTTGGTATTTTGAATTTGAAATTTCTTAGATTGAATAATTGTTTTAAGGATTTTTATTGAGATACATAGTTAGTAATTATAGTTTTTTGGTATTTTTCCTTTCTTTCTTTTCGGAACTCCACACACATCTTGCACGCACAATTAATTGGTATGCTCCCCTTGCCAACAAGCCAACGGTCATTAGACCAAGCTTGTCACAAATGATTAGCATAGTTTAATTTATATTTTTTGTATGCTAACTATTATACAACAGTGTAGATTTTTCCTTTATAGGTGCACAATTGTCTGCAGATTTCTTCGTTACAAGAAATAAAAAACTAAATAATAATAATTGTAATTTTTCTTATATATTTTAATTTTCATAATATGGTATGATTTTTTTTTTTGGTAAGAATAATATGATACGATTTAATCTATAGTTCTATACCACTAATAAAAATACATTTATTACCAAATCAATCACGACCACTTCACCTTCATAATAAACCACATATAATATAGTATTATTCTTTGGTGCTATCAATCAATGTCACACTTATTTTCAGTCGGATCTGAGGTAGTAGCAGTGTATAAACATACAAAAAAAATTAAATAATACATACCATCATATTTATTACTCCATATTCTATAGTTATTTAATTTAATATTTTAATATTTTTCAAAATTGAAGATTATTATGACACCGGTTTTATGACTTTATCCCTTCCAGAGTAAAAGTGAGGAATAAGATCCGCCACACGGCACAATCCCATTGGTTGTTGAACAGTTTTTAATCATTACAAAAAAAAAAAAAAAAAAGCTGAACAAATATTTCCGTGCTGGATAGTGGATAGTAATTCATATAAAATCGACCATGATATAAGATTTCAATTCAGACCCACAAAAATCATTTCTAATTTCCCTTCCTTAATTCAGCCGAAATCAGGTAAAAGAAAAAGTATAAAAAAATTGATGATCGTAGATTGGTGGCGGCGATGGCGGACGAAGAAACCCTGATCAGCAGCAGTCAGACCAAGAACAGGAGCTTCGCGCGGTGCGCCTCCCACTCACACGACGAGCTCCAGGGATTCCGCACGTGGCTGAAATGGCTCTGCGTCGATCAGTCCACCCACTGGACCGCCTGCCTCTCCTGGTTCGTCTTCTTCGCCCTCGCCATTGTGGTTCCGGCGGTCTCGCATTTCGTCCTCACCTGCGGCGCCGATTGCGACAGCTTCCACAGCAGGCCGTACGACGCCGTCGCGCAGCTCTCCCTCAGCGGCATCGCCGCCTTGTCCTTCATTTGTCTCTCCACCTTCGTCCGGAAGTACGGCCTCCGGCGGTTCCTCTTCTTCGATAAGCTCCGCGATGAGAGCGAGACCGTTAGGAATGGTTACACCCAACAATTCAATGTACGTTTTTTTCATTTCATTTCACTCCCTCTTACTGTTTGTCAAAATGCCAAAGAAGAAAAGGTAAACAAAAAAGGTTAGGATTGTCTTATTGTTAATTCTGACTTTTGTTCTTGATTCCCCAAATTGATGCTCTGTTCAGCAATTCTGTAGACTCATTGCTTAGTCAGTTAGTCTACATAAATTATACTATATCAATTACTATAGAAGATTGATGACATGCAGCACTTGCACAGTAATACCAGTAATCACAGATCTAATGAACAGAGAATTATAGTTGCCGATTTGAAGTCGTGAGTACATTTAAGCATACCGAACCCTCAATCCAATTCCTTTAGCATCAATTGCAATGTTTAGAAACTAGTTCATATTTCTTTATATGCTTGTTACATACAATGAAAGTAGACTATCTTCGTTGCACGTGCAGAGATCACTGAAGATCTTATTCGTATTCGTGCTGCCCTGTTTAGCTGCCGAGAGTGCGTACAAGATATGGTGGTACACATCCGGAGGAACACGAATCCCCTTCTTGGGGAACGCAGTAGTGAGCAACACCGTTGCTTGTGTGCTCGAGCTATGCTCGTGGTTTTACAGATCGATGGTTTTTTTCCTTGTCTGTGTTCTCTTCCGCCTTCTGTGCTATCTCCAGATTCTCCGCATGCAAGATTTTGCACTGGTTTTCCAGGTCAACTCCGATGTTGAAACAGTGTTGAGAGAACACCTCAGAATCAGAAGGCATTTAAGGATCATAAGCCATAGGTACAGAGCTTTCATACTGTGTGCGTTGTTCTTCATCACAGCAAGCCAATTATCGTCTCTTCTTATGACCACACGCCCCAATGCTGATGTCAACCTTTACCACAGCGGAGAACTAGCGGTATATAATCTGTCTTAACATTTTTTTAATGAATATGTTTGTCTTGAGTGGGTAGGGGTAGGAATTGGAATGGAATTTCCAATTTCTGCCGATTTTGAAACAATATTTGTCATTCCGAATTTTTCTGGATCGGAATTCCGTCCGATTTCAAGACTCTTGAGATGTTGATGATTAATAATTTTTCTATTATTATGAACAACAGGTTTGCTCTGTTAGCCTTGTGGCGGGACTATTAATTCTGCTGCGAAGTGCCGCTAGAATCACCCACAAGGCACAGGCTGTGACGTGCCTTGCATCCAAGTGGCACGTCTGTGCCACAATCGATTCGTTCGACACCACCGAGACTGAAACTCCGGTGACTCGAATGGTGGAGGAGCGGATGTTCACTGCAACCTGTTCGGACGGTTCTTTTGATCTGGACGATGTTGGTGATGAAGAAGATGAACTCGATAACTCCAAGTTTGTTCCTATGTATACACACAGCACAATCTCGTTTCAGAAAAGACAAGCATTGGGTAAGAGTTTTATATGCTTCGAAGTGATTTTTCTAAATTGTGTTAGATGCTTGATGTATTATGGATTATTTTTTCTTTTTGCAGTAACGTATTTTGAGAACAATAGAGCTGGAATTACGGTGTACGGGTTCATGCTGGACCGAAGTTCTCTTCACACCATATTTGGGCTCGAGTTATCGCTGGTTTTGTGGCTACTTGGGAAAACCATAGGCATATCTTGAATTAGCAAATAAGGACTTGTTTGTTTGTTTGTCCGAGGTTTTCTTTATCTGATTTTGATGTCTGAAAATCCACCATTGGTTGTGCTTGTGCATGGATCAGCGAAGAAGACGTTGAGCGTGTAGAGAGGAGCAGCAATTTATTTATTATTGCTATTTAGTTTTTGTATATGTTTTCATATTTTTATTTTCGATTTTTTTGGTTCTTGCTTTCTCTTAGAAAGAGTGATGATTACTGATGTATATACATACACTTATACAAGTCTGTACTTTTTTCCCCAGGCATTATACTGGTTCATGTAATGAATCGATAGTACTTGGACAGTACATATAATGTTATTTGAATAATAAAAATTGAATCTTTATACTTAGTCAATCGAAATATCTTTTGTTGGTTGCAAATTGTTTTCAGCCTCTCACATCAAAAAGCTGTTCTAGAGCCCACAATTGAGGACAGGTTGGTGCTACCAAAAAAAAAAAAAACACCATGTCACTTGATTTTTGTCTAGACCAATTCATTTTTACTACTTTTTAAATAATTATGGTGTGCAAGCTTTGACCCGAGTTAAATATGCTCTTGGGCTGTCGTACATAAGTAGATAATAAAGAAGACAATTAGAAATAATGGGAAAGGGAAAGAGATACACAAACAGATATAGTTCCAACACATAGAACTGTTATTGTTTGTAGAACGGTTTAGTTCCCTATTGTTCAGTGTTCAGTTCAGAATCTAAGACGATAGCGACTTCAATTGGAAATCAGTACCAAGCCACAACCATTCAAACCCTAAAACCCTAGATCTACTTCAATGCTCACACTGATCAGTAGATTCACCAACACAACCAGTAAAAAGTGAACACTCTCACACTTTGTAAATTCCAGTATTCTCTCACTAGAGACTCAATCACTCACATAAGAAGGAAATTGAAAGAAGAAAACTCAAACATGCATATAGATAAGTGTTATCTTTGTCTCTTTCTCTAAAGGCATTATAAATAAACACATAATCGACGGTAGGAGACAACAAAGCTGCTCTCAAGTCAAAGTCAACCATGTACGGTGTAGACTCTGTAAAGAGTTGCAAAAAAAAGACATGCTGATAACGGAAGTGTTGTTCATTGATGACGGAGGTGCTGTTCATAGATAGATGGAGAAATGAGGAGAGATAAGATGTGCATTCAAAACTAAGAGTAGAGTTGAGAGGAAATAGTTGAGTATGAGAAAGTGAACATCCACAATTAAACAAAGTAATCTGGATGGTCAAAACAAAAAATGGTCGACTATGGACTGGACTTCAGTTGGCTCGAGCATTTCTAGGAGTTGGACGATCATGAGAATTAATTAAGTCTATAGACCCAATCCCAAAATTCATATTTGAGTCCCAAACTTTAACAAATGGTGGCCAACATTAATTTATTATGTATATTGAATGTTAGTGAAGTCTGTAAAACAAATCATTTTCAGTTATTCACCATTGTTAAACCAAGCCCACCACTCACTTTTCTATCAACTTAAATTCTTTGCTTTATTTTCTCCAGTCTATTCAATAAAATAAATAAGAAATAGGAAATAGTCAAATAGGAGACCAGGCTCAGAGTAGACTTGCCAAACTCAAACACAAAAACGGCGTCGTTCGACGCGTGGTACGTCGGCGAAGGCCCCCCAACAAAAAGACAAAAACTTGTTTTCCCCCGGAATGACAGATAGATAATCCCACCACCCGTATACAGAACAATTAGTAACCCAAATATTTGAAAAGAGGATCCGGTGGAGCCAAAAAATGGAGATAGATTCCGCCCCGATTAGTCGGTGCTCCAAGGAGCACCAGAAGATCTACCAGGACTGGTTTTCTTTCGCCGATTCAGGTTTGATTTCACGTCTTTTTTTTTTTTTTTTTGATTTACTGATTGCAAACCTAGAAAATGCAATAATCTTCAGATGGAGACGGCCGACTCACGGGAGCCGACGCCACCAAATTCTTTTCCTTGTCTAATTTGCCTCGTCAAGATCTCAAACTGGTAACCCCCTTTTTTTTCACTTTTTCAATTGGTTTTTTTTAGTAAATATAGTTTGGGGGAGTTCAGACTTTTACTAGGTTTAGGTTATTATGGAGTTAAATTATTTGGAATAGATGCTGTTCAGTTAGTGCAGAGTGAATGTGCTGATTTCGTAGCCGGTAAGACGGTACTTTACGTTTATGTGTATATCTAATTCATTTTTTTGTAGCCATTGTCGAATTAGCTTGTAAACATATTCGTATTTGTTTGCTCGTTTAATGTTGTTCGAGTGCGGCATATTGGCTTGTTTTATGTTTGTAGGATTTCGAAACTGGATAGAAGCCTTGATTACATCTACTTCAATTTACTTTACCTGTCTTCTAATTTTTCGTTTGCTTTTGTTTCGTTTCGACAAGGTCTGGGCAATTGCTGATTCGAAAAGGCAAGGGTTTCTTGGATTTAAAGAATTCATTACAGCAATGCAGGTTCTACTCGTTTCTTATCTGTTCTGCGAAAATGATCAATATATTATGATTCTTATCTCTCTTTACCGTTTGGCCATGTAGTTAGTTTCTTTGGCACAAGCTGGGCATGCCCTTACTAGCGATATTTTGAGCTCTGAAGGTTAGTGCTCGACTATCATATGATTTTGCTTCTTTTATTTTTCGATTGCCTAGCTAGATCTAATTACTTTAGTATGTTCTGTTTTATAATTATGATCGTGAAAATGTTTAATTACATTTATTATTGGCAGTTGACTTTGAAAACTTGCAAACACCGGCTCTGGATGGTCTGGGTGCGCTTCTCACTGTAAGTTCGTTTTCCTAGTTTATACTTCCGTTAGTTTAGATACCAATTAATGGAGCTCTTTTCTTTCTTTTATGCAGAAGAAAAAGCGTTTATCAAATGAACCCGAACAAAATGGTAAGATGGATAACGTTGTTCAAATTCGAAGCTTAGTATCTTGATATTTGAAGCTGACTTTGATATGATTTAGGTAGTCCTCAAGTTCAATCTTCACTTGCAGCTAGCTGGTTTTCTTCTTCAAAATCTGCAAAGAAGGTATTCCGACATTTTTAGTATCTTGCTTTTGCATTTCCGTTTCATCCTTATATAGTGTCTTATGTGGTTAATCAAACTGTTTCAACAGCATATGAGTAGTTCTCTACTGAGCAATTCCAGCAGTTATACATATTAGTGTACGTTCTACTCCAAAATTTCAACCACCCGAGCTTTATTCCGCTCTCGTTTATTTGGGCTTCTCGCCTTAACCCTGAGTTTTGATTGCACTTTCATATTGAGCTGTTTCCTTTCCTTTTTGTTTTTTTAATGTATAATCATCAAATCACTTCAAGATTTTATGTCCTATTTAAAGATAATTCGCTTCCAAGTTTTAGATCTCAAATTAATTGTGTTGTATTTACGAAAGTTCACTGTCCTCGCATTCCACTTCCTTTTCTTTACTGAATCTTTTAATTCCTGGAATGATCCGTTGTTATTATTTATTGTATTAGATATCTCTGAGCTCTGTCACTTCGATTGTTGATGGATTAAAGAGGCTGTACATTCAGAAGCTGAAGCCCCTGGAAACAACCTATCAGTTTAACGACTTTGTTTCTCCCTCACTGGTAAGTATTCCTTCTTCCGTCCAATCCTTTTTGGTTGCAGTTTTTGCTTCTTTGATAGATATAATATTTTAGCTGCTTATGTTTGGGATTGACTTTTTGCAATTACGTATTGTGTGTGTTGAAAGACCAACAGTGATTTCGATGCTAAACCTATGGTGATGCTTCTGGGTCAATATTCAACTGGAAAGACGACATTTATCAAACATTTGCTCAGAACAAGTTATCCAGGTATTTAACAACTCTCGTATTCATCTACCCTCATTTCTTTGTTTGTAAAATATATCGTTAATTGTTAACCTATTTTGGGTCATAGGTGCTCATATCGGACCAGAGCCTACTACAGACAGATTCGTGGTTGTGATGGTATGTTATTGTTATACTTTATTTGTCTATAATACTAATATTTAATTATTAGAGGTAAGTTACACATAAATGTATATGGTTCTTCAATCTCGTTCTTTTTAAATATATATTTGGGGCAAGATTGTTAGTTGTTACATTAATTTTTGCTGATAAATACTAATTAATTAATTAATGCAGAATGGACCTGATGAGAGAAGTGTTCCAGGGAACACTATTGCCGTTCAAGCAGATATGCCTTTCAGCGGTCTGACAACATTCGGAAGTGCGTTTTTGTCTAAATTCGAGTGTTCACAAATGCCACATCCCGTGAGAACAAAACTTAATCTTTCAATTGTTTTCTTAAAATAGACAAGACAAATTTCTTAACGGCTCATTAGTTTAAATTACTTTTGTTTTTGAATGCCTGAAGCTGCTGGAGCATATTACTTTTGTGGACACTCCTGGAGTTTTGTCTGGTGAAAAGCAACGAACACAGAGAAGCTACGATTTCACCGGTGTGACATCATGGTTTGCCTCAAAGTGTGATCTAATCCTCCTTCTTTTCGACCCTCACAAACTTGATATAAGCGATGAATTCAAACGAGTAATTGGATCTTTAAGAGGGCACGATGATAAGATACGTGTGGTTTTGAACAAGGCCGACCAAGTTGATACACAACAAGTACGACTTATTTTTGAGACTTTTTCTTTTAACTCATTTTTCAACTTTCACAACAAAAACTAAGTGTTCTGTGCTAACTTGATTAATTGCAGCTTATGCGTGTGTATGGAGCTTTGATGTGGTCCCTCGGGAAGGTATTAAATACTCCTGAAGTTAATCGTGTTTATATTGGGTAAGCACTCTGCGATTGCTTTATTTTCGTGATTTATTATAGTTGACTTTTTATTAGCTGATATCAAAGAGTAAATTTCAAATTTCCATTATGACCTATAGCTCGCTTAGGTTCAATTTTATTTGGTGGGCCTTAAATATCCTCGTTTGGTTGGTAAGATAATCCATGATGTTTGTATAGTGCAATAACCCACAATTAGGGAAAGACATAGCTCATCGTGGCTTATTTAGTGATTGTGTATTGGACCTCCCTAGTCCAATTACGCCTCGTTTGGTTGCCAAGGTAAGATTAAATAATAATCTAACGAAAATCCAATTGTTTTGTTGGATCTTTTAAAGGTCCAACAAAAAAGCCCCCTAATAGGCATGATAACATAATATTTTTGGGTCGGGAAGTTATTGGGTTTACCAAACATCAAACAAAGTCCAATTATTTAGTTAATCATGGCTAATCTCCCCAAACCAAACAAGGCCTAATTGGACTAGGGGAGATTGCATAATCTTATATCGGAAAGCAAATGAGATATTCTGTAGTTATGATCTATTTTTTGTCTCAACAGTTCATTTAATGACAAGCCTATAAACGAGGCTGCAGCGGGTCCTCTTGGCAGAGAGCTATTTGAGAAAGAACAGGACGATCTTCTCTCCGATCTGAAAGACATTCCTAAAAAGGCCTGTGACCGTCGGGTGAGTATGACATCATCATGGAGTTTTTTTAATTTTTTTTAAATCATGTTTTTTTCATCGGCATAGGGAAAACACGGTCTAATTGTTTAAATTATCTTGAATGTTGTGCAGATAAACGAATTTGTGAAACGTGCTAGGGCTGCTAAGATTCATGCTTATATCATCAGTCATCTGAAGAAGGAGATGCCTGCAATGATGGGCAAAGCTAAGGCACAACAAAAACTCATCGATAACCTCCCTGATGAATTCGCTAAGGTCTCTCTCCTTCTCGCACACACACACACACTCTCTCTCTCTCTCTCTCTCTCTCTCTCTCTCTCTCTCTCTCTCTCTCTCTCTCTCTCTCACACACACAGAGACATGCAACACACATACACTCTCTCTCTCACGCGCACACACACGTACACGCACACACACACACGACACACACATACACTCTCTCACGCACACACACACACACACACTCTCTCTCTCTCCCACACACACACACACGGAGGATTTATTCGATATTCGGTGCATTTCAGGTTCAGAGGGAGCACCATCTGCCAGCTGGGGATTTCCCGAATGTAGAACACTTTAGGGAGGTATTGAGTGGGTACAGTTTAGACAGGTTTGAGAAGCTTAAACCTAAAATGATACAATCTGTTGACGACATGCTTGGCTACGACATCCCTGATCTCTTGAAGAATTTCCGTAATCCCTACGATTAAAACTAAAAATCGGATGAATGCTTTCTTGATAGCTCCTACTCTTTTTTTTTTTTTTTTCCTTTCGATTTGAATGATGTTATAGTCAGAAAGGACATACGCAACATAGGCTGCGGATTATATATATGTATGTACAAGTTCTTGTGGTCAATAATTATATATGTTTGTCTTCTGTTGTAATGGTTGGAAAACTTCACATATGTGATGAAAATGTGGGCTGATCAAATTCTTTAGTATTGTCAATTAAATTTACAAGCAGTTGTGATGAAGTGTGATATTTTATGAAATAAATAAATTATTTTATATGCATTGTAAAGAAGTGCTGATAGGCTTAATTAAATGTAATTCTTAAATCATTCCACCAAGCACAAAATCATTAAAAAGTAATAATAAAAAGAAAATGGGCTGATAGGCTTTATTTATACTGTTAAAATGTATTTTAAATCATTCCACCAAGCAAAATCATTAAAAAAAAAAAAAAGAAAAAGAGAAAAAGGAAATTGGAGGGCTCAGATGCGCATATTTCGTCTGAAAGATCAGAACAGAGTGGGTAACCCAATATCCACTTGGAGCGCACAATTAATCATCACAGCACAACCAACAATTTAAATTGCACCAGCCGGGAATCGAAGCCGGGTCTGTACCGTGGCAGGGTACTATTCTACCACTAGACCACTGGTGCTGATGTTAACAGAGATTGGATTTAAGTATTTAACTAATAAGACGTAAAATAATTTTTGTTGGGTTAGGTATTTAATCACTTAAACTAATAGTCTTGATTGGATTTGGACTGTTGGACATCAATTTTTCCGGGCGGAAGAGAGGCTCCATATTTGCCAACTATTTCACTGTGCTGAAGCTGCTTTCAAATTTGCAATTATTCGGTAGTCGTCTTCGTACCTGATTGAGAAAGTTCTTGTAAGAGAAAGGTCTGCGAATCTGTTCTTTTTACATACATGTCAAAAATAAAATCCCAATTCTGCACACCCGCAGCTAAGGTGTTTGATGAAATTCCTCTGTGAATAAAAGTTTCTCTGTTACCTCACTTTTTTTTAACATGGAAGATGGTTTTAAATACTTGATTGCATTTATACGGTCTACGAATCACTGCCAAATTCTTGATTTTTTTCTACCATTTTAGGTTCTGTGTGATGGTTTAATTGCAGTTTCGGAAATGCAGATTATTGGGATAGAGTTCTGGAAAAATGCTGCCTCAGGGGTTGAAAAAGGCTGTAACAGACAACCCTAAGAAAGTTGCTGAGCTGATCGACCTTGTGAATCTGCCGACAGTACTCCGAGATTTCATGGGCCAGTCTCAGAGTTCCCAGCTCAATTGCTTCAGGCGGGTTTGGTCTTATGTCAAGGAGAACAATCTTCAGGTTATTTAATTGCCTTTTTTGTTTGTTTTGTTGAGTAATCATTTTATCTCTTGAACTAATTGCGTTTCGTTTATTAATAAATAGTGCTTCTTCATCCTTCAATTGTTATCGCTTTGTCGTAAAGTTTGAGTTGGGGTGAACGGACATTTTCTTTGTGGGATTTACAGGTGTAGTAGTGTCTTGAAAGTTGTTTGCTCTCCGAATAATTTGCTTTTGCTACAACCTAAATCTTTATCGGCAAGAATACGTTGAAGCTAACTCACTATTGAGTATTGCCTGATCGAGACATAAAGTCTTTGAAATACTATGTCCACTAAAAATATACACTTTTTCGCACCATAGCATATGAAATTAGCAGACTTTTCTGTGTAGGGTGGTTGTGAATATAGGCGTGACCTTTTGGAATTAATTTTTGAACTGTTTTTAGCGTTTTTCTTGATTATTTCTTGATTATCGTGTATTTTTTTTGGTCTTCTTTTGTAGGATCCAGTCAATAAGAATGTCGTAAATTGTGATCAAAAGCTGATGAGCATCCTCTTGGGAAAGTCTAGGGTTGATCTTACCGAACTTCCTACGTTGGTTAAGTTGCACTTTCCAAAGCAGCGCAAATGATTTGCTCAAAGCTCGGTAAAGTTTTTATCTATCCCATCTGATTGATACTCATGTTATGAGTAGTTTGAAACACTTAGTTACTTCTTTAACTGCTCTTCAAAGTTTTCACTTCTGCATAATCCTATTAGATAATGCTTTGCAGACTGTTTAGTTATGCTGTGAAATTCTTCATGAATAGTAGTTCCTATATATATTGATATTTATAGGTCTCTGTTTTTCAGTTGAGTAAGTTGTGTTACTAGATGTTAAATTATTCCAGACATCTTCTGTTATTTTTTTCCAATGGGGTAATAAACTGAATCAGGCTGCAAACAAGAGGATTATACACCTCCTAATCTTTGAGCATACTGGTCTGTTGACACGAAAAAAGTATCAAGAATATTATTTAGTTGGTTCGTTCGACAATCTAAAATTAGTCGTTCTTCACAGCTAAAAAATATAGTTTTATTACAACCTAAACAGACACACATACACATAGACGGATAGACCATTCTCCCCCAGACAGTTTATAGCATGTAATAACAAGAAACTCAGAACTGTATCCTTGATACAACATCCAGGCTAACTGCCTCTGCTCCTTGTATTAATAAATATAAAAAACATCTAATAATGATAATCATGCCTGATAAAAGACTGAATCATAACTTTTAAGAGGAGAGAGTTTTTGCTACTGAAATACTGCTAGAGTAGTTTTGACTGCATAATTTGCGAGTATGCCATTTGTTTTCTCTGTGGGGTGAAACGAATCCCAGAACACATACCTGTCGGCATCAGAACATGTAAATGGATTATGTTGATCACACAAATACCCCATCTCAAATCTTCCGGTCCCACAACATGCAGTTGCTGAATATTCAAAACCTGTCATAAGTAGACAACCTAGTATTCAGGCAAATTTTGTAAGATTTTTATTATTATTATTTTTTTGGTGTGAAACTTACCATAGAAATAAGGGTTTTGAATGATATCGTAAAGAATGGTATACGGACTCGACAGCACCAATTGGAGTCCAGAAAGCTCCTTGTTGAGCGACTCAACTAGTGCCTGCAATTTCTGGTTGAAATTGATAGCCACTCGATTGTATCTATCTATGCAATTTCCTCCGAATGCTAAATTCGTCGTTCTCTCTAGGGGCAAGCATCCCATTGGAGGTAGGCCTGTTAAAGATATTTTCCTTGCTTTTAGCTCGTATATCTGCGTTATGAAATTTCTTGCTATGCCTGCCAAATAATTCTGGTACTCTTCGATGCTGAACTGCGATTGTCTGTGTGGAAGCACATAGTAGTTTTCTAGGAAATCGTTTGTTCCGATACTGATTATGTACAGTGCTTCACTTAGAATTTCCGATGTCTTTTGGTTTCCCAAATATTCTTCTAGCCTGCTTTGATATTCCTTGTAGTACTCCAGTTCCTTCCATAGTGGTATTACAGACTGCATTGGCCAAAATGTATGGTTGGCAAGATTTAAATTGATTAATTTTCCCGATGATTAATATTCGAGCTGATTACTACTATGAAAGAAGAAAAAGAATCTGATCAATTAGATTTTTGTTAAGCTAATTAACATCTAATACTTAATTTTAACAAATTTAATTGTAGATCCTCATAATTTTATATGAAAAATTGAACATGTACTAGCTGAATAAATAGTTATTTGGTAAGGAGTTAGAGTTAGTGGGGGCCCACACCCCCGCCCTAAAATTTAGGTGCTTACAAGAACTTTGGAGGTGATATTGTCATAGCCAGTCCCTGCTGAAGCAAAGCAAACACCTGTAGCGAAATCTTGGATGGTGTAAGATGGATCCAAATAAGCTGGAATATTCTTTTTGAGCCCAAAAGCCTCGGAGATGAAATCTGTCGGGACCCGCCCATTGGAGAATCTTCCGGTGGCTTTGCCGCCATCAAAATCTCGACCGTAAGGCCTGAAATTACTTTTCGCTACCGTCGGAATGAAGTTATTGTTCCCGGAATCTACTGAGGAATCTCCAAATACGATGATTGATGAAACTTTCGCATCGATTTTGATGATTTGGAGGAGGAATTGGGATATAATTAGGATCAAAGAAATCGAAGCTAATGCCATTATCTATGCTCTTTTTTCTCTCCTCTGCTATAAAGCCAATGTGCAATATGAACTAGTTTTCGAAATTAAGAGATATATATAAAAGTTTGTTGGAGTTCTTAACTGTTGTTGGCAATATGCTCCACTTGTCTGATAGGTGTACATACATATATATGAGAGATATGTATATACATATATATATGAGAGAGAATGTGTTAGGAATTATGAATTCTGCTCGAAGATGATGATGAAGGTGTGGAGACAAAGTTATAAATGCATTGTCGTAATATTTGAGTCAATTTACGTAATCCTTTGTTTGTTTGTCTATTAGTTGATATATTGGAACAAGAATATAATCATATTTCAAGATTTTATTACATTTATTATCTGTGCTTTTTGTTGTGTTGAGTATGGAGCAAGTTCCTGGAAAACTGTGTAATAAGAAACTCAGAACCGTATCCTCGATACAACATCTCTGCTAACAACCAGCCTCTGCTGCTTCTACGAATAAATACAAAATAAAAAAATCAAATAATGTAATACTATACATACTTTTTGCTACTGAAATACTGCTAGACTGCTTCTGACTGCATAGTTTGCGAGTATGCCATTCGTTTTCTCTGTGGGGTGAAACGAATCCCAAAACACATACTTGTTTGCGTCGGGACATGTAAATGGATTATATTCATCGCACAAATATCCCATCTCAAATCTTCCGGTCCCACAACATGCTGTTGCTGAATATTCAAAACCTGTCAAGTAGACAACCTTAATATCAAGGCAAATTTGGTAAGGTTTTTTTTTTTTCTTTTTTTTTTTTTTTTTTTTTTCAGTGTGTGTGTGTGTGTGTGTGTTTTTGTGTGTGAAACGTACCGTAGGAATGAGGGTTCTGAATAATATCGTAAAGACCGGCATATGGACTCGAGAGAACCAATTGGAGTCCAGTAAGTTCATTGTTGAGCGACTCGACTAGTGCCTGTAATTTCTGATTGAAACTAATGGCCACTTGATTGTATCTATCTATGCAATTTCCTCCGAATATGAAATTTGTAGTTCTCTCTAGGGGCAAGCAGCCCATTGGAGGTAGTCCCGTTAGCGATATTTTCCGTGCTTTTAGCTCGTAAATTTGTTTTATGAAATTTCGTGCTATACCTGCCAAATAATTCTGGTAGTCTTCGATGCTGAACTGTGATGGTCTGTATGGAAGCAGATAATAGTTTTCCAAGAAATCGTTTGTTCCGATACTGATTATGTACAGTGCTTCACTTAGAATTTCCGATGCCTTTTCGTCGCCCAGATATTCTCTTAGCCTGCTCTGATATTCCTTGAAATATTCCACTTCTCTCCATAGAGGCATTACATTCTACATTTGCAGAATAATAATTAGAGAGAGAGAAAGACTGTATTTTTTTGTGTGTGTGTGTGTGTTTTAGTGTGTGAGAGAGAGAGATAGAGAGATGCTTACAAGAACTTGAGAGGTGAGATTATCGTAGCCGGTGCCAGCCGAAGCGAAGCAAACACCTGTAACAAAATCTTGAATGGTGTAAGATGGATCCAAATAAGCTGGAACATTCTTTTTGAGCCCGAAAGCCTCGGAGATGAAATCCGTTGGGACCCGCCCATTGGAGAATCTTCCGGTGGCTCTGCCGCCATCGAAATCTCGACCGTATGGCCTGAAATTGCTTCTCAGTATTGTCGGAATGTAGTTGTTGTTACCGGAATCCACGGACGAATCTCCAAAAACGATGATCGATGAAACTTTTGCATCGATTTCGAGAAGAAATTGGAATATAATTAGGATGAAAGAAATTGAAGCTAATGTCATTTTCCTTTTCTCCCCTCTGCTGTAAAGCAAGTGTGCAATAAGTATGAAACTAGTTTGTGGACACTAAGAACAGGTATATATATAAAGTTTGTTGGAGTTATTAACTGTGTATGTATATATATATATACACATATATATATATATTTGTATATGTATATAAAAAGCATATATGATGTAGTAGTAATTATGAATTCTGGTGAATGATGATGAGGGTGGGGAGACAAAAGTTATAACTACATTTGTCAAGATATTTAAGGCAATTTACGTAATATTTTGTTTGTCTATTAGTAGATATATTGGAAAATAATATAATAAAATTTCAAGATTTTATTACATTTATTGTGTTGAGTATGGAATAAGTCGACTGTGTAACAATCCCGGGAGGCCGGAGATATATTTTCTTTCCGGTGAGTAATAAACGACTCGACTCGGGTCGGGTGTAGGGATGGTTGTCTCCCTCCCAACAAACTTGTTTAATTTAACTCTCTCTACATTAATACAAAAGCTACAGATTTTATTTTATTTTTTCCCCCTTTTTTTGCTTTCGGTTGCAAAAATTTGTTCACGGGTTAGTTTCTTCTTCTCTTTCTAGTTGAGGTAGTCTTGATATTTTTCTTTAGCGAAACATAAATCGAAGCTCTTCAGAAGAACTGTGTGGTTGGCGGCATGTGATTTTTGTATCTTTTTTCTATTATTGCATTTATTTATTTATTTCTTTTAGGGTAAATTTCACTTTTCCCCATTATACTTTGACCTGATATCACTTTATTCTCTTTCATCGATTTGTCTCTTGTACTTGAATTTTTTTCTCAATGTGGATCTCGTTGTTAGTTGTCAGACATTTAACCTTAACATCGTTTGGTCTAAAGCTCTGAAATCACAAAAACAGCACCCCTCCCAGTTTAAACAATTATTACAATTACAAAAAAAGAAAAAAAATTAGAAAATTCAAGACAACGAGAAAACATAGTCTACAACGACAACCACAATTTATTTTTAATTTATTTTTTAATAATTATTTAGACTGGAAGGGATGGTTTTTTTTTATAATTTTCAGACTTCGATCAAACGGTATTAAAATCAAATGTCTAAAAACTAACGGTGAAGGCCATATTGAGACAATTTTTCAAGTACAGGGGGTCAAATCGACGCAATTGAGAGTAGAAGGAGTAAATTGACATCGAACCAAGTACAAAGGGAAAAGTGAAATTTATCCATTTTTTTATTGACAATGAAATTAACAGTGTGACAAATTCAATTTAGTAAATATGACGAAAGCTCGAACTTGGGTCAAATGACACTGTCTCTTTTACTTCACCAACTAAATCGATGTTGTGTGCATCTCATTATTAAAGATTGCATCTACGGACCACTTAATAAATGTAGGGGTGTTGTGATAATTATTGATGCCCGAGTTGTTTTCGGTACATAAATACTTTTAGAAGCCAACATCCCCAAATAATTAAATTTTTCGTTTACATATGCCTTGATCGATTACGATTGATAAGTTATATTGAATAAATAGTAGAAAGTTAGGTAGATCTATTTTAATTAAATTAAAATGACCATGATTAGTTTTGTAGAGAATGAACTAAAAAGAAGAAAAAAAATATGTTTTATAATTAAAATAATATTTTAATTTTGTTAAGAAAGAAATGTTATAGATGGATCACCTATAATACCAAAGTTTTAAAATCTTAATACATATCAATTTATCATCAAATTAAAAGTCAACGACCACCATTGATGCCTCCCTCCAATTAGGGGCCCAAAACCAGTAACCCCTTCTTCTCTCTTTTTTTTTTTCTTTTTCATTTTTTTTTTAAATTTCTACTTAACTAGCAATGATCATATGTTGTTTTCAGTATCTAACTAATTTGATCTTAATATCAAAGAATTATTATTATTAAATATTAATTACACATTTATCGATCACTTGATGATTGATTATTTGTCTCGTCTATGTGTCGGGTCGGGTCGGGTCAGTTCACTTCTGGGCTCCGACGTTTAAATGGGGTATAACCATAGCAAACGTTGCTGATTTTTCCAAGCCACCTGATACTCTCTCCTATCCTCAACAACTAGGTATTCATTTATGTATTTGTTACAATTATATATATTCAATGAAATTAATTTCATTGAAATTAGACGAATATATAATATACTAGTATATATTTTGATTTGGAAATTCAATGTTTCATTTTCACCAGCTGTTGGTTTGTCTGGACTCATATGGTCTCGCTATAGTACTATCGTTACACCGGTGAGTGAGCGTCGCATAATTAATTATTAATCTCTCATATTACGGAATTCTGATAAAATAGATTTACGTATTTATCGTTTGAAATTTTTGAATCGCAGAAAAACTGGAACCTGTTTAGTGTTAGTCTCGGGATGTCAGCTACCAGAATTTATCAACTTGCACGCAAGGCTCGGTGAGTATTGACATATTGAAATCACAGCTAGGGTTGTTCATGGGTCGGTTTTACCCGACAACCGACCCACTATCGGCCCGACTTTTGTGGCCGATAATTGCCCACCAACCGACTCGCTTTGTTCGGGCCGATAATTTTAACCGACCCATGTTTAGTTGGGTCGGGTATAGTTTTTAATACGAAGAAAAGTCGGTTGGCCGATATTACCCGACCAACCGACTTTTTATTTTTATATATAATATATATTATTTTAACCTTTGACTTTTGAGTGACTACTCACTAAATTATTAGTAAATATTAAAACCCTAATCTTCAATTTCTAAAATGTATCGACCAAAACTAGAAGAGTACAGAACTCTGCATAACAAGCCACCATCTCCGCCGTCCATCTCCGCCGTGGCAAGCCACAACCAGGCTCACCGCCACCATCTCCGCCGTCCATTATAAGCCACCATCTCCGCCGTCCGCCGTGGCAAGCCACAACCAGGCTCACCGCCAGCACCAGTAGGCAACTACTTCCTACAACTCTCCACTTTATTCTCAAGATAGCCCTTTCTAGTTCTATCTATCTTCTAACTTCTACAATCTACACTCTAAAGGGCAAAACTCAAGGTTAGGCAATCTTTTTTTTCTCTAATTAAATTTGGGCAATTCAATATTTTTTCCAATTTGATTTATTTTTTTACATATGAATGAGTATTGATTAGATTTTATGTTTCTCCATACCAATTGTATGAACGGAAAATAAAATTGCATGCATCATTTTATTTTTCCAATTATAAATAATAATCACGTTTTTTACAAATTACAGACTTATAAATTTTGTGTTATGTGATACTGATGTGTGTGTGCGTGTGTTTTGTGTTGTGTCATGTATGTGCAAGAGAGATGAATGATTACTTAATTAATTTATTCAGTTATTACTCATTACTTATTAATTACTTTATAAAACAAATTCTTAAATTTCTAATGCTTTGAATATTTTAAATGGTAGAATGACGAAACGCACCGACACATCGGCCTCTCAAACTGCTAGTGCAAGTGTAACTCAACAAGAACCAACTTTTAAGCCGGGAAAGAAGAAGTCAGAGGTGTGGAAACACTACCACTATAAAATGAATGAAGATGGCTCCTACGTCTTGCCTGTAAAAGCCGTTTGCAACTATTGCAGACTAGAATATCCTTGTAGGTCAAAGAGTTATGGTACAACAAACATGAGATATCATGTTTACAATGCTTGTCTGCAATCTCCAGTTTTGTTGGATCGCAATCAAACTCAGTCGGTGTTGACAAATAGCACCAAAGGCGAGCTTATTCCACTGCACTATGATAAGGATTATGCAAGAAAGAAGTTGATTCAGATGATAATCATAGATGAACTTCCATTTAATATGGTAGAAGGAGCTGGATTTCGAGCTTTTTGTCAGTCACTCAATGCCCAATTTCTAGTGCCTAGTCATCCAACAATTGCTAGAGGTGTCATGAGTTGTTTTCTCGAGGAAAAGGCTAAGCTCAAGAGTATTTTGGGTAGCGGTGTAAGGGTGTCTCTCACTACAGATACTTGGACCTCTATTCAAACTATTAATTACATGGCGATCACTGCACACTTTTTGGATGATGATTGGAATTTGCACAAACGGATCATCTCGTTCAGCCAAATTGCCAACCATAGTGGTGATACCATTTCGAAAGCTTTGGAACAATGTTTATGTGATTGGGGAGTTGTGAAGGTTTTTGCCATCGTGGTGGATAATGCATCGGCCAATACCAAGGCTCTTGATATTTTTAAAGAAAGGCTTGCTCGAAGCAAGGGGCTCGTTTTTCGTGGAACTTATTTGCATGTGAGGTGTTGTTGTCACGTCCTAAATTTAATTGTGCAATCTGGTATGAAAGTATTAAATGAGTCGATTGAAGGCATTAGATTGGCAGTTAAATGGGTAAAAGCATCACCGCAAAGGCTGGAGAAATTTAGGGAATATGCTCGGGATGAAGGCATAGAAGGGCAGCCAATGGTATGCCTAGACGTGTGTACTAGGTGGAATTCCACCTATCTTATGTTAGTACATGCTTTAAAATTTTCGAAGGTTTTTAATATGCTACGTCTTCTAGATTCGGGTTACCAAGACTACTTCAAGGACCACAATAATGCTAGGTGCCCGGATTTTGCGGATTGGGAGAGTGCGAAAGAGTTTGTCTCTTTCTTAAAAGTGTTTTATGAAGCAACTCTCAAGTTAAGTGCTTCTAAAACACCCACGGCTCACTTGGTGTTCAAACAACTATTGAATATCCAAACATTGTTGACTAAGGAGACGGAAAAATCAGCAGATGAGGCATTGCACAAAGTGGCGGCAAGTATGAAAACAAAATTTCAATTCTATTGGGGAAAGTGGGAGAAAGTAAATTATTTTCTGTATCTTGCCGTGGTTCTTGATCCAAGGTACAAGTTACCTTATTTGAGTTTTCAACTCAAGAATATTGGGATGGAAATAGATATGGTACTGAATTTGGAAGCGCAAGTGAAACAAATGCTCCGTGATATGTTTAAAGAGTATGGTTTGACGATGACTAAAAACAATCAATCTAATGTTAACGGGGAAGCTGTTGATGATGATCCCATAGTCGAAGAGAGTGGTAGTAATTCTGGAGACGAAGATGATGTCGATATGTTATATCATCAATCATTGAAGAAGAGTCAAATTGTTGCCTTAAGTGATGAGGTTGATCGATATTTGCATGAACCTTACCTAGAGACCAAGAAGAGCAAGTTCAAGATTTTGCAATATTGGAAGGCCGAGTCATTTAGGTTTCCCATATTGGCAAAAATTGCCAAAGATATATTTGCAATGCCGGTTTCTAGTGTTGCTTCTGAATGTGCATTTAGTTTGGGCTCAAGAGTTGTAGATCCTTTTAGGAGTCGTTTAACACCTAGGACGGTTGAGGCATTGGTTTGCACAAATGATTGGCTCAAGGGTGATGGATTTAGTTACTACAAGGATCCAACCGAAATTGAAATGGAAATTTATTCAACTTTAGAGGAACTTGAAAAAGGTGATAAAATTCTAATACTTGTATATTTTAAATTTATTTTTATTTTTATTTCAACAATTTTCTAATTTTATAATTTGACTTCTAAAATTGTAGAAGCTCTATCAACTCAGAATCTCCAAGAAATGCCTAGTGCACCTCGTTCATCCACCCAAGCTTCAACATCAACCGTCTAAATATGTGGTAAGCCTTGTATCAAATCTTTGAAATATTTGAGATTCTATATGTTTTTTTAGAGTAGTAATGTATGAGTTTTTAACTTAGAAGTTTTTCTCAATTATTTAATGAATATATTGTGTGTGTGGTTTTTTTTTTTTTTTTTTTTTTTTTGTGATAGGTGCTTACTCATTCTTGAAGAATTGAGACATTTTATTGGAGTATTCGACGAAGAGGGGGATTGATTTAACTCAAGATTTATAGTTTATTAGCTTGGGAGTTGTATGATTGTGAAATTTGATTTTGGTATTTGGTATACTGATATTCCTGGATTTGTTTTATATTTTTGTGTTTTGTATTGTTTTATGAATTTGAAATCTGTAATTTGAAACTTGATTTTGGGATCATGGGATATAGTTTACTTGATTTTGGGATGTAGTTTTATAATTGTTAGTGGATGAATTTTAAGGTTAGACAAAAAATCTGATTCTTTTTTTTTTTTTTTTTTTTTTACTGTGGCCGATAATTTGCAACCGAACTATATCGGTAACCGACAAAGTCGGTTGCCAACCGTTACCCGACCCATAATAGTCGGGCCGGTAATGGTTTTACATTTTTGCAATAGTCGGTTGGTCGGGTCGGGCCGATAATCGGCCGATATTCAACCGACCCGACCCATGAACAACCCTAATCACAGCTAATAATGCAATAAAATTTGTAATAAGTAATTATCCGATGTAATAAGTTTTCGATTTCGTTTTTTTTCTCTTTTCATGATTTTATATATGTTGATTTGATTATTTCAGGCATGACTATTATAACTCTTAAGGAAAATGTAGCCCATGGTGAAGACATTGAATAAGCCTCCTAATGTGACACTTGGATGTTTCGGTTTGGTTTTGGTTTCGGTTTCGGTTTCTTATTATGCTGAAAATAAGGGTTAATTGCAACCCATTTGATGTATATTATCATGCATTCCAATTTATTTATTTATTTTTATTTTTTGCAATTAACAAATAATGCCTACAATAATGATTATGGGTGTTAACATATTTGGCTCCATCTTAAACAATTTACTAATAGAATAAATAAAACGCAATAAAATAGAAACTATGATTTTTATTTATTTATTTATTTTTAATTAATTTTGTTTTTGCCTTTTTGGCCTTCCTCCCGGCATAAGTCAAAATCCTTGTAAAACCCTGCCTCGTTTATTCCTCCGCCGGCACCGCCTCCAATTTTTCCGATCGACACCTCCGGTAAATCCCAAATTAACCTAGTTCCCCCACGGAAATGTCGGTGAGCAGAATTACATCTCGTTTATCAACGATCGTGTTAACTCGGAGCTGCAACTCGCCGCTTTTCTCCGGTCGCCATGAAAGCAGATTCGTTTCTTCTGTCAATCAATTTTTCTCCCCCGGCGGGATCCACGATAAGGTGCTCTTCTTCTCTTAATTTGCTTCTTCCCCGAATCAGTTTGATACTCTCGAAGATTTAATTTGATTTCTGGTTCGATTATCTCTCTATTTTTTCAATTACATGATTTAGTTCTGAGTTTCTGCGTAGTGGTTTTTGTTTTTATAATTTTGTGGTTTGCTTTGTTAATTTTATTATAATTATCAGTACCTGAATTAGTAGTATTGAGAAAGACCAGCTCTACTTCCAATTTAGGTTATAGATCAACGGTTTGGATTCTCGTCATTTGCATCACCACCGTCGAATGCCCAATCCGTAAATGAACAAGAAACTCGGACAAATAATGAATCCTTTTCAGCTGTTAAAAAAAGGAGAAGGGGTGCTAAAAGGATTGCATTTTCCGATTCCGATTCTGATGACTCGGATTTGAAGAGCGACCTCTCGAGAGATGGTCTGGTAAAACTTGTGGCGAAGAAGGAACGACTTTTGTTTGCAAAGCAAGAGGAGATTGAAAACATGAAGGATAAAGTCCTGAGGGCGTTTGCGGAAATGGAGAATGTGAAGGAGCGTACTAGGCGAGAATCGGAGAATGCAAAGAAGTTTGCCATTCAGGTTTTGTGTGTGTGTTCTGTTATAGCTTCACTTGTAGTAGGTTTCGTTGGGGTAATTTGTGAGTTTCTTCTTGTTTGAAATACGATGCAGAATTTTGCAAAGTGTCTTTTAGACGTGGCGGATAATTTGAGCAGGGCTTCTTATGCTGCAAAAGAGAGCTTTACGAAAATCGATGTATCTAAAGATACTGGTGGATCTGTTCAACAACTTCAAACGCTACTCGAAGGTGTCGAAATGACTGAAAAACAACTATCGGAGGTGCTATATAGTTTGTGTTCAACATTTTGTTCTCTTATTTTTATTGTCTTATATCCTTGTGTGTGTGTGTGTGTGTGTGTGTGTAATTTCTTTTTTTTTTTTTTTCCGTACATTTGCAGGTATTCAGAAAGTTTGGATTAGAGAAATACGATCCGACAAACGAAGAATTTGATCCAAACCGGCATAATGCCGTTTTCCAAGTTCCAGATGCTTCAAAACCAGCAAACCATGTTGCAGTTGTTCTAAAGGTATATCGAACTAGGTTTTCTTACAACAGTTTCGACATAAATAAATTTCACTTGCGAGTACTGTGTATATTCTGCTAATGTCTCAAGTACACTCGTATCATTGTCATTACACATCAAGATTATAAACAATGACCGAAAATCTTTAATTACCAATACAGGCTGGATATATGCTGCACGACCGAGTCATTAGGCCTGCTGAAGTTGGTGTTACCGTTGCAATGAGTTAGGATATGCTGAACGAGCTTTTTGAGGCCTGAAACAATACTGTACATCTATTTACTCTTAATTATTTCGTCGCTAGTTTTTTTAGATGAGAATCACGGTTAAAGAAAAAATCGAGCACGATCAATGAAGCCAAATTTAGGTGAAAAGTGAAATGTAAATTTGTTCCAGAGACATCCACTTATCGCTTTGCTTAATATATGTGCATTAGAGCATATAACAAGAACCGATAAAGCTTTCGTTTTTGCTCTTTTTTCACGTTTCGAAATAGAGCTAATTTATGCTAACATAACCAACACTACTCTCTCTCTCCTAGTTCTAACTCATCATTTTCCTTCCCTCATTGGACTCAGTTCTCTTTTCGTCTCGAGGATAGAAGCCATGAAACGGAGCTTTGTTTGAATCAGCTTGATCTTCATTAGGTTCCTGTGAGATCCATATATATATGCATATATGTATGTCAATGTATTTTTAATCTGCGGGAATACTAAAGAATGGCAAGAGAGGCTAACCAGAGCTTCTTCTTCTTCTTCTTCTTCTCCATTGCTAGGTTTTTCAGACAGAGTTATAGCATCACTTTCACTTACAATGTCCGAACCATTATTTGTCTGAGTTGTTGTTGTTGTTATGCCTGTTCTTCTACCTCCATTGCTATCTTTCTCCAGGGTTTTCATATTTCCCCTTTCTATTGGAACTATCTGCAATTTGAACAATCACTTCAAAATCAATTTCTGTCATCAATCAACATCGGAGACCTAAAGTTTGGTACCATTTACCGGAGCGTATCGGAAGCGGCGGCGTGGGGGCTCATCAGCGGTGGAGGAGGAGAGTGGGGTCCAGCGGCAGAGGAGCAGCGGAGGAGGGTTCTTCCGGTTATTGTTACCGCCGCCGCCGCTGCCATTGGTTTGAGAGGTGACCCACTGCTTCTTCCACCTTCTCACCGGACCGTTGAACACCGGCGCCGACGGGCTCGCCGCGTACCGCGCCGACGCCCGACTCTGCCTCGAACCCACCCCTTCCATATATATATTTTTTTGTCGTTTTCTTCTTCTTCTTCTTCTTCTTCTTCTTCTTCAGCTGCAGTTGAAAGGAATTAATGAAAGCAGTGGTGGCGAAGCTGCAGAGTTTACAGGCAGATGTCGCTTTCCGGTTGATGCTTTTGAGGTTTTCACCCCAACTGCGTACGGTTTGCTTTTTAGTACTCTCTTCTATGTAATTAATTAGCGCCGAAAAAGATTAATTATTTTACCCCAACTTTAATTACGCTGTTTAGAAACTCTAAACAACATCTCCGTACTGAGTATTTACACATTTGCCACTTCCAAAACGTCGTCGTTTTCGGTTTCTTTCTTTCTTTTTTTTTTTCTATTTGTTGAAAATATCTTATCTTCTGCTTCATTTTGGTAAATTTTCAATCGCAGGTGTGCGTGCTCCAAGAATTTTCCCAACAGTTCAACAATGGAGGCATGCTGTACTGCAACACCCCAAACGTTCTTCCGTTTCAACCCCGCTCAAATTCCCGCTTCACCTTCCTCTGTTTTTCTTAAACCCTCAAGGAATATCCAGCACCAATCCCCATTACTAGCTGCACGTGCGTCTTCCCGCCAATTCCTTCATCCCCGACCCGATTGCCGGAAAACAATTTCGACCCGGTTCGCAGCATCCGCAGCCCCCACCACCGCCGATAGCGCCGCCATTGATAAACTCCCTGCTGACATTCAAGTTACAGAAACACCAGAGCCCAATTCAAGAGTCGGTTTTTTTTTCTCTCTCTCCTCTCCCCATTTCTGAATTTCACTCATCGGAATTCTTGAATTCTTCGATGGATTAACTGTTTCAATTCCCATTTCCTTGCAGGTGAGGTTGAGTGTGGAGGTTCCTGCATTAGTATGCGATGATTGCTACAAAAGAGTCATCAGCGAGTTCATGAAGCAAGCCAAGGTACTCATCGGTTTCATCTTAACTTATAGTGCTGATCCTTTAAATTTATCGGTCCGTATATTCGTTTTATCCATGAATTTTGTGTTATCATGTTTAACTGATGGTGAAAGATGATTCTTGTATGGGAAGATGTTATGAGTTCTTTTAACCCCCTTCAACTTGGAATTAACCATTCTATACCCTTAAACCGAACGTAGTATATTTATTGTCAACTTTGTCGTACTATTTTTCCAGGTACCTGGATTTCGTCCCGGGAAGAATGTTCCAGAGAATATTCTTATTAGTTACGTTGGGAAAGATGCTGTTAAGAAAGCCACAATCGAATCTATCTTGAAGAGAACACTTCCTCATGCCATGTCATCAGTGAGCTTCCGTTAACTACTCCATTTTTTATCATTGATCGTTGATATGAACATGTTTGTAAACTATATTTAATGCGTGTTGTTTTGTAGGTAAGCGGGAGAGCTTTAGAAGATTCGGTCCGTATTTCAACTAAGTTTCCGGAAATGGAGAGCACTTATTCTTCTATGAAATCTTTGAGGTTTGTTGAGCATTCATCCTTTTTTCCTTGGATTTTTTTTTGTCAATTAGAGAAAAATATTGAACTTTTCGACTCCTTAATTGCTTTTTTCAACACACAATTTAGATACGATGTGATTGTTGATGTGGCACCTGAAGTGAAATGGAATCCTGAAGGCGGATACAAGAATTTGAAAATTGTTGTCGAAATTGATAAAGAAATTGACGCTCAAACAGCAGCTGAGCATGAACTAAGGCGTCGTCACAAGGCACTTGGTGCACTTAGAATTGTGACTGAAAGAGGACTTGAGGTAAACATATAAAATCGTGCTCCAATGATTGTAATTTAATAGATGAATTTTTTATTTATATTCTAAATAATTTTAATTTGTTTAAATTGGAAAATTTATGAAGGTAGGAGATGTTGCAATTCTTGATATATCGGCTACGACGATTGAGCAAGATGAATCGGCTGCTCAAGCCATTCCTTCTGCTGAGAGTAAAGGTTTGTTTCATTGTACACTTGTGCATTGTCATTACGATTTAGGAGGGCGGAATTGGAACGGAATTTACGAGTTACGCCGATTACGATTCGAATGTATTAGATTCCGATTTCCTATCCGATTTTAATTTCCAAAAATGTGCACTTATAATGCCATTGTTATTATGTATTTTATATTTTAGGTGACTAAAAAATTGGAAATTCCGAATTCCGCTGATTCCGTTCAGAAAGTTCCCGGTTTTGGAACAAGTTTTTTCCAATTTCCAAAATTCTATTTTCCGGTTTTTCCAAATTAATCGGATTTTTTTTCGAAAGTGCTAATTCCAATCTGATCCGTCCGATTTCTGCTCCTAACAGTCGTATCTTTTTTTTTCTTAAATCTTTCTGTTTTTGTTTTTTCAGGGTTTCAGTTTGACACAGAAGATGGGGATAAAGTCCTACCAGATTTTCTGAACTCGATAACTGGAATAAAACGTGGTGAAAGTAAGTCATTTCCATACGTATTTCCCGATTCATGGGAACAAGAAAATCTTCGTGGACTCCGTGCTCAATTTACCGTGAGTTTTTTTTTTCCTAATTCAAAAGAAAACCACAGTACACATTAAGTTGAAAAACAAATCGTAATCTTGATACCGAAAATTTTGGTTTGAAGGTTGATTGCAAGGAACTTTTCTACAGAGATCTACCTGAACTGAACGATTCGATCGCTGATAAGATTCTCTCTGGATGCTCCACCATTGAGCAGGCAAGTTTTTTAAACCTGCATTATTAATTATTATTATTCCATTAAAACATAATAATGAATCGTGATTGGTCAATTTCACCTGCTTAACAAACACCTTACTGAAATTGTATTGCAGGTTAAGGAAATATTGCTTGAAAAGTTTCTCGAAGTGGAGCAAACTGCCAAAGATCAAGCTACGGATAATGCTATTCTAGACCAGCTACACAGAGTATTATTCCCTATTTTACGTTTAAAATTTCTTTTTGATGAAATTGCGCCTTTTTTCGTCTTTATTTCATTTCGTATCTTTGCCTTTTCTATTCATGTAGTATTTATGCGTTTTTATTGTCCTCGGTTTTTAGATGGTTGAAGTTGGTATTCCACCATCTTTGTTCGAGGAACAAGGCAGGCAGCTTTATGGAGCACAACTCCTTCAAATTCAGGTCAACATTTTCATGACTTTTTTTTTTTTTTTTTTTTTTTTTTGCATTTTATAATTGCAATTTAATTTTTTCCGTCGAATAATAGACGCTTACTGCATGTTTTTTTTTTCTTTAACTAGGCAAACACGAAACTAAGCGAACAACAATTGGCGTATTTATCTAGCCCCAAGGCAGTAAACGAGTTCCTGCAAAACCAAAGAGAGAATATAACGAGTATTATAAAGCAAAATCTAGCTGTCGGCGACATATACAAACGCGAGAATCTTCAGGTACAATCAGTAAAAATATTCCGATCTTTGAACTTCGATCATGACTGTGTACCAGCTTGTTATTTAACATCTTTACATTGAGATGCAATAATGCATGCAGATATAACTAATTTATATTTTTTTGCAGGTATTAACAGATGAGGTTGTGAAGGAGGTTGAAAATTCGATTACCGAATTTAAACGCCACGACCAAGAATACGACGAGGAGCGGGTCAAAGGACAGGTAACAAACATATGAAAACCCAATTTTATCGATATTCCCAAACGAGGCCTTAAATTTACTGTCTGGTTATTAATTATACAATCGGCATGGTTCAGGTACAAGAGGTACTCGAGGGATCAAAAGTGCTCGAATGGCTTAAAGAACATGCAGCGATTCAGTACATTACCAAGTAAGAGGTAAGAGATCCAATATTAAGAAGATCCGACGGCTGCTTTAAGTCATATCCAATCGTGTGAAGCGAAAATTCTTTCTTTGCCATTTGCTTGAATCGAGCAATTAGAGTTCGGTATATTTTGCTACTGCGGAAGGAAGAGAGATTGAAAAAGGCATTAGTTTTTGTAGCTTTGTAGAACTCGGAATCGAGATTTTGAAATAAATTAATTACAATTTGCATTTACTTCTCTACTTTTGATGACTATTAGTAGCGCCTGAAAAAAAATTTACGGAAAAAGCTAAAAATGTTGGTTCTTTCTTGATTTGAAATATCTAACGGTTACAACCTAAGACAGGGTTTTTTTCTCGAACATCCCCGTGTGAGAGATTAATTTACAAGTTGTTTTCAAGGATAAGCAAAGTGCTGCTCTTTGAATATTTGGCCAAGCATCATGTACAGTCTTTCTTGCTCTTCGAATCCCAGGTTTCTAACTATCTGCAAACCAATATAAATTTCATTAATCATTAATAAATTAATAACAATAAAATTTAGTATGTTTCTCTATATATAACAAGAGTGTTACTTATATATATATATAATATTTGGACAAGAAAATTCACTGACCTGATCCAAGATCATCTCTACTGAGTTAGTCGGAGGAAGAACGAACGATTGAAAATAAATGTAGGCAAATATTGCCATCACCATCTGCACGTATTTTTTTGAAAATAAAAAACATAATGATAAGGATTATATAAAAAATCGAGTATCAATTTCCGCCGTTATAAGTAATTTTCGTAAGACGTTAAAATGTGAGCAGCTTACCTGGCAATCCATCCGATCCGTGAAGCCACCATGGCCTGGAATACTATCACCAAAATCCTGGAAAAATATAATTGTAATTTTACTGAATTACCGAATTAGAAACATTTTAGTGAGGGAATCTTATTTGATAAATGAATAAAATTATCACCTTAATCTTGAAAGCTCTCTTCAGACCGCTAGCGAAGAACCCTCCGAACGGTGCAATAATTGATGCAAATAAACCTAAGCATAAAGCATGCCATTGCACTGGCAACACAGATATTCCCTTCCAAGGGAACTGTAATAAAATAAAATAAATAAAAAATAAAATCATTACAGCAAAAATAATACCCGAAATCTGGAAATTTATTGAAGATATTTTATAGACCAAAAAACTGACCGATTGAGGAAGCCATTTGGGAAACGAATAATACTCGAGCTTGAAAATCGGAGCAGGATCACACCGAAGCCAACCTGTCGATAAATCCTGCATTTACTATTAAGATAATAACTATCCACACGTTTTTCAATGTCACAAATTCGTATGTATAAATCGTTACAATGATAATTACCTTTCTCGGGCACGTCATCCATTGAAACTGACTCAAAAAACTCGCAAGCTGGAAAAAAATATAAATATATAAACGAACAAATAGCAAAATTTAGGACTTGATACTTATAGATAAAAACAATTTAGTAACAACGAAATATTAAATAAGTATAAGAAAAGTTCTCGTAATTTTTTCTTTTATACCAGAAATGCGGATAGTACAGTAGCGAAAGATCCTCCAATAAAGCCCTCCCATGTCTTCTTCGGTGATAGCTTGATTAAAGGCGTTTTGCCGAAGAAAAAGCCGAAAAAATATGCAGCTACATCGTTGATTGCTATAAGAGATGCCGGAAAAATAAACCTGTATATATATAAAAAAAATTAATAGGATTAAGAAAATAATTACAAATAGCAATTTTAGTATTTAGTTTACCAGAAAATTCCTTCGAATATATTAGCAACGGTGAACGAGGACTGCGTGAAGACCACTATAAGTATCATGTGCGTCCATGCGTACTGACCGAATTGGTACGTGTACATCTTCTTCTTCAGCGTGAGAATGAACCACATCATTCCTGTAATTGCGATTTTCACATTTTTATATATACACGAATAATGATGATAAATACGATACATTTTATTAAAATTACCGTAAAAATTCAATATTGCAAAAAAAAAAAAAAAGGAAAAAAAAAATCGAATTCAGACAAACCTGCAATGTATAGAAAGTAACAAATGACCATGTGATACTTGATGAGTCCATTCACGAGTTTGTAGAAAAATTTATCGGAAGTTATAGCGTTGACCAGATGTTGACTGAGAATTCGGCCGTACACGTAAAGCATTGCCGTAAAGAAAAAATACCTGCACACGATATACATACATGATAACATTAAATTATAAGTTTAGAACATAATAAATAAGAGTTTCATTTTCTTACCAATTAATAAGCCAAAACCCCGGAAGGCGTTTATCTTCGTGAACTCGTCTACGTAAATGGAAAAGCTCGGCGGCCATTAATATTTGTATAACAACTACAGTTGCGCATATATACAAATGGCCCAAGTACACAATGAGTATAATTCCACCAAGCATCCATAGCGACGAATACGTTCTAATCCACATTGATTTATACTTGTTGTGATCATTTACGAGTAAATTGCCCCCGTTTAATTTGTTCGGGTCGGGGAACTCCTGGAATCGACCAAACACGAGAGCTACATTTTCTAAGTAATAAATAATTAAGCATAAAAATAACAAATCTCTATATAAAATGTTGAATTCGTTAGAAGAAGCGGGGGGTGATGGCCCCCCTAGGCTAGTCACCTCTAGGGACTTGGAACGTCGACGGTGACGAAGTCGAGGTGTGGAGGGTAAAGGAGGGCTGTGACCCTTTTGCATTTTATTGAAACTTTTGCTCTTCCCCTCAAATATTGTTGATGACTGCATATGAAAAACTCCTGCACCAATGTATATATTCAATTAAATTATAAAAAAAAAAAGATTATTTATATATAAATAATAATAATACTAACTGAAAGTAGACACAAGTATAATGCATAACATTGAATCGAACATCAATAATTCTTTGCTTTAATTATCATTTTTTTTTTCATTTTATTCAACGGAAACAGCAATTCAACATAAAATTGAATCAAACAACATAACACACACACACACACACACACACACACACACACACACACACACACACACACACACACACACACATATATATATGGGAATTGATGAAGCAAAACACAGAATCTGGATAAAGGAGAAAGGGCATTATATACTCACCTTAATTTTCACAAAAATGAATTCTTGTAACTTGCTTCTGCAATTTACGATCCTGATAAAACTCGCAAAGAACATTTAAAATTCCGGATTAGAAATCAATGTTTTTTTTTTTGTTTTGTTAATATTACAGATTAATCATTTGGAAAAATGACAGAGAAAAATGAAATTCCCAGTTTAATTGCATGTATTCCACAAGTTTACGGCAAAAGCGGGGTTCAAGTTTCTTTGGCGCCTACACATGTTAGCGCCAATGCCACGTGTCCCAATTAACTACCAACCAATCAAAGAAATGTTACATTAACTAATTAGTAATTAAACATGTAGAAATGTACATAGCCTTGTGCCCGCATGGGTGTAGCTCAACTGGTTCTGGATGTGGTAAGTTGGTGCAAGGTCCTTGGATCGAATTCTGGCAGCCGTTGGTTCCTTGTGGGCATCAGGTCCGGGTCCGCTATCTTAACGGGCCGTTGAATTACTATAATTTACATTCCTCCATCGTCGGGCCAAGGGATGGGACTCTGTGCATGTACAATGCCCTGTAATTATATATAGTCAAGACACATTTAACAAATCTGTATGCATTATTTTACCATATTTTCGTTTTTAACTTTTTAAATGGTTTTCTAAACTCTCTCTATTTTTCGTGCACAAAACTCAACATTCAACTCAGAAAAATCTGATATTTAACAATTTTCGAGATGGATTCAAATGATATAGATCAGGAGATATATAATCCACTTGAAAAACGTAAAAATAATTACCTCTAAATTGTTGTCGTCTCGATTCGGATCTCAAAAATTAATTAACTTTAATGTTTTGAGTTTTGAAAAAGTGAATAAAAAGTATCTACAAGTTCTATTTAGTATTTGCACATAGTATCATATTTCATTTAATTAATCAAACATGCATTTAGAAATGTAGCACACTTTTTAATTTGCTAATAATGAGCAAGTGAACCACTCGATTAAATAAACATAAAATAAATAGATAAGAGACAACGTAATTGTACTCGTCATATAAAACAAAATGAAATCTAGTATTCAGATCAACAGATTGACAATTGAGATTCAACGATTAATAATTAATAATTAATAATCGCCATTTTGCGGAATTGGAATGATTAATGGTAATCTAATGGGCTTGGCTTATTACGATAATGCCATCACACCAAACCCCATATATAACTATGACCTCAGCCCATTTTCTCAACTATAGACTATATCCATTTTTATTTTATTTTTAATAAAAAACATAATATTATAAATTCAGAAAAGTCATTTTCTCTTAAATGGATAATGTGTTTCAAACATTTAAATTTTAAATATTAAATTTCCAATTTTATTTTATTTATTTATGGGGCTTTAAGTTAGGAAAAGAGATTAAATTAAGTATTATATAAGTTGATTGGCAATGACAATCTGGCAATGATTGGGACTTTTGCCCCCCAAAATCTTCTTTTGCCCAACAACTCATTAAAATTAATTAATGTATTTAATTAATATATCTCTATCTCTATGCATCCATCATGATGAAGATATAAATATGTTTGTCTTTTCATATTCCCATTTCGCCCTTCCATTCTAACTCAATTTACTTATATGCCCCTCTTCTTCAATCCCTACAATTGAATTTTCAGATGTCTATGAAATGCTGTATCTCGTACCGAATAATTATACACCATAAATCTATACAAATAACAACTAGGAATTTCACCAGTTGTAACAACTGAAAATGTCGAGTAGTAATTACTAATGACGTGTTTAATCATTTTAAGTGAAAATGAGGGGGAAATTTTGGATGAAGCTACAATAATTTCATTAGTGCTATTATTAAGTGAAGGTAGACCTGACCACCGGTTCGGTTCTAACCGGAACCGGAACCGGAACCGGAACCGAACCGGGGTCAACGGTTTTGGAACCGAACCGGAACCGGTTTGACCAGAACCGGAACCGGAACCGTAAAAACCGGTTCGGTTCCGGTTCTTCATTTTTGGAACCGAGAACCGACGGTTAGAACCGTTGGAACCGTTTTTAAAAAAAAATTCAAATAATAAAATATTAATAAAATGTCAGCTTTATTAAAACAATAAATAAAAAATCCTACCCAATTGTCCACTCCAGTCCAAAGTAACGGTCAGTTTAAAAAAAAAAATTTATATTAATATCCACATGGCAATTTGTAAGGGTCAGATTAATTAATTAAAAAAATGAAATGCACCTGGTTTTAAAGTTTTTTAAAGGAGAAAAATATTTTTGAAGTATTAACAAAAATATTGTTGATGTACTGTAAGAAAAACATAACTTTTTTAAAGTCTTTGAAGTATTTTTTTTTTTAAACTATTTTTTAAGTCTTTCTTAAGTAAATATAATATATATTAAAAATAAAAATTGAAGAGCACTGTAAGTCTGTAAGTAACAGAAAGAGTTGTGTATAGTTTCTCAAGTAATTTTAAATAATTTTAGAGAGTTTGTGTATACATTTTATATTTTAATATAAGTATAATTATTCTCAAGTAATTTTAAAATTATAAAAAAATTATAAAAAAAAAAAAAAAGTTATATCAGAACCGGACGGTTCTACGGTTCTAACCGAGAACCGAACCGGAACCGGTTCGGAACCGAACCGCTTGGAACCGGATTTTTTCGGTTCGGTTCCGGTTCCTCCAAAACCGGAACCGGAACCGGCGGTTTGGAACCGGAACCGGAACCGAACCGAACCGTGGTCAGGTCTAAGTGAAGGGTTTGACCAATAGTGGGTACGTGAATAAGCTCTTATTGAATTATTTATGTTAATTCAGTCCCTTTATATAAAATATAAATAGACAAAAGGTTTGATATGCAATTGAATTTATAGAGCTCCGTTCCCTAATTAAATGATTATTTAATGAAGTAAAGCGGCGTATGAATTGATGATTTATTAGTTTTAAAACGCGCTAAATATGGTTCCACGCTTGCAGCCATAAAAGGGCTTAATAATCAATTGAAGTAGTAGCGACTTTCTACAAAAGTTTGTTGCATTTAAATCCCTATATTTAATTATTTGTTTAAAAGAATCCTCTTATCATCAAATTTTGAATATTCATTTTTTAAAACACATTAATAATATTAATTTTATAGTTATAGAATTTTTAATTTCTGCCAGTTCCGATGTAAAGATTTCCGATTTTCAATTTTCTATTAGGATTAGTTTTTCACTGTTAAAAAATATATTTTTTTTTCTTCTAAAGTGCTAATTACGATACGATCTTTCGATCTCCACTCGTATGTATTATTAGAGTTTTTTTAGGAGAAATTTCAAAATCTAAAACTTTTATTGATTTAAAAAATATCTAAATGTAGCTCCATTTTGATCTTTAAAAACCCGCCCCCGACCCATTTGCACCCGCGGGTACCCGCCCCGTTTGACGACCCGTTTTTCCTTTTCTCTTCCATTTAAGATTTTCCTTCTTATTTTGAATATAAAAATCAATTCTAGTTATGTTCCTTTAAAAAAAATAGTTTTTTTTTTCCAATGCATATATATATATATATATATATATATATATATATATATATATATATATATATACTAATTACTAAATACAATTAAAATATAAATGCAAATCAACAATCATTTTATAAATAACATATTACATCATAAATTAAAAGCAATCATCGTTGTCTTTTAACAAGCCATCCACTCACCTATGTTCGACAATACTTAATACAAAATAAATAGAAATAAAATAAATAGAAAAATAATACATACGAGGGTATTATACGTAAATAAAAAAATACGGGTGGTAAACGGGGCGGGTACGGGGGGAATTTTACTATACCCGTACCCGCCCCTTACCCGTTGCGGGTATAAATTGTAAAACCCTTACCCGTCCCAATCCTAAACGGGGCGGGTATTACCCGTCTAAAATAGGACGGGGCGGGGCGGGTACCCGCCGGGTCGGGTAATATTGCCATCCCTAACAAAATTCACACATTTTCAAACTCGATCCAAGATCCACTATTAAATGCTAATATTTTACTAAATTAGTAGCACCACTTTAACTGATATTATAATTTAATAGGACGTGATTAAATATGTAAAATATTATTTTATCCTTCAAACTACATATTAATTTTATTAAATGAAAGCCGAAAGGTCTTATAGACAAGTTCATATAATACTATAATTTAACAAATTTAATACACAATCTAATCCAATGAACTGAACATCTTATTAACTAAACAATTGATTAATGTGTAGAGAATTAATACAATCTTATCTACTCGAAACTATTTCGATATAGTTAACCAAACGAGCAATTATATTGCAATTTGCAAACTATATATTAAATTAAGTAACTGATAATTGATTAGAGACAATGTATTTTAAGACACAGAAAATGAAACAGTCCAAAGCCATATATATAGTTACCGAAACAGACTTGCATTGACGTTGACCGGTCAGACCAACATATTTTCCGTTCCCAGTCCAGTTTCAGGGATCGACCGTTGAACAAGAAGAAGGGCAAACAAGTCTTTTCAAATACTCCCTCAGTGTCATGCCCCGTAAATTACCCCACAATCACGGGCAATAATCCACAGCAAAAATCTTCAGCTTTTTCACGACAGATAATATTATATTATATTGGCCCCACAATTTACCTCCCATAACTTTTTATTTTTATTTTTCTGAATATATAAATCTTTCTTTTGTCCTTTCCTTCCACACTTCTACACTCTCACTGTACTTTCGTCACAGAGAAACTCTCTCTCTCTCTCTCTCTCCAGCAGCGAAGGAAGAACACCTTAGATCTGAGTACGATCCGGTTTCATTTTTCTCTACTGCATCCTGTTGTTTTTTTTTTTTTTTGCTGATAAATTGAGAATGCTTGTTTAGTATTAAGTGATTACTTACTGTTTCTGCAACTGCTTTCTCTGATTCGAGGGAAGTGGTTTTATTGAGAGATCTAGGTTTTTTTGAAGTGGATTTTTACATTTTATGTGTGTTGAATGTAGTTTGTGGTGGTGCTTCTGGATTTACTGTACATTACTCGTATGGAGGATGTTGTTTTTGTTTTTTTTTTTTTTTTTTTTTTTTTAATTTCTGGAGGAATCTTTTTCCGTAGATTCTGTTTTTGCCATATTTTGTGGCGGTGCCTAGGAAAAGCTGACCGGCATTTGTCTCGGTGTAATTAAGTTCCAGAGTGTTGTTTCTGGTTCGGTGAAATTTGGAATTTTCTTCGAAATGCATACCAGTTTGGGATTTTTTGCTGGATCCTTGACTGTTAGGTGAAGGAATTTAAATCGAGGATCTGAAGTGCGTGAAGGTGTTGCTCGTGTTTGAAAATTCTTATAATTTGTTTAAAATTAGGTATAGAAGATTAGAACATATTATAGTAGGCTGTCTTAGGCTTCCTTTAACGGATACTTTACTTAATGCGTCCTTGTTGCTTATGCTGTTCATTAACCATATGCGATTGAGTTCTGTCTGGTAATGCGCTTTGATATTACATTGTCACACGATAAAATGGCATGCCTTGATCTTCACTAGGACTACAAATTCATGTTTGCGTAGTAACATATATTTTCTCAGGTTTGCTTTGACTCATAGTCAAATGGCGGCATTAGACGCTGAAAACCCTGTCGTGGGACAAATTAGCTGTGGATCTTTACTGCAGCAGCTGCAGGCAATCCTCTGGCACCATGACTTCCATTTTTTTATGCTATCTGTTTCAGTCGACCTGAAAGAGTTCCGTTCGTACTGACAGAAATAAATCATTTCCTTGAATGCAGCAAATTTGGGATGAAGTTGGTGAAACTGACGAGGAACGGGACAATATGCTTCTTCAGCTAGAGCAGGAGTGCTTGGATGTTTACAGGAGAAAGGTTGACCTGGCTGTCAAATCTAGAGCACATCTTCTTCAGACATTGGCAGATGCAAGAGTTGAACTCACCAACCTTTTATCAGCTCTTGGAGAGAAGACTTATGTTGGAATTGTAAGCGATAAGTGTTCGAGTATATGTTAAAAGGCTAATATGACATTGTGCAGAAACCTAGAAATGATAATAATCCGAGGAATTAAGTAAAACTAATTTATGCTCAATTAGTAAAATTATGGTATTCTCTTCGGTTTCTTTCGCAGCCCGAGAAGACATCAGGAACAATCAAGGAGCAGCTTTTAGCTATAGCTCCTGCACTGGAAAAACTTTGGAAACAGAAGGAGGAGAGGATAAAAGAGTTTTTTGACGTTCAGTCACAAATACAGAAAATATGTGCAGAGATTGCTGGAACGAGTGACCAGGTCGAGAGCCCAGCAGTAGACGAGACGGATCTATCCATGAAGAAATTGGATGAATTTCATGCCCAGCTCCAAGACCTTCAGAAAGAGAAGGTGAGGACTTTAACTTATCATTTCTCAGTTGTGAGATGCTTGTAGACTGTTTCTGTAAGCACTAAACTCTTCTTGGTTTGTTTTTCATTATTTTCCAGAGTGACAGGTTGCACAAGGTTCTTGAATTTGTCAGCACAGTTCATGATATTTGTGCCGTCCTTGGAATGGATTTCTTCACAACTGTGACAGAAGTGCATCCGAGCCTAAACGATTCGACTGGTGTACAGTCAAAAAGCATCAGCAATGACACACTATCGAGGCTGGTCAAGACTGTATTGGCATTGAAGGAAGACAAGAAGCAGAGATTACAAAAGGTAGCTCAACACTTTTGCCTCGTGTTTTTCTACAAAAACTCGCATCTTTATATGAAAAAGTGTCTTTATACCAAAAAAGTGTACCATACAAAGATTAACTCAAAACTTTTGACTTGTGTCTTTCTACAGCTTCAAGAATTGGCAACTCAGCTAATTGACCTTTGGAATTTGATGGACACCCCCCCAGAAGAACGTAGCCTATTCGATCATTTTACGTGTAATATCTCAGCTTCAGTGGACGAAGTTACAATTCCTGGGGCTCTTGCTTCAGATCTCATTGAGCAGGTAGGTGTTTACTTAAATGTTAAATTTGCATTTCCAAATACAATCATCCAGTGACGGTTCATACTTTTGTAAAGGCTGAAGTGGAAGTTGAGAGACTTGATCAGCTAAAAGCTAGCAGAATGAAGGAAATTGCATTTAAGAAGCAATCTGAGCTCGAGGAGATCTTTGCTCATGCACACGTAGAGATTGACACCGAGGCAGCCCGGGAAAAAATCTTGTCACTCATTGACTCAGGAAATGTGGAACCTACTGAGTTGTTGTCCGACATGGACAATCAGATAGTCAAAGCAAAGGAAGAGGCTCTAAGCAGGAAGGATATATTGGATAAGGTTGAGAAATGGATGTCAGCTTGTGAAGAAGAAAGTTGGCTTGATGACTACAATAGGGTAATTAATTCCTCTCTTTCCTCTTTGACTCAGTCACACATTTGGTTGTGCAAATATAGAGAGCCCTATCTACAGCTATATATATCTTGGCATCTCGTCTTTGGATCTTAGGATTTTCCGTCTCTTTATTAAATTTCAAAGTTAGATGAAGAATTTCACTGGTGAAACAGGACGAGAACAGGTACAATGCTAGCAGAGGTGCACATTTGAATCTGAAGAGAGCAGAAAAGGCACGAGTCCTGGTCAATAAAATTCCAGGTATTTGTCGAACTGTAATGTACTGTCTACCATCACAATTTCTAATATCACGATCCTTTTGCCAAAACGATCTTGCATCCATTCTTTTGAACATAAAAACCAAACTAGTATCATTACATCGGGAAAAATGTGCACCCGTTTCTACTAAAATAGGGAAATTACAATATTACCATTACTAATGAAGAAGAGACAGCTGAATATTGACTAGTAATTTTCTCTTATTCCGGTTCTGTTTATGTATTTGTTGTTATTGGATCTCATTTTTTTCGGTTGCTTTTATTAATCTACTCTCCGGAAAAAAAAAAAGAACTCCCTAAGTTGCGCAGTAAAATTCTGAACTCGTTCTAATGTTGCAGCTCTAGTAGACAGCTTAGTTGCCAAAACCCGTGTTTGGGAGCAAGAGCGTGGCATAACATTCACGTACGATGGAGTTCCCCTACTTGCCATGCTAGACGAGTACGCAATGCTCAGACAGGACAGAGAAGAGGAGAAGAGGAGAATGAGGGTAAAGATATAAAACATTTTCGTCCCATAATCTTATTATTCACTCATTTACTTAAAACACCACTTAACTCAATTTTTTTTTGTTTTTGCTATTTACAGGACCAGAAAAAGTTCCATGAGCAAGTAAATAAAGAGCAAGAATCCATCTTTGGCGCAACGCCAAGCCCGGCCCGACAGCCAAGTACCAAGAAAGTGGTGGGCCCGCGAACCAACGGAGGAGGTGCAAATGGAGCTGCAAGCAGAAGGCTCTCTCTTAATGCCCATCAAAACGGATCGAGATCCATTAATAGAGACGGGAGGAGAGACAGTAGCAGGCCAGCTGCCCCGGTGAACTACGTAGCCATATCGAAAGAGGATGCTGCTTCCCATATTTCCGGGACCGAGCCACTTCCTAGTACACCTTAAAAATTGTTTTTTTTTTTCGGTTTCAAGACCTATGAATTTGTTGTTTAGTTGTTAGTAGAAGGATGTGTACTTGGACTTGTTTGAAGAGCAGAGTGAATTCAGGGTTGCATTAGTGTCTTGTTATTTTGTTATTTTGGGTAAATGATTAGCAGGTACAATTGCTTAATGGTTGCTTAAATCTTAATCATGGGTAAAACGTGTCAGTTGTTTGGAGATTGGGGGTCAAAAGTTAATTACGCTAAAATTTGGTATTCTTACTAGTTAAGTTTCTACATTGCAAAAAAAAAAAAAAAAAACCAATTAAAATTAAAATATTGCAAATTATGAATTAACAAAAGAATTAACTAGTATTTACTATTTAGGTTATTAAAAAAAAATATCAAATCCTAGAGTTTAATTCCAACAAGGAAGAAAATAGTTTGCACTTTAGCACACTTATAAGTTATAAGTTACAATACACCCCTAACAGTAGAGGGGAACGAAAAAAAAAAAAGAGGAACGGAAAATAAAATATTTGTGAACGGCGTCGAGAATCTTACAGGTAAAAAAAAAATCAATTTCGACCTCTGAGATTTTGAACGAGCGCGATAATGGCGACGGAGAATGAACCGGCGAAGCTGCTTCTGCCATACCTTCAGCGAGCCGATGAGTTGCAGAAACACGAACCCCTCGTTTCCTATTACTGTAATCTCTCTCTCTCTCTCTCTCGTTTTCTTCTACTAAATTATTCAATTATACTGCAAAATTGGAAAAGAGGGGATTTCGATAGAATTTCATGATTTTCACAGCTCCTTTTATTTTGATTTTTGTTTTTTAATTCAATAATTTTTGTGATCAGGTCGGCTTTACGCGATGGAACGAGGGTTGAAGATTCCTCAGAGCGATCGTACTAAGACCACCAACGCCCTCCTTGTTTCCCTCATGAAACAGCTTGAAAAGGTTTTTTTTTTTTAATTTCATTATTGTGAGCAACGTTTACTGAGCAATTGAAGTTAATTCTAACTGTTTTTTAAAATCCAGTTATTGTACATAGCATATGTAATGCCTAGATAGAGGATTGTCCACATTTTATGATATGATAACCCTCTGCTGTTTTACCGTGTTCGTGTTTTCATTGCAGGATAAGAAGTCGCTGAAGTTGGGGCCCGATGATCATTTACACGTTGAAGGATTTGCTTCGAATGTCTTTGCAAGGGCAGACAAGCAAGATAGAGCAGGGCGAGCCGATTTGTACGAATACTTCCCTGCACCTTTCTAGTTAGTCATAGCACCCGGCAATTTTTTTCCGTTTCTTGTCATGGAAATTAATGGGATTCATCTTATTTCCTTGCTCAATCGGGTTTACGTATAGTGTCTAATCAACCATTCTATGATATGAGACATATATAAAATTTCAGCTACATTAGGAGTATCTAGTAACAGTTATAGAAATTTAGTAAGTCTTAGATCTATAAAATTTCAGGAGATATCAATCTTTAAATGAACGACTATAAATAACGAGGCCTTTACATATGAACTAGATTAGATATAGGTTTTCCTTCCTTCATAATATTTGGGTACTATGGTGTTTTTGAGAGAATCCATCCTATATTGAAGTATTTTTGCTGGGCAAAAAGTGACTCATGTTGGTGGCATAAAGCAGATGCTTTTTTTCTCGTTTACTGATTCTTCACAGAGCTAGCCCTTCACTAATACCTGAATATTTCGACTGCTTGTCGTTTGAGTCATATATGTGTCAATAGTTATGCGATTTACTGGCTGGAGTTATATATGGATATACGATATATATATATATGGGAAGTTGCATCAACATAGGACAGTATGATGTAGTTTGTTTTTGAGTTTTCTGACTCTCTTTTCTTTTGGAGAATTCAAGTCTCTAAATTTTCAACTTGATTTATGTTTTCTATTTGAGCTAATGTGTGCACACCTGTCTCTCCTGAAGATGGTTTTCGAAACTCACAATCATTTTGGTAGTGTATTACATTCCACGAGCGTAGTCTTTATTTTTCCAATCCTACAATTCAGTACCACATTAGTCATACTTCGTCGGGTGCTTGCAAATTGATGGTAGTTCTAATAAGTATATTGCTTGGCTCTTAATCATTGAGGTGCTAATTATTATCCTTTGCTTGTTGCAGAAATACCGCAAAAACTTTCTATGCTGCAAGCATCTTCTTCGAAATCCTGAATCAGTTTGGTCAACTTCAGCCCGACGTGAGGATTGTTTAATTTACTCACTACTCGACATATTTATTATTTTTCCTTAATTCTTAAATCACCCCTATTACAGCTCGAGGAGAAACAAAAGTACGCGGTATGGAAAGCAGCAGATATAAGGAAGGCTGTAAAAGAAGGGAGAAAGGCTATACCAGGCCCTCCAGGTGGAGACGAAGATCTATCAGTTCTATCAAGTACATCTGGCGGCGAATATGTACATCTTTTACCCTCTAATTTATTCGCTTAAATACTCGTTATAAAAAGATCGATCGTGTATTTTTCTCACAGTTTGGATAACTCTTAGCAGGATCTTGATCCAATGAGAGTCGATCCTGCTGCAAGAACTGCACCACCTTCAGATTCATCACAAACTCAGACGTACGATCAAGAAAATAATAATTTTCCACATCCCACAAATTTATCAAGACAGCCATCGAATATTACACTATCCCCTTCTTCGAGCATTTCTCCGCCGCCTCATTTTCCAGCAGACAATTACCAAACCGACAATAACTTTCATCAACCACCACCACCACCGCCACCACCTCCAACCGAACAATCTATCTACCATCCGCCACATCAGCAACCGCCACCACAGCAGCACTTCCCCCAGCACTACCCCACTCACGATGCTCCATCGTACACGTATCCCAATTTACAGTCTTACCCTAGCTTTACAGAGAGTGGCCTTCCCACAGCTCCATCTCATTACCCGTCTTCTTATTACCAAGGCTCCGATGGTTCTTCTTCTTCCTATGCCAACTCATCGCCTCCGGCGAACACTGCTGTGTACGCTCCAGCTCCTCAGTATAATTCTTCCGGAATGAATGGGAATGTTCCGGAAGCTTCTCCGGTGATGGCGAGGCAGTACGAGTACGACAGCAGTTACCAGCCTCCGCCGGAGAAAATTGCTGAAGCGCACAAGGCTGCTAGGTTTGCGGTTGGGGCGCTCGCGTTTGACGAAGTTTCTGTTGCGGTTGACTTTCTTAAGAAGTCTCTTGAGCTGTTGACCAATCCATCTGCTGCCCACTGAATGTGTAGTTTATGGTTGATACTTTTGATACCAATGTTTGATTTTATTTTTAAATTTTTCTCTTTAAAGGTTGATTGGTTTGCTGTATGTTATGGCTTGTTTGACTCATAAATATTGGTATCAAATATTTTACTGAATATTGGTATCAATTATTTTACTGAATTAGGCTTATTTCTTTTTAAAATTATTGTAGATCGAAATTTGACAGTCTTCCATTAATTTACGTACCCTTGCCAAAAATGAAATTCCAGCAACACTGGAAACCTATCACACTAACAGATTGAATTTCAATTATATATTGCAATGTAAACAGAAGTTTAATGTAAAATAATATAACCATATATGTGTATATATATATATTGCAATGTAAACAGAAGTTTAATATAAAATAATATAACTATATATATATAAACAGGTTGGTTGATCCAGCATCAACTGATTAATTGCTACGTGCAAGTAACAATAATCACGAAACCACGCGTTAGCGGAAGTTTTCTTGATTTCATAATTAACAATTAGTTTATATTTATTTATGCTATAAATAAAGCTCAAAACCCTTCGTAGTTCGTATACAACCATATCTGAATCCCGCGGTGTGTCTTTATTAATTAAACAAATTAATTTATATATCCTTTAAATCGAGAACGATCGACATGCAGCACCTCGTCAAGTTCGTATTCGTGGTTTCAATAATTTCTCTCCTCGTTACCTCCGCAGCTGCTCGAAGAAGCGGCGGTGGAAGCAAAGGAGGTGGAGGTGGTGGTGGATCAAGCGGTGGTAGCGGAAGCGGAGGCAAAGGAGTCGGCGTAGGTGGCGGCAGTAGTGGCGGTGGTGGTGGTGGAGGATCAGGGGGTGGTAGCAGCAGCGGTGGTGGAGGATCAGGGGGTGGTAGCAGCAGCGGTGGCAGAGGTGGATCGAATGACAACGGAAGGAGTAAAAGCGGCAGCCAATCTACATCAATTAATAGGATGCCCCTCTTACTTAATCTTATCATATTTAGCTTATTATGCTTCTCTTCAATATAATTATGCATGTAATTAATTATACATAATAAAAGAACATAAAACTAGTTATCATTACTATTACTTATTAGTAATTCATTGTATTGAAATAAAGATTATAGTTGATTGTTTGGAAATGTTCAAAAAACTTCTGATTTTCAGATTAGTTATTAGCGTTATTTTTTTTTTGGATATAGATTATAGACTTGTGTGAATGAAGTATATATGGTTGTGCGTGTGATTATGTATTGATCTACGATTAACAGTCACTCGTCTATAAATAACTCAGTGCAACATCTAATTAGTTTGCCTTATACGTTTCATATCATTCCGTATGAAGTGCACGGTCGTTATCAAAGTAATTTTCCAGATAGAGAATACTTGTGTACGTACGTACGTACCAACAATGGCGGTGCGAGCTAGGTCCACGGGACAATAAATGTGTTTTTTTTACGATGCGGTTAATTCTTTTTTATATAAAAAAAAGGGACGACTCCACCTCGTCGGAGCCACGTAGTTTTTAGTAAATTCAGACAAAAAAACATCCTAGTAATTTCGGAAGCAAACAAACAAAACATAGATAATATTGCAAACGTTAATATATATTTAATTTGATCTGGTTTATAGAGCAGATTGCCGACGGCTTTTACTATAGATGTTATTTAACTCTAATTGCATATATAACTATATATTATACAATAATTGTAAATTAATAAATTAAAATATAATTTATCTGCATGCATTGCTGATAACTAGAACAATATAATTTCCTCTGTATATTCGTCCAGCTAGTTATAGAGAGAGATGCACGAGTCTTCTAGCTCCTTTATAGTCTCATCACTACTTCCACACATTTTAATTAAATTAAACCTAATATAATTTATTCGACCCTCGATTAAATTCAATTACTACGTTCGTATACACATGCGATTCGATTTGATTCATTCTTGAGAGAGTTGATCAAATGATGAACGGAAACTTGTGCGGCGGTTTCAAGCGTCATCGCCGCATCAAGAGATCGCTGTCTTCAGATCATCAAAACAAAAAACATGATAATTACGGGCCGCCCCAGAATATTACGGCAATAATGATGTCATCATCGTCAGCGATGATGATGAACCCTAGAAGCTTACGGGCCGCCATGAATTTCGACACGGGCCTGCACCACCTTTACACACAAGAAACCAAGGCCGATCACCTAATTAGTTACTACAACAACAACAACGACGACGTAGAAAGTACGCGTCAATTAACTCTAGAGGATTGGATTTTGTCTTCACCAGGTTAGTTTAATTTCAATATAAACTATATATAACTACACGAACAATTAATTATTCATTAATAATTATAAAAAGATTGTATCATTAATTAATAATAATGGAGATCTAATATATATTAATTACTAATTTACGCAGCCCAAATGAAACAATCGACAAGAAGGATTCATCCGTCGTTTGGTGGAGACAACCTCAACGAGGAGCTGTTGCCTAGATCGTCTCGTGATCGTGACGAGGAAGTATCATTATCATATGAATTAGCTGCTGAAAACGGGAATATGGCGACGATGATGAGAAAGAAGAAGGTGCGCTTTAGATCACCGGAAGTGGCCGACGTTTTCGTGTTGCCGCCACGTAATAATATTCATGATTCACCACAGACGGTCGACCGCTCATCGATCTGCGGTGATGGTGAACGGCCTGGATTGCTTTTAACCAATATATAATTAGAACCAAATCAATTATATGTATTACCATTTTGTGATGCATGCTACTTTTAAATTTCAATTTGCTATTATTGATCCTTCACCACATGATTAATCTTTTTCTTTTTTTCTTTTGACAAATTAAAGGAATTAATTTGATGTGCATTGAGTAAACTACTGTTAGAGTGATCAATTTGCTAAATACCCTTTGACACTAATACCCTTTCAAATCAAGACAATTGTATTTTCGCATGTTCACTTCAAAAAAATGACATTTCTTTCACTCTTAATTCCGCCTCTCCCTATACTTGACCGCCGACCGCCTAAATTCCGCCACAACATCATTGAAAAAAAAAGTTATTCTCATCTTATTAAGATGTCTATTTTCAATCCAAAATCTCCATCTGTACTTTTATGCTAATTTTTCCAATTAAGTTGTTTATTTTCAGTATAATTAAAAGCTGTCTATTTTCAGTCTAATTTCTCCAACGATATAATAATACGCATGCTGAAAAACGCAACCCTTCAAAACTTTATTATAAATCAGGGACGACAACAAGTTCCACAATTTAATTAGTACTAATAGCCTGCATGAGAAGACAATTTAACAGTTGATCGATGATGGAAGAAACCATTGTCGGAGAATAAAAAAAGAAAAAAAGTTACCCCTACAAGCTACACCACCATGCACACTAGTCCATCTCAACAGCTTTTTTCATGCATTATATATTATATTGTCGTGGATATGACACAACATAGTCCAAATAATCCAAACATCTTTCTCACTCATCAATAATATTTATACCAAACCAAAGCCTGCACTTAAAAGCAATCATGCTTATGATGGAGAAGATCAAGAATATAATGATTTATAAAGTAGCTAGTGGTTGGTTTTCTACAACCCTAATTTTCCATTTTAACTAATCATAACTACTTTTAATAATTAATTGAAAAAAAAGAAGATACATTGGTACATAACTCTCTTGAGGTTTGGTTTCTGTCGTGTAGCTCATTTCGTACTAGAGAAGCCTATGTGTGAACAAGGATTCATTTTACTCAGAAACTATAGTTTGGGGCTCCGATCCGTCCGGCAAATGAGAAAGTTGATTGGAATTCCTTTTTTTTTTTATGTGTTGGACTCGCACTGAATACGTAACAAGAAAAATTCTCTAAAGCAACAGTTAATTAGTAACGGAAGAAGTATTTACTTATATAAAAGCCGAAAACTAACTTCCATACATTAGTTTTATATCAAAGGTCAATAACATAATATATATATAGCACAAATAAAATACAAAGAGAAAGTGAAAAGATCACATAGTAATTAACAAAGAGAAAAATTAAACTAGACATCATCACCTTAATTTTCTAATTAACTAGAGTACGTGTCAACTATAATATATATAATAATATTAATAACTCAAAGAAAGCGAAGCAACAATGTGAAAGAACTGAAGCTGGTCCAGCAGCTCCTTGGCTTGGCTCGTGGCTCGGCTCGCCACGCGGGAGAAGAGCTCATCGCTGAGATCTTCACCTATGTGCGCGTCCACCAGAACGCCGCTGACACTGCGGCAGCTGTTGGCCAGAGCTCGGCCGATCTCAGCCGCGTCTTCTGGGTGGTTGACCACCAGTGGGCTCCCACCCTTGAAAACTTCCAGCTTGTTGATGGCGAATGAGCCGTCGGCTTCAACCACCTCCTTGAAATCTTCCAGGCTCGGCGCGTACACCGGGATATTGAAATTGTCCCGCTTTTCGCTAGTGATTAGCCCCTGCAAATTTTTTAAATATATATATATATATATATATATATATATATATATATATATATATATTCGGATTAATTTATTAAAATTGAAATTAAATGTTTTTGATATAAAAAAAATCGGATTTTTAATGAATTTTCAACCCAACGCCACAAGCCCTAATTATTATGTCTTGTTGAAAAAATCTTTGACATGATGACATCATATCTATCACATGTGTTGGCTCTAGAGTTATTAAAGACATTCTTAATTAAGTCTAAGTGAAAAAAATCAAGATGCTACACTCAATGAAATATATCGGTCCGGGTAATCTTGCATCATTGATTTTACATATACACATCGATGTGTGCGTGTGCTTAATTATTGAGTAGTTATTTGTATATGTAGATCAACGGTGATTACCCAGTATACTTCATCAGATGTAACGTATCGTAGACCAAAATCGATAATATACATATATCATTGGAGAAATTAGTTGTCCGTTTCCAAAAAATAATTCAAAATCTCTCTAAGGTATTTCCTACTTGATAATAAATATAATAATAATAATAAATAGGAGTACCTCCTGGACAAGGTCATCCCAAGCATCCTGAAAGTGGGTCCCAAAGAGAAGGCCAGCCCCACCTTGGTCGGTGGGGTCCACACAAGTCCGGCCCAAGCAAACCAAAAACATGGATCCACCTGGCTTCATCTCATTGGATCTTGATCTCAAGAATCCTGCCAGATCACTCTGGAATTGCTTCTTGTATGCAATCGCTGCGCTCTCATTTGCACCGTGGATGAATATCTTCCCCTTGTTGTACGCCGTTGATCTCTTGTCTAACACCACTTCAGGAACCTATATAAATATTCAATTATATATTTATTTAAATAATTAAATTGTTTAAATCTAGTTGGATAACAAATTTTGGTAATGACACGTGGATGCCTCTAATTGGTTAAAATTATAACTAAAAATATAAGGGTTCAAATTTAGACCAAATAGTCAGTTTTAATAGGAAAATCGGATGGCATAGAATGATTGGCTAACATGTGGATAGTCTAAATAAAAATATAATTATGATTCTAATAATTAGAAGAAAAAAGAAAAGAAAAAGAAAACTCACTAGACCCCATAGCCTTAAAAATTAGCACATGTCAGTAAATTAGTGGAATCCGATTTATATTAAATATCGGCTGATCCGCTTAAAATTTAATCTCAAAATATAAATAACCTGCGATAGCCAGTGCAAAGAAAAGGCAGAGTAGAACACGTCAACGGACTTCGCCGGAAAAAGGCGGCGGTAGAAGGAGCCGGGAACTCCGGCGACGAAGTAAGAGCGGTGGCTGTCAGAGGCGAGGCACTCCTCCATGCTGGAGCCGCCGTAGGGAGGGAGGAGCTGGAAGAGGGTGTTGAAGTCGTTGGAGGGAAGATCGGAGAAGAAGGCGGAGAACTCCGGCGGAGAGTCGAACCCCGCCGCCTCGTAGCGCTTGGTCATGTGCTTGATGATGACGTCAACCATGTGGATGGTGTTGCTCCCGCAGGAGCAGCCCAAGTCCGCCACCACGAAGTTGGCGGGGGAGTACTCCGGCGGAGAGCTCAGCCGCACGCCGTCGAGGGTTTCTGTCAGAAGATGGAGCATCGACCGAGCATGCTGCGCCTGAGAATTAAATTAAGCACGTGAATAAATACATACAGAGCAATTAATATATATTTAAAAGAATAAAATAATGAAAGAGAAGAAAATAAATGAAACCTGGGCCTGAGAGTTGTTAACGTAGCTGGATTCATCTTTGCCGCCTTTCATGCTCAGCATTCTTTCAAGCTTCATCGGAGCCATTTTTTTATACGTATTTTAAACTGTATATATCTCTGTGTGTGTGTATGTATAATCGTACGTACGTACACTATATGTATATGTTGGAGATATATATATTAACTGATGAGTGGAAGTGAGGAAGAAAGGTGGGTGGCTGGAGTGCCATTTATAGAGATCCGAAGAAGCTACTACCTCTATCTACACTACATACATAAAGTAGGCTTATAGGATTTATTTAATTTTAATTATATATACGTATATACATAATTAATTAGTTAATTAGGAGTGTTAAGATATATTGATGTTAAGATATTGATACCAATACTTATGGGATACGATTAGGTATTAATATATATGGCTACTATAATTGTAGGATTTGATCAGCAAGTAATTTAAGGATTTGATTTGATTGTTATTAGCTTTTCGTTGTTCAGTTTTATTCTCTTGTGTATAAATACTCATACCTCTATTGCGAAGAATATACACAAAATATTATACTATGTTCGTTGTTCATTAGTTTTAACAAGGAGCATGAATATTATTATGAACTAATTAATAACGGTGTATCTTTAATTAGGTGGATTTGAACAGTAGATTTACATATAATTACACGTAAAATTGTGTGTGTCTGTGCTTAGTGGACAGTTATTTAATTAAGTATATGGTTCAAATGCACTTAATGTAAATAACCATGTGTAGCATCTAATTGCTCGTATATCATATACGTGTGTGTGTGTGTGTATATATATATATATATATATATATATATATATATATATATATATATATATATATATATATATATATGTGGTAAGACATAATAGGATAATTAATTAATTATGGTAGAAGATGGTAATTAAGTTTTTTTTTTTTTTTTTTAAAAAGAAGAAGAAGAAGATGTAGGTAGCTAGTAATGGAGGGTCACATGCAATTAGATATATAGTTGATCAAGAAAGCAGGGCCAAGATTGACGCCGGAATTAATTCTATGTTTGTTTAATTAATTAATCTCTACGTAATTTCAATTTATAATCTTCATTTTCAGGCAATTAAGTATTGAAGATTTCAATATATGTAATCCAATAGTAGCAATGGATTCAAGAATCAGGTAAATCAAGTCCCTTAATATTGGCCGGACTAATAGTTCTTGAGATTACTCATCAATATACTACTTAGCACGACAACTCCGACTTCTTATTATATCAGCATTTTGGACATCCGAGGACATCTGTCGGACGTTTTATGTGCCATTGTGCAATTTCAGAAAAATTAATAACATGTTTACTTCCCTAATTATTTATATGATTTAATAATCAGTTGCAAATTGATGGTTAATAATAATATATATTGTGAATATATTTGTATGGAAATATATAAAAAGAAGTTATACACAAAATTCCTCTATCTCTATTTTTGGATAATGTCATTTCCTGTGTTTGTGCTACATAGATAAAATTAGTTTTTGCTTAGAGAGAAACAAGAAGAAGTAAATGAGATTAGCATTTTTAATGTTCTTTTGAAGATGTTGTAAAAGGAGTGTCGGTGGGTCCGGACTTTACGACTTTTGGGTCCTAATTTTGGTCAACAAATCAACTACCAACCGAAAAAACCGATATTTTGATATTAAAATGATGATTAAGATACTAATCACATGCTAATCTAGCTAGCATTCTTAACCATGTCTTAATTCGGAAAGAGAATCATTAATTAATTAATTAGTTATAGTCCTTTGTTGAAGGGGAATACAATACGTATTATATTGGACATGCCTCATGACTCATTTATTTATAAATGGCCACTAATCATGGTATACTTATTTTCACAACTTTATTTATTTTATTGTATTTTTTTTTATTTTTTTTCGTGCTTGCACGTAAATGAAGTTATATATGTGTATCGGGTAAATCTCGCTTTAATGCACAAATTAATCACAAGAGAGGCATAATAAGCTCATGTCGGACTAGATTAAAAGTGTTGATTCGGAGATCGAACTGAAGTCGTTATATTAAATATGAATAAATTTGTAATAGAATGCAAATTAAGAAAGTAAATAAATAATATAATATTAGGGATGTATGGGAATGATTAATTGCGTTAATTGAGTACTTATTGAGTACTGAGCCAAATTAATCCCCGAAATTCAGATTTTGTCGGACCAAACAGCAAGTAACAGGCTTCTCTTTTCTGCTTTATGCTAATTGCTACCTTAATAATACTAAATTAATTAATTTAATAATAATCATGACAAATAAGTAACAATTAACAATAGTGAGCCGCAATAATCGCCCATTCACGTGATACTCTTATCTTATAATCCCTATTGATGGGAATTTTCTAAATTATTTGGATTATTCTTTAGTTTATACTTATTTTATCGTACTAGTTCCACATTTTGAAATAAGAAGATCAAAATATATGTCTCTTGACTTATAAACATCAGATTGTGGTGCATCAGAAACTGCATTTTTGCACAAAATAAGTATAACAATTAAACCATCTACGGAATCTAGAAAATTATGTTAAATTTAACACCATAATGGTGGACGTATAACAATATTTATAGTTGAGGGTGCTGGTTGTAATTATCCAAACACGTTGTTTGTTATATGTTGTTTATTATTATTTTTTTTTTTTTGATTTAGATGAACATAAGTTGGTCAAAAGGATACTAATTCAACTGTTCAAAGTGTTGTAAAGCAAAAACATAATTTTGCTGAAAGTTTATCTGCGCCTGGAAACATTTCAGCCTTGCATACATTTTGTCCTACTGAACCTGCTGACCAGTCAATTTTCTGCTCACAACTTCTAGCGGCGGCAAATTCCACTAATTAATTAAATTATCAACAACAAATATGAAAATTAAATAATAATTATGTATCCAGTAGTGGATTTTATTTTTTGAAAATATTTATAGAATATATAGGAAGTCATTAAAATACATTAGTGATCTATGTTTCATGTGCCTAATTAATGAGGAGGCATAATTAAATTCAATATATAAACAAAATGTAGATTATATAGAAAAATGATTGTGTCCCTGTTGGGCTTATCTGGTTGTGAGTTGTGGCAATCACCGCGTACCTATTACCTAAACTTTTTGTAGCCAATAAATTAAAGCTACATCCATTAGATATTCATTACATTTTCCAATGTGAACATCCATTAATTACTGTTTGCTGTTTGCTGTATGCCAAGGAACACACTTCCACTTATTGTTCAAGTTTTTCAACTCCTTGTTTTGGATTTTTCAGGCACCAACTTATATTTATAATTAAATACAAACAAACATGGGCTATTAATAACAATAACAATAACAATAATAAAGACCGCTTAGATTATAATTTATAACGTCGAGAAGGGATTATCATTTTTTTTATTTTTTTTAATCGTAGATACCCTATCCTATTCGTCTACTACATGTTTCTTGATGTTAGTGCTTAACTTATAAGTGTTTAATAACGGCGTTGATTTTGAGCACGCCTCGGGATCTCTACGCCAACCATATCTAACATGTGCCTACTTAATGCAATGCCCTGCTATATTCATAATTTGAATATTATCCGATGAATTTCACCAAGTGTATTCGACTACGGAAGAAACCTAGAGAGAGAATGAAAATTTTGTACTAGCTAGGCAAATCATGTGCAATGAGTTGGGGATCGAAAAAGTATTGAGCGAACTCGAGCTCAGTAGTGCTCGACCAACTCAGCCACTCTTGAAGTCAAAGCCAACAACATCAGTTAATTTTTTTGTGTTTAACTTGTTGTGGCAAGAGTAGAAGAATGTAATAAGTATAAAAAACAAAAACAAAAGAAACAAGATAGCAGAGAGAGAGAGGCCAAGCTGTAAAATTAGAATGATAACAGTGTGTCCCCTTTTGCATCCCATATTATGGAGAACCAGCCGACACAGTAATTACTCAACCCCATTGTTGTTTTCACACACAGTGGCACCGCTACTATATATATATATACTTTACCTTTACTTTGATGTCGATACACACACACACACACACACACACACACACTTACATGAGTTGAATCACATAATAAAATCTGCAATTATTTATTTTGCTGAATGCTTACTTCATTCAAAAGAAATGCTAATGCCATATATGATTACTGTTTACTACTATGTTATATCAAATCTAGTGACAAGGAGTGTGTACGTGTCAAACGAGTAGCGACACTCTCAACTCTCATTCATCACTCTGAAACCACTGTCTAATAATTTGCCCAGAATCACACCATGGTATATATAAATCAACTAAGATTTAATAATTTAAATGATTGGAGAAAACAGAGAAAAATATTAGTCACATTTACATCCAACAATGAACAAGCATATATATATTTGTGATTAATCTTGAGCATGAGCACCGAAAGGTGTTCGGAAAATGCCCTACTTGTAAAATGCTGCACCTATCAATGAACTGTGATACAAACCTACAATTAGAGGCTACATATTGTACACTCGGGCATCCCTCTTCACCGTCAAGGTCCAAAGCAGGCAGCAACAAACACCTGTTACAGCGGTTGCTCCATGTTACACATTTATACAAGATTAAAACATGCACAGAAAACATCAGTTGGCTTTTATAGTTACCTAATATGCCTGCGCTGCGCCTTTAACAGGAAATATCCCGGAATAGCCCTTTGGCTTCATCGTAAATCCATCTGCCAAAAAAAATATACCGATGAATAGAGATAGATGAAGCTACTGAGCTATAAATCACAGATAAATTCATATTAGTTGCACTGCTCTAGTAGCGTCACGATAAATCTACTAAACCATCAATTTGGCTCCTCATACATTCATTCATTTTTCCGTTAAACAAATCATGGAGTATCGTCTTTAAACTATCATAAAATACGATAGCTGCAGCAGTACGTCATGGCAAACAGTATGCCGGTACAAAATGCAAAGTGGAAACTAAAGAGCATGGCTGACAATGATGACAAATGTAGGTTAATTGCATCATTAAACTATGTCAAGTCGGACTAATAGCCTATTGGTAGTCTCGAGAATAACTACATTCACAAACTTCAGTTACAACTGTAAACAATGGAAAATTTGCCATTCACCAATAATCAGGAAGGATACTAAATGACATTAGATTAAAAAAAATATCGCATAATAACCAGAAAAAGTTAATCATTTTGGAAGAAATGCATTTCAGCATAAACAAATAACTCACTTGCACACATAAATTGGAGGCAAATTATCATTCAATTGTTCCCCTGAATGATTTCGGCTTTCAGTTTCTTCAGCAAATTTTCTTGGAGGAAGGACTTCACAAGGGCTTTCTATCGAGTGAGCCATCACTGCCTTGCCACAAGTAGACTCATAGACCTGCAAATAAACAAGGGTGAAATGTGTTACAAACTCTCAATAAACAGGAGCCCTACTGAACACACAAAATTTCTTTGATCGAAGATGCTTGAACCATGTCATGAATTTCATTGTAAACAAGGGCACTTCAACATAGTCAAACTAATAGAACTCACCTCTCTGCTTTCCAGGCCACACGGCCGGCCAACAGCCTCGGGTAAATCACCAGGAAAGTAACACTGATTTACTGTTACCCACTTCGTTGTAGTATTTTTATCCTCCCACATATCCTGTAACAAAATAAGCAACGTTAATAATGACAAAAACACCACAGTTAGCTAGCCCATTGTTTCCCCTTAAGGCACTGTAAGTATTTCAGGCAAGATTAAGTACAGATGCAACTGAGGGATACATGCATGTTAGAAATTCTTATTGATGGACCACTAAGTCCATGAAAAATAGCTGTCCAGATAGTCCATCTGCAGAACAACTTTTATTTGGCTGAATTTATTTAAGCCGCAATTATATCAAACCAGGTTTATCAGTAGACATTTCATTAGCTCTGAGTTGCCAAAGCAACTGTTCAATACATTAAATGCCAGACAAAAATTTGTAATGCAAACTGACCCCATCAAACCCATATATTAGAAAAACATAGTCAATTATCCAGATATGTACCAGGAAGATATGACGGAACTCAATTTATCAATTCTTACACACATAATAGATTGATCACCTGTATCTTTGCAGGTATAAGTTTGCCACTCTCAATGCGAATAAGAACATGATCCATTGCTTCATACAGATGTTCGTTGATGCAGCAAGATGAATAATAGATTTTATCATCCAAAACACGAATTGGCTCACCAACCCAGTCGACAGCACGCAAACCATCTGATGAAGACCTACCTTGATTCATAGTAACAGCACTTGAAGCATTTTCTGTAGGATTGTCACATACAACTTCTTGCTCATTTTGCTGGTTTGTATTGTTTGAAGAGTCAACACCATTAGATTCTTTTGAATCTCTCACCACATGGTTTTCTAGAGATTGCTTTGATGGACTTGCTTCTACAGCATTGACAATTGTCTGTGACTTATCAGATGAATTGGGAACAATCGCTAATTCTTCAGAACGATTTGGTTTCAATTCAGCTACTTCGGGAACACTAATTTTTTCAGTCAATGAGTTTGCAGATGAAACACTGGCAGAACTGGAAGTTTTCATCAAATTATTTGGGTAAATCCCAGAAGATACCTTATCGTCCATCTTAACCCTACTGGATAAATGATCGTTCTTCTGCATCTCTTTACATTCTTTTCTCTGCAACAAAGATGTCGAATGGCTAAAGTTATTGCCTGAAACTTCAGAATTAGTGTTTTCGATCCTGGAGTTCTCATTAATTATTATATTTGACTGGCTGAACTTCTCATCTGAGGCATCACCACTTTTACTTGAAGTGGACGGCACAGCTGCTGAATTGGAAGACACTTTTGGCGTATTTATGTTTCTCATGACACGGCCATACTTAGGAGGCAAAGGTTTACCATGGCTTAAAGACAAGCACTTTCCACAATGCCACTCTCCTCTTGGAACTCCCTTCTGATTAGTAGCCTGGAGGCATTTTAAGTGGTACCCTTTCTCACAAGCATCGCAAATGAGTATATTATCAATATCTGTTACCGTTGACATGCACATTTGACAAGTCAAAGCCTTATTCATGTAGTCCCTTGAAGGCGGATTCCATGTAGGTTGCTCAGAAAACTGCGGTTGTAATAGTTTCTGGACAATCTTTCCAATTTCAACATGTGTACTTCCCAAAGGAGGCTGAACGTGGTTAGTGCTTTGCGCAGGCGATCCTCCTATTATCTGAGCAACACCGGTCCTTGACATAGTCTGAGGGGCCACTGCGGCAGCTCCCTCAACCTTAAGGGACACGTTCACAGGCACCTTACTATCTGATCCACCTTTGGATGATAAAGCGGTCAGGGGTTGCATCGACCAAGTTGGAGTCCTCGCAGTTGGGTTGGCAGAGTAATTTGCTGCAAATGGAAGATTATAGGAGGTTGAAAATCAAACAGCAAAATACGAAGAGATTGCAATGTGAGTAACTTCCAAATAGAAGTGATGTGGCACAAGTAGTTTAAAGGAAAGTAAAATGCATATATACGATTGATTATGTAATTTCCATTTTTTAAGAAATTGTCAAAAGAGTCAAAATGACGGATGTTAGTTGCCGAAAGAATTGACATCGATGGAAACACAACTTATTGGCACGAAACCCTATTAACACAGATTTTACAGTCAAAGATGTTCACAGCATGAAGAAGAAAGCAGATATTGCTCAACTAAAAGCAAGATTGCGTATTACCGTGAATTTGTGAAGAGTGTGAAGCACCATTTGGTCTTCCATCTGATTTGAGCTGTGGTCTATCAACTCTTTGCATTGCTGCTGAACCGAAATGGCTAGAGGGTAATGCACTGGAAGTCATTGGTCTTACCTCACTGGAAGGGAGCTGATATGGCAAAGATGTAGAATTTGCTTGCGTACTATGGGCTAAAGGTGAAGTCAGTTGGAAGCTTCCAGAAGATATTGACATGTGACTTGCTTTATCTGGATGAGATATTCGAGCCAAATGTGATGGATTGCGATTCTCAACAGCTGCGCCAGAATTTGGGAGCAAACGAGATGAATGTGGAGTGGATGGCAGAGAGAAATTTTCTGCCTTTTCCATCTAACACAAAGGAAAACAAATAATTAAGATCATAAAGTACCACTTACATTTTAATTAGCAGTAACTCAACAAAAGAAAGTACAATTTATTTCTAATAAATGAAAAAAATAACTATGTGAAAGAAGCTTCAAGTGACCAAACTATTTAATACCACTGCCGAGACTGACCAACCAATTAAAATCATACAAAATACATGTGATGTCAGACAGGCAAACAAGAAAACCAGACAAGATTTCATACACGTGTCCAGATCATGCAAGATAATTACTCAAAATACTTTTTGTGCTGTGTTTTAACATAATTAGGAGCAAAATGCACGTGCCTGGTGTATAACAACATAAGAACATAAAACATGTTACGCAGCTTCAATGCCTGTATTTCACATTAAGTATCTCCTTTGTTAGCAGATGACTGCTAAACTTATAACAACACACCACTTTAAGCAACAAAATTCCTGGCACTTATGATATGCTCTAAATAGCAAAAATAGATCAACTTCATACATTAAATAAAATTATCTCCGATAACTTAATGCTCACTTTCATGGCACTGTGAATCTTGTTCTCATCATATTAAAGTTAATCTTTCCGTCGGATATGGATATATGCCACTCAGATTTCCAGTTAGTAGTCATTTATTTGGTGTATGTTAGGAGAAATTTTAAGAGGTGCGCTTCCTCATTATTTAGTTTATTTTCTCATCAAAAATGCTAAAAGGTGGGCAGTTGAGACAATCATGAACCTGAAAAGGTTAGTTCAAAGTTCAGACCACCAAAATCTGCTGTTCATAGATCAGGTTACCATGGAACTAGCATCCTGTGTGACTATTTTGATGCACGCATCACACGTTTAAAGGGCAATTGGTACTAGTTTGGATTTAACTATGTATACACTCAATATGACCTTCACAAAAAGAAATGTGAATTATAGCTCAACTATATGATATGGACCAGAACAATTAACAGCAGACCTAGAAAACACCATATTCGGATAAATCATAATAACAAAAGGAGATTGTGCTTTGGCCAGTCTCTGATTCTACAGAGGAAGTTATGCATTTGAAGATTGAAAATTGTTGTGTAAATAAAATAAGAGAAACAGTCAATGCCAATGGACCAATCACTGATTGGAGTTACACGCAAAACCAAGAGATATTCCGACCCCTCACCGGTCCTTGGAAGAACAGGTATGGTTACGGGTTAGGTCTGGAATCAGACAGCATTGGTCCAATTCAACTGTCGGTAAACACCGATAAACGGTTTTATGTCATTTTTTTTAAAACAAATTGAATAATTTTCAAAATTTTAGGCTACCTACACGCCAGTTTACGCAGTTCAACCTGCCAATTTGGTCAAACATGATATTTGACTAACGCATCGGTGTAGGAAGTTTAGCACATATCATCAGAACTTTCAAGCTAAAACTATATGGGAACATGGAGCATTCGCCAACTACTTGGAAAGCAATGCTCATGCATCGACCATATAGTAATACAACTCCACATCCAAATGCACGTAAATTCCAAACTCGAAATTTCTTTAGTAAAAAAGACTGAATGATTCCTGGATTAGAAGTAACTGAATGAACAAACAAGAAATCTATAATTAAAAAAACAAACCTTTCGTTTGGAAACCAATAACTTTTCAGCAATGGACATTTTCGGAGGCCGAAACCCTAGCCTCTGATCTTTCAATTTATTAAGGCCCAAATCCTCAATCACACCCCCAAAAGCATCCCTAGGGAACACATCCTTGGGTGCAAAACCCTCGCAAACCTTGGCCAACCTGTTGCGTGCTTCCGCCATCAATTCCTTCTCAACGTCAGTGGGCCCCTTCCCCGCCCTCATTTTTCCCATCGCCGCCAACACCAGGACCATCTCAGCCACCTTCTTCACATCCCCAACAAAACTCCGCTCACTTTCTCCTCTAATTCTCTTATGCGGAGAGCCCTCCTTCAACACATCAACATCCTCAGACGCCGGCCTCTTCTCACCGACAGGCTCCGATCTCGCCTCCGACGGCTCAACACAATCGGCCGCGGATTCCATCCAGCAGCAAAAGGAAACCCCAAAGAAGAAGAATCAAGCCGAAACCGGCATCTACTCGTCGCACCGGGGTTGAAATCCGCACGGACCTGCAGAGAAGAGAGAGATGGCAAGCAGCCATTAGAGTGTGGGGTAAGGGGGGAGAGAAAAACAAACCCTAGGGGGTGGGAGAGAGGGAAAAAAAGAGAGGCAAAGGGGGGAAAATGAAATTAGGAATTGTTAAAAAACTTTAAATTAAAAACCTTTTGGCGGGTAATTGTTAGAGACAGAAGAGCTTTTTCTTTGTTTGAGTGGTGAGTAAATCCGTATGTAAGTGTGAGAGAGAGTCGGTCAGTAGTAGTAGGGGGGGCGAGCAAAAAAACTTGAGCAGGGAACAAAGAGGAGAGAGAGAGAAGAGAGAGAGAGAAAATTATAATTTTGATTTTGCGATTTTCCCCTTTTATGTATCCGTCACGTGGGTTGCACGCGCTACGCAATCGGGAGACCTTTTGACTTATTTTACACATTTACCCCTAATTGGGTCCGGAATTTTGACCCGAACCTACCCACAAGTCCAAATTTCAAATCGAATAAACCGGGGCTTTATTCAACGATCGAACCGCCGGTTTATAGTCAACAACCACCGGTTCAATCAGAAGGCCTAATATCTCTCTATCTTCTTTTTAAGTCTGAAAAAAATTCAGATCCATTGTTGTTTAATTATTTGGGAATATATAAGCTGGCAAGCAACAATAAAAATTGGAGTATTGATTTGTCGTGTGCGCGCGTGGCAGAACGATCAGGCCAGACAAATTTTCGCCGGTAGCTGGTGGCGGCCGCCTTCCGATAGAAAACCTCTCGAGCTGTACGGCACGTTATCTCTATTCCCTGTATACAATTCCACGATTCTGATCACCGATTCCATTGGGGAAGGTAAAATCAAACTTTGCTCGGTTTCCCTGTTCGTTTAGGGTTTCGATGAGACGCGTGTAATTGGCTATGGGCTTTTGTTTTTTATATGTTGTGTCTTCCAATTTTTGGGGTGGATAATCAATCAGTTTGGTATTAGATGCCTTTCTTGTTCAATTATGACTTGAAGAACGTGTTCTCTTTCTTTTCCTTTTTTTTTTGGGTAATTGGATTTCAGATTATTGGGCTGGGTGTCAGGATGTTACAATTTTTTTTTATTTTTTTTTTTGAATTTTGTGCATCTCTTTTAGTTTAGTACAATTCTAAATTTTATTCTGATAAAAATTGCTGCTTTCTGGTTCCTCTGAGGTTATTCACAGCCTTCTGCTATTGTTTTAGCTGAACCAACAAAAAAATTGTATATTGTTATGAATGACTAAACATATTTTCTTGTTTATAGTACTATTAAATTCTTTTTGTTAGCCAGACGTAGATGGACGGTTTCCTAATCTTCGAATACTAGATTGTTTATATTTATGTCTGAACTTCAATTCCGTCGTTTACTTTTGGGTGGTTGTGATAGTTTGAAACTACTTTTACGAATTGAAAACGGATGGCCTTAAATTGTTATGTCAGTGACATCATACCATTTAACATACGAATGTTGTGTTGTATAGCAATTAGCATGCCCTCGAATGAAATAACTGGAGATAATGTGCTTGAGCTTATAATAGTACTGTATTATGCTTATTACTAAATCGTAAATACGACTCGGTTGCTGAATGCTCTTTAAATCTTGGTTATCAGTGAAATGGCGGCTCCTGGAGACTCATGGGTGAGGGAGTATAATGAAGCAGTCAAACTTGCTGATGATATCACAAACATGATATCTGAGAGGAGTTCGTTACCCGCAACTGGGCCAGAAGCACAGCGCCATTCTTCTGCTATACGGAGGAAAATAACCATACTAGGAACCAGACTCGATAGCTTGCAGTCCCTTTTCTCTAAGCTACCCGGAAAGCAATCCCTGTGAGTTGTCTTAATGAACTGCTTCTTCGATAAAGATGCCAACTTGTTAATTAGGTATCAATAAGAAGTGTATCAGCGTTGAAATATAAATATTAAAAAAGTTTAACGAAGAAATGGTGAAGGTAGATGATGCAGAAATAAAAAAGTTGGGGATAATGTAAGACTGCGGTAAATTAAATCACGGAGGGGAAGGAGGTAAATCCGATAGGCTAGATGTTCGAAGAATATAAATGGTTGATTACCTGATGTCATAATGGTGGACACAGTAGACTATAATAAATTGTCATGGATGCCTAGTAATGTACCTGGTTTCTCGACCATTTTGCATTACAATGAACAACTAGTCTGATTGGCTGGCCATAAAAGTCTGGGCTCTCCACCTACTTCTATATCACACAGCACTTACTAGTGGTTTTGAAACACATCATTATTCTTGCCATGCTTTCTGATCTGATCTTTTATGCAGGAGTGAAAAGGAAATGAATCGTCGTAGGGACATGGTTGCAAATTTGAGATCAAAAGTAACTCAGATGGCTTCTGCATTGAACATGTCAAACTTTGCGATCAGAGACAGCTTACTTGGGCCAGAAATAAAGCAGGCTGATGCCATGAGCAGAGCAACTGGTCTTGACAACCATGGCGTCGTTGGTCTTCAAAGACAAATTATGAAAGGCTAGTTGTTAACTGTATCTGTAATTGAACTTAAATTTGCTTTTTCTTTTTATAATCAATGATTTATCTTTACCTTCTCAATTTCATTGCAGAACAAGATGAAGGTCTTGAAAGATTGGAGGAGACAGTCTTAAGCACCAAACATATTGCATTGGCAGTGAACGAAGAGCTTGATCTACATACCAGACTAATTGTGAGTCTTTGTACCGTTTAGTTTCGTACTTTATAGACATACTTTTGTTACGTCCAGTAATTATCGTGACAAACATCTGTGAATGCTCGACGTGCAGGATAATCTGGATGAGCATGTTGAGGTTACCGACTCCAGACTACAGGTGACAGTTATTTCTACTAACATTTTTTTCTCAAAATCGTAACAAAGTAGCAAAAATAATGATTGAAAAATACTAGAAAATGTTTCTCTTTGAGATTCATCGTAATTGAAAAAATATTGAAACGAATGCAAGGAAGATTCTATTTGAATTTGAAATCTTTACAAGTAAAATCTCCAATCCGTCAATCCAGTCACAAACTTATAATATCACATCATTTTATTTGTAATGATAACAGCGAGTTCAAAGGAAGCTTGCGATATTGAATAAACGGACAAAGGGGGGCTGCTCCTGCATGTGCCTGCTGATATCTGTTATAGGGATCATTCTGCTGGTTGCTGTTATATATATGCTGATCAAGTATTTGTAATATATGATCGATTTTTTGCTATGAAATGAAGAGCTCAAAGGCTCGGTTTGTGTCCTCCTTGAATTTCGGTTTTTTTTCCTTTGTTTCTCAAGTTCTTGTGTAAGTAAAACGACAGGATTTGATTGCCGAAACTAAAGTTCGTCCCGCTTGTTGTAAAAACTATGTTCACTTCTTTTTCTTTGTGTGAAAAACATGTGCTGTTGAGTTTGATGATATTTGTCATATTTGCTTTGTGATATTTTGTAGTATTTGAATATACTTTTATTTTCGTTGCATTTTTTTTAGTTCAAATTTTGTTACTGATACGAAAGTTGGGGATGCAGAGTCGGAACCTTTGACCTTAATTCTACCAAGTAGAGGTGCAGATCGGACGGATCATAATTAATACATTGGGAAAAATTCCAAGTTCCTCCGATGGATAACAAATAATTCCATTTTTGTCCCTAAAAACCGGCTGTTGTTGTTCAGCTGCGCCCTCTTTTCCTTGCAGCCGCTTGCCTTGGTCATCAGTTAATATCGGAAGTTGAAACGGAAAAAAAAAAGGTCATAAAAGTGGAAATTTTTCGTACTAAAACCAGCAAAAATTGAAAATTTCATTCTTTTTATTCATTTATAGTCTAATGAGAAGGGTTTTAGCTCGTAAATCTCTTTTGGCTAGTTTCATATACGGTTCAGTTTTTTGGACATTGTACTCTCCTGTTTTAAGTTTCGCTTACAATTAACTATCTATCTGCCTTGAAATGTCTGGAATACCCTTCACTTTATATCAAAATTACAACTAAACTTCATTTCCACTTAAAAAAACGCTAGTCGTCATATTAACGTGTTCTACAAACACTTCGCAATACTTATTTATCTATTTATTTCCCTCAAAATGTTTGTCAATAAAAAAAATCATCAAACAATGTTTTTCGATACCTAGAATGAATGGTTTGGATCAATCGGTGGAAATCAATTGCAAAGATCAAGAAATTAGAGCCTTCCAATGGTTTGATCGGATCCGGGTGGACTTACGTGTCGAGCTTCTAATTAGTTGGGCCGCCTCATATGAATTTGGGTAAATATGCTGAAAAAATATTTATCTATGATTTCCAATTTTATGTTTCTATGCGATTTATTCGATTAAATAATTATTTTATATTATTTTGATTTAATTTTTTTTAATATACTTGTTTTTAATTTATTTTTATTTTATTAATTCTGAATAACTCGCATCTGCTTGATGAGCGAGCACTATATAAAACTACAAACACAGCCCCTGTTAGAAATAAAGGGGTATTTGCACTCGGCTCCCCTGTGAAATGTCTAATTGGCAAAAAAACCCCTCGGATAAAAAAATTAACAAATAACCCCCTATGAAAGGAAGTCAATGTCAATAAGGACCCTCCGAGCGAATCGTGTGCTGCACTCGCCGAATATGCGACTGGGGTTCGATTTTTTGACGTGAAAAGACCCAACTGCCCTTTAAATTATAAATTTCAAAAATAAGCCCCAAATAAAGTTTTCAATTTTTTCAATTCAGTCCCTTGAATTTTCAGAAAGGCCCTCTTCTTCCTTAAGTCAGGGACTGATTTGCAATTTTCCTAAAATAGAAAGAAAAAAGAAATTAAAAAGAAACACTCGTCCCCCCACCCCCAACAGCCACCACCAACCAATCCTGCTCCTCCAGAATCCACCATCTCCGCCGCCTCTGCCTTATGCTCCGCAACGGTTTGATTCGGTTCCTCTCCAACCCACATCAACTTCCACCATCTCTCTTCGTGACCAGGAATTGAAGTCTGGAGATGGACATTAGAGACAATACCCCCGTCGCCGGCGACTCCGGCGACTGCAAATCCAATCTCCAATCCTCCAAATCTCCAATCTACCCAAATCGGCAGTCTATTGTCGGTGTTATGGCACCATCTTCGCCCCACCCAATGCTACACCTCTTCCGCTCGTACAAGGCGGCGGCTGCTGCTCCAGCGGCGGCGGCAACCCGGATTCTTGAAACCCGAAGCCCTGATGCGATTCTTGCCGAGACCTTTACAGTGGGGTTTTGATGGTTAGGGTTTTGCTGAGCTGGTTCCTCAATATTCCTTGGGACGGCGGCGGTGCGGAGGGCTGGGGCTTGGGGAAAATGGTGGATGAAGTTGTGGTGGTGGGTGTGGGGTGTGGTGGAAGACGGGATGAAGAAGAACACTATTTTCTTTTTTCTTTTCCTTTTTTAATTGTTATTATATTTAACACATATTTTATTTATATTTGTTTGTTTAAAATTGAAAATTTATTAAAAATTGTTAGACATTATTTTTTCTTTTTCGCTTTATTTTTTATTAAGGGTGATTCTGTCATTTCACTTAAGTCAACAAGTCAGTGCACACAAAGGGGCGGTGGGCTGACTAAAACACAACAGAGGGGGTTATAAGCTAATTTTTTTTTCCGGGGGGGTTTTTTGCTTCCGAGAAATAACACAGGGGGGTCTATGCAATTAACTCTAGAAATAAAACTCAAAACCCTAACTGTAAATTTTCCCCCAATTTACATTATTCTACCCAACAAAACTGAAATTCCGTATGATATGAACAAGTCGAACATCCTCTCTTTCTGAATTAATCGACGTATAAATCTGAATTTTGCAATAAAGTTTTGAAATTTGAAGATGAGCATAGTGCCGAAAGAAACAATCGAGGTGATAGCGCAGAGCATAGGCATCACCAATTTATCCCCCGATGTTTTGCCTGCTTTAGCTGCCGATGTTGAGTACCGCATTCGCGAAATCATGCAGGTAACTCTTGACTCGGAAATATGCCGATTTGTGCCTGTACAATAGATATTTCATTGCGTTTTATTTTCGAATTTGTTACCAGGAAGCTATCAAATGCATGCGGCATTCGCGGAGAACTACTTTAACTACAGATGATGTAGATAGCGCGCTTGGCTTAAGAAACGTTGAGGTGCCTTTTTTTTTTTTTCGGGGATCATGCTATTAATCACTTATGTTTGTGGAATTATGTGTTAATTTTTCTATTTTAATTTTGAGGTACGTTCGAGCATATTGCTGGTTTCGGTTACTGTTTACGTATTTAGTATTGGGTTTAGGTGGTTGTTGGTTTTGATGATTATATAAATCATTCAGCCAATATATGGATTTGCATCGGGAGATCCACTGAGATTCAAAAGAGCTGCTGGGCACAAGGATTTGTTTTATATTGAGGAAAAAGATGTGGAATTCAAGGAGGTAGTCATTTCGGATATGCTATTACCTGAATTTCAGTCAGCATTTATAGGTAGTTACATTTCCACTTTTTTGCCGTTTAGGTAATTGAAGCTCCTCTACCTAAGGCCCCGTTAGATACAGCAGTAGTTACGCACTGGTTAGCTATTGAAGGAGTTCAGCCCGCTATTCCAGAAAATCCTCCGCCTGAAGCTCTCCAGAGTATGATCCACAGTCATCCCTATTTTATCTCGCTTATTCTTTTACGCCTTTTGCTTCTGGATGAACCTCACAAGTTTTAACGTTGATATTTAAGGGGTTTCATTATACAAGATTAGTTTCATTATATGACTGAGTTCTTTTATATGGCCAGTGCTTTCACTGCCTTCTGATAACAGAAAGACTGAAGTCAAAGAGGATGGAGTACCCGTGGACATTAAATTACCTATTAAGCATGTACTTTCGCGGGAACTTCAGGTAATGCTGGCGTTTTATGTGCTTTTCTTTGTTCCTACAAAGAGCGCATGATAGCTAATTGTTCTTTATCTGGTGGTGCAGCTTTACTTTGAGAAAATCACCGAGTTGACTGTTAGTAGATCCGAGTCCGGTCTGTTTAAAGCAGCATTATCAAGCTTGGCAACTGACTCAGGAATTCATCCCTTAGTCCCATACTTTACGTTTTTTGTAGCTGATGAGGTACGTAGACATAACTAAAATTCAATCTGGACGAACAATATCACTTTATAATGAACATCAATTAGTAACTTGTGGCAGGTTTCTCGGAATCTGAATAATTATTCTCTCCTTTACGCTTTGATGCGACTTGTGTGGAGCCTTCTTCAGAATCCACATATACACATTGAGCCATATGTAAGTTACCTTTGTTGTTTGTTCCATTTGGCTGATAAATGGATTGCTGTCATCAAATTTGCAAATTCAATATTGGATTTGATTAATGGTTTCCTGTTAAGTACATTTTAAAATTTAATCTTGAATTGGCAAATCCAGTTCAAAGATAATGTTCACAAGTGTAATTACTAAATTCTGGTTTCTAATTTCTGATTAGCTGCACCAACTAATGCCCTCGGTGATGACGTGCCTTGTTGCTAAGAGACTAGGAAATAAATTATCTGACAACCACTGGTATCTTAGAAATTTCACGGCTAATCTGGTTGCTTCAATATGCAAGAGGTGAGAATTTCATATTTACTTGGATCTGCATAATGTATGTGGATATAACTTGTGGGGTTATATGTCAGTTATCCGGTAAAAGTGAGGCTTATACTACGACTTTACCATGCCACTGCAGATAGATCCGTATCTCAATTAATTTTAATTTGACTGCATGTTTGTAAATTGCACAGATTCGGACATGTTTATCATAATCTCCAACCACGTGTGACCAAGACATTGTTGCACGCTTTCTTGGACCCATCGAAAGCTCTTCCTCAACATTATGGTGCTATTCAAGGGCTAGCCTCCCTTGGCCCTAATGTGGTATTGTTTTCCTCCTTCTCGCCCCTGTGTGTGTGTGTGTGTGTGTGTGTGTGTGTGTGTGTGTGTGTGTGTGTGTGTGTGTGTGTGTGTGTGACAATTGTGTGTATTCATGTGTTATGGATAAATGATATTTGCATACCCACATATATCCACTAATCCACTATATTATATCTATACAATATTATGGTTAGGATAAATTCTATTGAAAATATTATCCAGGTTCGTATGCTTGTGCTTCCCAATCTCGAGCCTTATTTGCAGCTTCTGGAGCCAGAAATGCAACTAGAGACGCAAAAGAATGAGATGAAGAGGCATGAAGCCTGGATTGTATATGGAGCTTTAATGGTAAGACATGCTTTAGGTTTATGGAATACTGGTTGCATTTATGCATCTTACAATGAAGAACTACTCAAAAGTCCAATATGCATAAACGGCTGAGTGGTGTCACTAATCGCTTTGTCCCTTTTATCTTATACATATTGTTTTTTAATATTTGGTTCCGGGCATTCTAGCTGATAAGATAATACTGTTACTAGCGTGCAGTCGGTATGTGCATGTATGATCGGCTGAAGATGCTACCTTCTCTACCATCTCCGCCACCACGTGCTGTTTGGAAGAGTAACGCCAAAGTAGTGACTACAGTTTCAAGTATGATTCTCTTATTTTTTGCTCTGCTTATATGAAAATGTTCACTATCGTAATTGTTATTTTATTCTTTTGGGTGTTGGAAATGGAGAGTTTTCCTGCATTTTCAATTTTGGAATCTAAATTTTTCACCTTTCGTCGATTACGAGACTCTGATACCATGTTATCCGTTTTTTGAAACTTGTTGAAGACAAACGTAAAGCAAGCATGGATAACATGACGAACCAGCCACCGCTGAAGAAGTTAGCAACAGACAGTTCCATGGGTGGAACAACACCTCCAAATATTGGGGCAGTGGACCCTAATTTGCAATCGTCAACGAATAACAACATGCCTGGTTCGAGCGGCAGAAAAGAAATCCTCGGTGGTCAAAGATTATTGAAGACACCAGCAGCTCTCGATCAGGCATGGAAGGACGATGTAGATCCTCGAAGAGTTCTGCCTTTGTTGCGCAAATGTTTCGGTGATAGCATGTTGCCTTTCTTCCCTACACCCGAGGCTTCTTTATTCTTGTGATATATTTTAACCACAAATGTGTAACCAAATATTAGTACCCAGGTTTTGAGGATTACAATCAACTCAAATATGACGAGCCTGTTATTGTGTGACATCTGGCATTGTTTAAATTAAGGACTTGAGTATGAACACATGCAGAATGTTTAAAGCAGCAAGAAACTGCATTTGAACAGATGAAATAGGAGACTATTATTATTACTACATGAAAACTGTGACAAAAGAAGAGAGCACAAAAATGGCTAACGAAAGAGTCTCCTATTTGGCGTCGGTGAATTATTGGTGACGGGTGGATTTGACGACTTGGAGCTGCCTGGTGTGGCTGTAGTCTTTGGATCGGTGAGAAGAGCCTTTTGAAATGATTCGGTGAAACCAGTTGCAATAATGGTGACATGGATCTCACCGTTGAAACGCTCGTCCACAACCGCGCCAAATATAATATTTGCAGAAGGGTCTGCTAAACTGGTTACAATCTGGAATCCAATGGAAATGATAAGAATCATAAATAAATTGAACATAATATTCCGCTGTTTAATTACTTTTTGTAGTTAAACAATTAGGTCATGTTGGCAACAGAAAAACATTGCTAAAATGACAAGAAAAATACCTGAGAAACTTTATTCACTTCTTGGAGAGTGATATCCTTCCCTCCAGTAATATTGTACACAACTCCAGTAGCCGATTGAATAGAAGAGCCGATTAAAGGAGCCAAAGTTGCTTGTTCAGCTGCCTCTACAGCACGGTTTTTGCTAGAGGAAACACCCACTCCGAGCATTGCAGTGCCGGAATTTTTCATCACCGCCTGCACATCAGCAAAATCCACATTCACCAGCCCTGGTATCTGCAAAAAAAAAAAAAAGGTCCAACGGTCACACAATTGGCTGCTAAAAGCAAGAAAAAATTTGTAAGTAAAAAATGTGAAGATTTAATATATGCAACTAACAGTTATTATATCTGAGATTCCTTGGACACCTTGGCGGAGCACATCATCTGCTAGAAGGAAAGCATCTTGAAGGGGAGTGTTTTCATCGGCAATATCTAGGAGACGGTCGTTTGGAACCACTATAAGTGTATCTACATGTTTCTGGAGCTTTTCAATCGCTTCGAGAGCCTACAGATGTACAGTGATACAATATTATTAGGACTTTTGATTTTAGCAAAGTCACTACATGACATTATACATGAATTTTGCTAAACTGGACTGGGTACAAATATCTGAAAATATCATGCTATATGTCGTGCAAAGAAGAAAATCGAATTGTCATTCTTGCCATGATTATGCTGAGTTATCGTAAATATCCGAGCTGTCAGCCTAATGATAATGCCCCCTAACCAGAACATTTTTTTCTTCGATTTTGGTTGAATGAGAATACAGTTCTTCTAATTCAAGAGTAAGTTCGCACTCCCAAAAACATTTGAGAGTCAAATAATAAAGAGAATAAAACTAGCTCTCTTCGTGTCAAAAAAATGGAAATAACACCGACCTGCACAGATCTTTTACGACCTTCAAAGCTGAATGGGTAGGTAACAACACCAACGGTTAAGTAGCCTGCATCTTTTGCTATTTGAGAAACAACAGGGGCAGCACCAGAACCTGTACCCCCACCCATCCCTGCTGTAATAAACACCATATCCGACCCCTTGAGAGCATTCGCAATGGCTTCCTTCGATTCCTCTGCCGCCTGTTCCCCTAACAGCGGGTTGCCTCCAGTACCTGCATTAGTCCACCAAACAGTAACGAAGGTTCTACAATATCGTCCACAAAAATTCAACAATCTGAAGCAATAATCTCAATGTTGCAAGTTCAAGCTCCAAAATTCAAGAGCAATTAAGTACGGCGAATAAGAGAGATGCATTACCAAGTCCGCGAGTCAAAAGCTCTCCGATCTGGATAGGGTTTTCGGCAGACGATTGCAACAGCGCCTGAGCATCAGTGTTTATTGCATAGAAGTCCACTCCCTGTCATTAAACACCACACCGAATTATTGCTTCCAGAAACTTACATAAATCAAAATTCAGAAACAAAAGCAGGTTCATAAGAAATTGAAATGCAATACAAAACCAATTAGGCAAACAAAAAAAAAAAGATTAAACCGAAAATCCTGTCAAAATTGAACTCTTAATTCGAAGTAAACTCTATACGAACTTTTACAGCAACTAAAAGTGCCAATTGAAGTTAGAGAAGGGAAAAGGAAATGCGTGTTTGAAAAGGGAGGAAGGGAACTGAGCGTAACTCGTAAGCCGCTGCCAATCATGCGGTTGACGGCATTGTTGCCGCCGCCGCCGACTCCGACGACCTTAATCTTTGCGGAGTCCATCGGTGTAAGCGAGCAGTAAACGCCGCTACTGTGCCGCTTAAAATTGCAGAAACTCTTCCGGCGAGACCTCGAGAAGCAGATACTGCGTGTAGAGGTTAATTCTGAACATCCAATAGAAATGGAGGTCGTTGAAGAAGCCATTAACGCTTGCTTCCTTGGTATCGGAAAATGAGAGTTTTCTGTAGAAATCTCTTTACTTTTGAGAGAAGGGAGACAAGGTTTTTATCAGCCTATTTTAGGGTTTTAGATTAAAGATTTTGTTTTATTTGATTCTTAAATTGATTTATCTGAATCGAACCTCGTTTACACTTTGCTACACTAGGTAAAGTAAATCGAGTAGATTTTTGCCATTCATATGCACACAACCATCCATATTAGTGCGTAAATCAACGATAAAATTTCACCGAGTGTAATCTTCATTGGGTGTCGAAACAGATTGTTTTATGTTATCCTTCAACTTAATTTTTTTTTCTTTACAAAACTTACTCTATTATTTGTGCGAGTATGTGTAAATCTATTATACTTCACATTAGCATAAAATCGTATCGTACCGTAATGTATTTGTCCAGGCAAAGATACAAACGATGTTTATTCACTTCCAAAACGTACACAAACTAAGATGTCATCCTTCAAAAGTGACGAGGAGAACAATAAAATAATTTTACAACACAAAATGGAACTCAATTCGATAATGAATATAAATTTGAAAGTGGTTCTCCGTTCATAAAAAATACATACACAAACGATTTTGGGTATCGTAATATACCCCAAAAATGAAAATGTTATTCATTGTTCTTTCGATTCTCCATCCACACTCAAACAACGTAGCTTTGCAATATGCTTCTCATATCATTCCGCATCGTTCAAAATGGGAACGATGAGAGGATTCATCTGTGCCAAGTACACAATTGCCCACCTGCACACGAACAGCAAAAGTATGTTTTAACTTTCATAGAAAATATCAGACGCTATTCCATATGTTAATACAGACAACAAAAGGCATAGGTAGAACAAAACTGAATCCGTGTCCAACAAGAAAAAGATGAGTACGATTTTGGGCACCCTGTTTTGCCCACCGATAATTTTACTCGTTTTTTTTAGTCCCAACAACCTTTTGTATTTTGCTGCCATATGCTCTGATCCTTCTTGTATGGTCTATGTTACTATTTTCTAATGAACTCAATAGTTCATACTACAGACACTACAAACTAAATATCCGAACTGATGACAAGAAGATAGAGCAAGACAAGCAGAGTCGAACAACTACATGACAAGACGGACAGACAAAAGAAGAATCGAGATGCATGATCGTTCAACATTTTGGATTTAGAGAAGGAGAGGAAAATGAACTAAGGCTTCTAGTAAATTTATATTAACCCTTAAAAAGATAATAGTTTGAAACATAAAATAAAAAATCCAACAATGTTTTACCAAACTAAATAAAACGTCATTATTACTTCCCCAACGGAACCATGCATGAGTGTGCACAAAAAGAGTCTCGAGGTATACTGACATGGCCTACAGGTTCAAAACCCAGATTCCACATCAATAGCAATCGAGCATGTATGTAAACCTTAAACTTGTAGCAGACTAACTATCATTCACTAACTTCAAAGGGTATCCAAGATTCATCCATTAATCAGTAGATACGTAGAATCTCGCTGATTTCATCTCTTGGACATTGTTTCAACATTTCTCTACATTCATTGCACATAATAAATGTTCGCCTAACAACCTTGGAAAATTCTCCAGAAAATTCACAGTTATAAAACATGTGCGAGTTGATGATTTTGCCGAACAAGGCATGACAGCAGGGGACGTGTTAGTTTTCCTTATAAGAATTACTTGCACAATATAAATTTCTTTTCTTCTATGTTAGGTTTCCTATAAAAGCCACTGCCCCTCATACTAATAGCAGCACAACTTCACACAACTACATTAAGTCAGAAACACCAATGATTACAAAAGCAAAAGAGCGAAGGTAGGAAAGAGAAACATTGCATATTACTACAAGGCCAAAACAAGAAAACGAACTTACATCATCCAACAGCACACCGTCGCTGTAATAATCAATGTCAGGTGTAACCTGCATTGCACAAGATCATTATTGATTATTCGGAGATGCAATTGATTATCGATGAAGTTCAAAATTATCAAACGGTGGAAGTGATACCATATACCAGAACAATGAACATCTTTACAAAAATATTGCAAATCAATTTTTCGTCACTACTTGTGGTGAAAATCATACCAGAACATCTTTACAAAAACATGGCAAATCACTTTTTCGTCATCAGTTATGGTAAATCACTTTTTAGTCATAATCGAATACTCAGTATAGTTAGCTCAAAGGAGTGTTCAAATTAAAACCGAATGCAGGAATTGTGGCAGCTATACGATTCAAGATAAAAAGTTGACCAAAATAACCACAAACACCTATAAGAAGAAACTTCGAGAAGGATGATAAGAATTGTAAACATACAGATTTGCAGAGGGGCCTCTGTTGAAGCAGATTCTGGCGCAGAGTGATGCAATAACCCCAACCACTAGGAATATTAGAGAAGTCACCAAAAACCCCATCTCCGATTTCTTTTCAACCGATATATCACTCAATTAACTCTTTACCTGCGTAGAATCAAAAGAAAAAAATTGATAAGCAGATCCCCCAATCTGGTACAAAATCACTACTTCAAATTTTCAGTTTTTTTGCGCAAAAACAAAGAGTTACAGACGATCTGAAATGAAAACAATATGGAGTACGAAAACTTCAAATGAAATTGTAGCCATTCAATTGGATCGAGACATTGATAAGAACCCTCGAAATTATTGAATGAATAAGTACATAAATATACATAACATATACATAAACAATCTATAATAATAATAATAAACGCGTTGAAAATGAGGGAGAGAACCTTAAATTCCGGCGACCGGCGAAGCTTCCGCTGTTCGATCCGGTGTCGATTTTGATAAGATTCAATTTGTTCTCAGATTATTAGAATTAATTACCGACTTTGAAATTCAACGTGCGAGTTGTGATTCATACCGATATTTATTTGGGCCTCGATTTATTATAATTTGAATATTTCATATATTGTTTTGGGAATAATAATATGGGCCCATTGGGCCCTTATGATAATTGGGCTTAACGACTGTTTAGCATTATTATAGAAAGATACAACTTTCCACTTTTATTTAGACTAACAAACTTGATGTGAGCATAAGTCACTTGCTTGGATCATTTTTATTCGTCGATACAGAGTAAAGCCAGATTTTATCCCACTTATCGAGCATATTGAAACGTCCATATAAGTAAAATGCGTCATAAAATTAAAAATCATGTGAAATAGGACTAAAAATACTATATTCGCAAAATTATTGTATGTAAAACTAAAACATGACAAGTTAGAGGACTAAATTCTTAAATACGCCAACATAGTGGACCAAAACTACATAAATTCAAGAAATTAGAACATCCAATTCTTTTGTAGCTGAAGTATCTATTCGAATATTCCATTAGCTTCTCCTTCACAAGCTCCCCTACAAATCGGAACTCTTCGATCACCCTCACATCCGCGCCGTTCCTCATCACCGGCGGAAAGAACAGCCAGAAACTCGTCGCCACCACAAACCCAACCGTCAGCGGCCCGCTCACGAACCAGGGCAGCCGCCACTTCCTCCCGGCCAAAGCCACCTTCACTCCAAACTCCACCACCACACATACACCCTGAACAACAAAAAACATGGTCATCTCCCACGTCGGGCTGACCCGAGTAATGTACCAGAAAAACAACTCGTGCATAAGCCCCGAAACAACAAACGCCGCCAGCACGGCGGGCAGCGCCGCCCAGTCTCCGCCCAACACCGCCGCAGCGGCCGACCAAACCGGCCTGTAAACCGTCTGGTGCAGAATACTGCTGACCGTGAGGTTCCACCGCCTGCCCCAAAACTCCCGGAGCGAGGACGAAAGGTACGGCTCGTCGGAGGCGGGCTCGAGCTCAAACCCTAGAAACGCCCCCACCAGCAAACTAGAAACCTCGACCAAAATCTCGACCGATAGAAAAACCAAACAGCAATAAGCAACCAGCACAATTTTAGGGTGGATGTAATCTCTGCATTCGTACAGTATCGAGATCAGCACGACGGAGATTGGGATTTCGGTGGCCAGATTTAACGGCAGTACTTTCTTCGACTTCTTTGGGGAGGCGTCGGTTTGGGGAGGCTTGATCTTCAAGGGGAGGGCGGCGGTGGCAATGAAAGCGGGCAGAGATTTCGGGGCTCCGGAGGATGAAATCGGGCCACGATCGAAGGCAAAGAGGAGCAGCTTGAAATTGGCAAGCCAAGTGATGAAGAAAACAGTGACTGCAGTGAAGAAGGCGGAGTTTGTGTGGAGTGGAAGAATGGAGAAGATGTAGAAAATCGGGGAGAGGGAAAAAAGGCGGCACTTGCCCTTGGGCAGAGTTGCTGAAATGAAATGACAGTAACAAAGAGAAGCGATTACGGCTAACCAAACGCGGCTTAGATTATTGATCTCGCCTCCATCAACAACAACCACTGTCATCATCCTGGAAAACTGTAAATTCCTAGAGAGAGAAACTAACTTGGAAATATTGGAGATGATTGTTATTTTAAATCATGGCCACCTTTGAGTAATTACAACATCCGTTCACATTTTTTGTTCACATATAACCTTAAAATCAGAGAGAAATTTCGAAAATAGTTGGTTGATATTTTCATCCTTCAAGTAAGTCAAAAATTAAGGTAACAAACTTGTACTCCGATCACTCATATTACATGTTTAACTACTAACAACCAATAGATAAACTATATTTTGGGAAAATTAGTATTAAAAAAAATTAAAAAAAAATAAATAAAAAAATCCTTGTTTGGAAATTGCATTGAGATAGGTTCATTATGTAGAAATAATTAGGGATTATTTTTTCGCAAAATTTTGGATTAAATTGGACGTATTCTGAATTAAATTTGACGTAAATCGACTGCAGTTGATTAAAAATAAGTTGATTTATTAATCGACTATTGTTGATTAACAATACTAAATTGATGGAAGAAAAATCAGAGTGAATATTAAAAAAGAAAATCGAAATGTTATCATTTTGCAAAATATTGTATTTTCAAAAAGCACAGAATATACAAACTTCGTACCAAGATTGAGCCCTTCAAACATGCATGCAGTAGCACTATGTAGAATTCGCCAAAGCCATTCTGGAGTTGATGCACACAAGCGAAGCCATCAATTTTGACGTGCCGATGCATAATATTTCCGACAATTAGGTTCGAATTTTGAGTGCAACAAAGGAGAACTCAGTCTCGATCAGACGAGGCGCAAGTCCTAAGCTCATATATTATAGAACTTCACAAGTGTCACTCATAAGACCAAAAAAAATAAAGTTCCCATGTAGCCAATAAAAACAGTGAGACCCAAAATATGTACTGATTCATTAGCATCAACCATCAAGTATAATACAAAACAAAGACCAACCGCCCCACTAAACAAAACATAGTTATACTTCCAACAAAAAACGGAGTTTTCAACTCCAACCTATATACGCAATTACATTGTGCCCCGTGAAAATCTACTCATTAAGCCAACCCGAAGAAGAGTTGTGCTGCGAATGTGGCAAGTACGGGCGCTGTGCAAAACCTAAAGAGCCACCTCGAGGAACAGGTCCTAGAGTACCTGGAGGACGGTACATCACACTCGGATCATGCATAGGTGGTGGTCTGTTGTTGTTCATACGAGCATGATTTAACTCATCCAAACGAGGAGCATATCTCTGCATTGTAGATGGTGTACTGTTCATCTCGTTGTAACTGGGGATAACAGCTGGATGATTATGTTGTCCACCGTATCGAGATGGAAATCCAGGTCCAGGATAGGATGGGGTAACAGGTCTCGGACTCCAAGAATTGGGTTCTTCTCTCCTTAAACCATAATTAGGGTTAGGGCTTGGAGCAGCGTACCTCCTCACCAAATTTCCCACAGCCCCTTCATTTCTACCGTATGCAGCAGCTTCAGGGTAAGGCTGATGTGGTGTATGTAAGTTACTTCTATTCGGCTGGTGATAGTCAGAATGAACATGCGATGGAGTTCTGACAAGTTTAGGTGGATATGGTTCCAATGAATTCCCACCAGCTACACGAGGTGACAGGTGACGCAATTGAGAGCCTTTGCTGGAGGACAAGTTGTCCTCCGGTGGTAAATTAATCGATTGCCTTTTCCTTTTCCCTTTGCCATCAAATTTATTTGAATTTGGTTCGGAATGATTTTTCTCCTCGGCAGGGTTCTTATCCCCTTCATTGCCTCTGCTACCATCACATGGCAAACTTTCCTGGTTGCTCGAAGCCACCATAGCGTCGTCTTCTTGTTCCTGATTTTCAGGTTTATCGGGATGTACAGTTTGGACGTGCATTTCTTTACTACTCTCCAAATTTTCAGGTTTATCTGAATATACAGTTTCGGCGTGCATTTCTCTACTACTCTCTTGATTTTCAGGTTTATCTGGATGTATAGCTTGGACTGGCATTTCTTTACTACTTTCCTCCAATCTATAGTTCTTTCGAGCGCCAGACGAATGCCCATGCTGTTCAGCAATAGCCTTGTGTTTGGGCGCCAAATCTGGACGACTCCATAAGGAGAGTACTGGAGCAATCAAGTTCCAATCCTCAATTTCTTTGTCATTTACATCCACAGATCCAGGTAGATAGAATGTCTGAAATAAACAGACAGCACATTTAAGAGCACTCACAAACCACTCCAGACAGAGATATGTCCGAAGGAAAATAAACAGAGGTCATTAAAATATCGAAAAAACTACTAATTACCCTGCCGTTGAACATCTGATCGTCCTCCCAAACCAGATTATATGGATATGCCTTTTTATCTAACCTGATCAACAGAAAGCAAATAAAGATTGAGACTTCTCAGGCGATCTCAATATGCTGTAATATTTTTATTTTCTATTTTTTAACATAATAAAAAAGTAAAATACCGCTCTGTTTCCCTTGGAACTATAAGGATTATGAGTTTTGGTTTGAACTCGAGAGCTTTATTGATGAATTTGTTGGCAAGGGCAGCGTTATATCCAAAGGGTGGGTTCAGCCCCATTATCTACCCAACCAAAGAATCAGTTATAAATAATTTGACGTCAAACATGAAATTTATGGGTGTAGATAGAAAAGCTTATCTCACCAACTGTGACCCATCTGGCAACTCATGTGGTCTTACACCCATCCAGTCTCTTTGCTCAAAATTGAAGTCATTCTGCAAAACCAGACCGGCATGAAAATATATACAAGTGATTTTTTGTCCCTGTAGCGAATAATTTTCGGGACAAACAACTTATATTCCAAGTTGCTGAAGAAAAACATATTTTCACCATGCGACAGGTGTAGCATGTATCGAGTAGCTACACGTGATGCGAACAATGAGACAGTAAGAACCTTACAAGTATTTCATAATTCTCAAAAACAAGTAGATCCAAAGACAAACTGTGGAATCACTTAGTAGCATATAAGGCATTACAAATATTAAAATGTGATAATAGCTGCTATCACCTTTGGTTGTAGAATGTCGTAGTTTTTAAATGAGCATTTCTTTCCTATCTCGTCAACCTTCTTTTTCATAAGGCAGCTGAAATCGTTCGAACCACAACAAAAATCAACTAGCTGATCAAAGAAACAATAAAAGTTAGAAGGCCAAAAAAGATTGGTCGGATGTAGATTTAAGAAATTGTATAAAAAAACCACTAACATCAACCTACTTCAAATCTTGAATGACATTTTGAACTTATCATCTCAAGTTCAAGTCAACAAAGAAACTGAGGATAATAATGTATAAGAGCATATTCTCAAACTCTCAAGTATATATTATAGTAATACAACAGTAAAGTCATGTAGATCTAGCAGAACCTTGTTCACTTACTGCTGTGCTATAAAAGACTAGTCACATCTGAAGGGTCACTTCTGAGACAGAAACACCAAATAAAAATTCCACTTATCTGGGTTTTGGAAAACCTAAGGATAATAAAAATAAACCGAGTTGATTCCGTTCATTGGCAATTTTGTTTCAAAAAAAAACTTTCAAACAACCATATGCTAGGCTACTGCTATGAATACGTTCACAAGTGTCTTCCATCTTCAGAAGACACCCAACAGCTCGAAACAGCATGATGACCCAACATCACTCCTATTTTACCATTTAACTGAATTATTAATTAAAAACCTGGACATTTTGGTAATTGTATAGTCACCACTCTCAATATCCCTGGTATGGACAGCTAAATTGATTCATCTGGGATTGACTACCTTACCTTCGCTATGATAAATGAAAATTAGTAAATATTATTAAGATTAAAAGTTTCCACGATTCACAAATGTATATAATAAATATTAAAAATATATACATTGATTAAGTTAAATAAATTTATGTGTGTCTGATACAAGTTCACTTATATTATTAAAATTGATGGTAATAAATTCCTTGTGACCAGGTTCAGAAGGCCCTAACTGGATATTTATTTGTATCCCTTTTACATGAACAATAAATTAATAATTTGGACTTAGAGAAAATCAGGCTTTCAACAATGGTTCAGGTCAGTTAGTTAATACAGATATGTCCTAAGGCCTACTTCTACTATTGCGGAAGCTAGAGTTGAAGTTGCCTAGATCACCAGCATAGTGCCGATTCATGTTAATACATCCAATATTGAAATGCACTGGAGAAATAAGAGAGATGGAAATACAGAGCACAAGTCTTTTCATATAAAAAAAATAAAAAGTTAAAAATTAAAAAAACTTATTACCATGTCACCATCGTGAACATACCAATGGAGCATGTCAACTATCTGCACATCGAATAAAAAATACAGAACATAGAAGAGGTCAATTTTGAAATGACAGAAAAATTTTCAAGACACTACTAAAGCAGGCAAGAAGGTCCGGTTGACAACAGTGGCAACAGTTGATTTAATATACTTCTTCCAGCGATTCCGTGGTTGCAAAAATAAGTAAAAATGGCAGTGCTGATAGAAAGGCTAGTCTGTCCATGCAGATCCACAAGTACATAAGAGAGAAGAATTGTGGCCACCGTATACCGAACACTTATTACAAGTAAATATGATAAACTGCAAGCCTAAGAACATATCTATGAGCTTAAATGCGTTGATTTCCAAATTGTAGAGACTGCCATTAATTGTCAGGCTAGAAATATTTCTTCTATCACAAACTTCTCTCATTATCACCAACGGATACAGAACATCAACTAACCTCTTTAAGCTTATCTATTTTGGTAAAGTGGCGACCAAAGGATGTATAGCGCATGCCATGCAGAAAAGGAGAAAGATACACACCCATCTTATCCTGCAGAAACAACAAAGCTACCATAAATATACAGACATCAAAACTATGAGAAGTCAGCGTCCTAAGTGACTTTAAAAACAGGTTCAAGAGTAATATAGCAGAACACCTCTAGATACAATTTTACAAGAATAAAACGAAAAACAGAACAGGTTCTTTTGAGGACATTTAGCTTGCAGATATCTAGCAACGAGAATCAGGATAAATGAAAATCACTTGTTCATTTATTGACATACAAATTTAAAAGATAGATAATACAGTGAGATTCAATCAGCACACTCACTTTCCATTTCGTGACCTGGCTGAGAAGATTATCCCCACAAACTGCTTTAGCATCCAGAATAGTTCCTCCTTCATCCAATTTTTTTAATGCAGCACGTACAGACTGCCATTACCAAAGCATTAACTTCTTCTTTTTTTTTTAGGAAAACTGAAGCATTAACTTCAATAAGATTAAACAAACAATGTTCTGCATAAGACCTTGAGTGCATACCTGAATAGCATTCTCCACCTTCCCCAATGTAACAGTGTCCGCATAAAATTTTGAATATTGACTATGTGTTGATGGTGATTTATGCCTTTCTTTAATTTGATCAAGTGTTATTGAGGATGAAGCATCTTTCATCAAGGTCAATATTCTGCAATACAATGAATATAGAACATTATAACTACATGAAAAAAAAAAAAGTTATATATCGCCATCCACATATCTAAAGCTGGTATCATAGAGATTGTCAATAAATAGTTGGTTACCTATTTGTACGTATTATTTACTAAAGTAGAGATGCGGCCTAGGGGTCAGACAGAAAGAGATAGAGTGAACAACTAAATACTAGGAAAGGGCATCACCTTTTTCTTGCATCAGCATCTAGAGTGACAGAATTATGTATTCTCTTTGCTGGTGACTTAGTCTTCTGAATAGTCTTACGTTCACCAGGAAGACTTCCTCTGGTGCTAGATTTCACTGGTTCAGAATCGATACCATAAAATCTGGAATACAACTTCTCACCTAAAGATATCTCCCCTTCAGCACTTGTAGATTCTTTTGATTTCCCAAGAGAATTTGTATTTGTAGCCAGTTTCTGCCTTTTCAAAGGCCCTTCTGCAGGAATTTTCTCAACTCTTTTAGAAAGATCACCTTGCTTTGAACTGGCAGAGACTTTGTCAGCCCGTTTTGGTGGTTTTGCAAAATATTTTTTCTCATCATCTTCTTCTAAAGCCACATTTCTTTCCTTCACCAAATCTTTCCTTTTGCTGGTTTCTAATTGTAGCTTCTTAATTTTCTTTCGCTGAGGACCTGGAAATTTTATATGGTCTCTAACAGGCGTGAAAATATCTGGATCGATCTCATGTTTTCTGATGAGAAGGATAAAATTAGGTAAAACCGAATACCATGATAAAGCAGATAAAACAGAAGTTGGAACATTGAGGGGACTCACAAGCAGTAAACTAATACGCGGTTGGGAATCAGTCCCTCCCAAGCTCTTTGTATAATTCCTTTGTCCTCATCCGCATCCTTCTCAAATGCAATCCCCCTGTCAATAAATTCAAAACTCTGAACTAAGAAATGACACTGATACTAACTCCATTTGAACATGCAGAAGGACTTTAGAGCACCTTGGCAAACATTTTTTATGATATGCCCGTGGACAACGGCGACAGACGGCAAATTGCAAGTCAGGATTTGACCTCACTTCCAATTCCTTACACATATGACATTTGTGAGCGGGGCATGCAAATTGTTCTCCAGCAGCAATCTTTTGTCGGTGTTCTTCCACTGCAGATTTATCCCCAGGATGGAGAAGTTTTGCTACACAATGAGGATGATAGAATAGCCCACAAGCTCCATTAACACAACAAAAGACCTACAGTCAACAGCCAAATGGGGTCACACGTCCAGGGTAAGTATAGAAATTCTCTAAATGCAACTGAGGGACTCCAAAATGAACAGAATTTAAGATGAAAAGAATCCAAATGAACTCATAATCAAACTTTGGAAATAATATTCATCGGAGAGACTGCTGGAAGAATGAACATCTGAAAACAAGGGGAAAATTTAAGCCAAACGCAGGATGCGCGATCTAGTAATATATCTTAGTAGTCAAACTAAACATTTTAAAACCCTCGAAAATGAATAGAAAGAATATAACACGGTCAGTAATCAGACGAATCGACCGTAATAACAAAGCATCTCTCCATATGTACATATAAAATCTGTCTCGACAAAATAAAATTGAGCAAATAAATGCAATCAAAGTTCAAAAAAAAAGGAAATAACCATCAGGGTCTACATCAACCATCAGCAGAATTCAAATATTATAACACTTGAAAAATGAAATTAGTTCAGCGTTGAATCTTATTTAAAAAGAGGAAAAACCGTCTCCACAGGTCAATGACACATATCCTCCAGTCATGGGCTTTGTGAAAATATGACAGTCCAGAAAAATTGAAGAATAACATACCTCACAATCAGATGATTCATCAGAAGACCCCAATTCTCCGCAAGCAAAGCACTGGTGTTGCTTATACTCACAATTTTTACAATAGAAAGGAACAGTTTTCAGTTCCTGTTAACAAAATTGCATATATAATTAGAAGTTAATCCTGCCAAAAGCAACAGTCACAAGGGAAAGTAAAATCAGAGAAATGATAAGACACAAAACAGAGAAGCATACTTCTAGCTCTTCGTTAGTAAAGCCCAAAGACTCGCACTGAGATTCCTCACCATCTTTAACAGTTGCGTGGAATGACCTCATACATTTGCCGTCACAACTGATGTAGATCATGAGACAGATTTTTAACAGAAACATAAGAGTTGCATTAATTAATTGCAAAAGTTTCTTAAGGTATATAATTGGTAAATAGCAAATGATCATGAGAGAAAAAATTCAGACATAGGTTGATGTTTGTACATGATATACCATCTTGATAAGCTGTGATGTGCAAAGGATGAGAGTTTACACAAATCATGGTAGAAGTAATGGAGTAAGTCATGATAAATCAATCATTTACTGAAAAAGAGGAAGAAACTACAATGTCATTAACCATGCCATTCCAAAGTAATAACCATAGTTAGTTAAGACCCCCACGAGTGCACCATCAAAACCTAACCTTGTGTTCATTTTCTCCATACTAGCTAGAATAGCCACTTAGATTGTTTCCGCTCTTGCAAATCAATTTGAAATTTAATCCATGCTCTTGATATTTGGAGAATGTTCTCAGGGGAGATGAATGGTAAATATGGAAACTGAAGCAAAATAAGCAGTAGAAAAAAATGTTTTATAAAGCACATGAAATAATTGAAAGGTTAGCACTCGACAGAATTATACGAAAGGGAGAAGATAGTCTTTGAGAAATTATAGAACATAAAAGCAAAAGGTTTCAGATTTTTGTTGGTTTATTATATTACGGTAAGTCTTGTTATGACCTCTATGTGGATACCCCTCATGCTTGATAGAAGAAAAAGACTAATCTCATAGCACAACAAATAAATCTGAATATGCAGCGGGTCAAGCAAGTAGAAGCATGATATCATTATAAAATCAAACGAAGCATGATGGATATTATTAAACACCAAGCTAAGATAAGGTTTAGTGCATACGATGCTTAAATGCAGAATTGAAGTCAAGATGAACATACATTAATAAATTACCACCATTATCACAAATTGCGCAAACAGAGTCGAAACAATCATCCTCATCAGACTCGTCATCACCATTTTCATCTATCTTGTCAAACTCCTCCAGATCTTCATTATCATCCGTATCATCAACTATAAAAGAAGGCTTTACATCCTGCCAAATAGCAACTGTTAGCTATGTATAGCGCCTAAGCATGTGCTAATGTATGTGTAAGAGAGAAGAGATAAAGACAGAGACAGAGAGAGATCATAACCGCGGTAAAAGTTCTCTTCCCCAAACTTTCATCTAGACATGTAGTCAAAAGCTGTTTAAAGAAAAAATAAGTTGTCAGCTTAAGAAAAATACCGATGCTTGAAAATCGATGAGGAGAATGGTCTGTCTACAAGTATAATGTCAGAGTAAACATCAATCACAAATAGACAGTAAATCCTATCCTCTTTATCTGGTTTGCTCTAGCCTAAAAAAAATTAGCAGATGATCATGCAAAATAGGAGACCACTAAAAAGATCAAGCCACCAGGTGGAAGAACCAATTGTTAACCTGAACATTCAAGCTACGAGAGTATCCCTTATCAACAACATCACAACCTCACACATAAAAATAAGAAGGTCGATATATGATATCACAAGCACTTAATAGCATATTAACAAGTTGAACGTAACCTTAGAGACAACCTTTTCTACGTTATCTACTACTACAGTGATGGCCTTGTTACCTTGGAGTTTGCCAATGTTTCATCCCGCTTAACAGCTTCGTCAATAAACTGCAGATGATTTAAAAGATCATCCTCGGAAGGCCTTCTCTGGAACATACTAAAAAATTGCAAGAAAAACTGATGAATGAAAATACAAAAATAAATCAAAAAGGGATATCAAATGCGCAGCGAATTCTGTATTGACCTGAAGGATCTATTAAGATGATCCCACAAAGCTTTCTTCGATCGCTGAGGATTCCACTTAGCAAAGTGCAAAAAATGCACTGTGATCTGAATTGTTCTGATAGTGTCTTGGAAAAGATTTCTTGGCTTCAGGAGCTTGATCCAATTACCCTCTGCAGATAATACAGAGATCTCGGGCTTGTCGTATGAAAGATCAAACTTCCAAGCAATAACCTGCTTATATATAAGCCGAAGCCCATTATCAGTTTTCCCAGACAAGAAGATTGGTTTTCGCGTTCCTTCACGGGTCTCGCCTTTATTCCACTCTACAGGTAATTTGACAAATGAAATCAACTCCTCAGTATCAGAGACAAATTCATAATCTGATACATTGTCTAAAGCCAGTTCACATTCATCATCTGAATATGCCATCTCTTTCTCTGGTTCCTTCGCCCCATGATCTGAAGACGCCATCTCTTTCTCTAGTCCCTTCACTCCACCTCTCTTCTTTCACAATCCTAGCATATTTGAAAATGTGGGAATCACAAGCTAGAAACTAGACCCCCCATAAACGAAAAAACAATTATTTAAAGACAAACCTACCCCTACCCACCCCCACCCCCACCTCCCACCCACAGAAACACACACAAAAGAAAAAAAGGAATCAGCATATGAACTGTTAAAAGACCTCTTAACTTAATTTACTCTCTCTCAAGGAAAAACAAAGAAAGAAAAAGAGGGAAAAGAAAAAAGGTGATCAAGAAGGTCTCTCATACACCCTGAATTGCCATGAGCGCACAGAAACGATTCTGGCAATCATTTTTTTTCCTTTCATTCGGCAATTCATATCACAGACGCACAACACTCTGATAAACCAAGGAACTCTTCATGATAGATAATTCACCGAAAAAAAACAATTCCAATAATAATATTATGGATACTCCAAAACGAAACTTATAAACACGGTATAGTCACCTTGATCAGGATGAATTAAATTATAAAAATTAGGGCCTACAACAAAATACAGTGATGGTTAAAAAAAAAAGTACAGTAGATTACCTTATACCACTAAACCGCCATGGCAATAGCCACGAATTTCAGAGAAATCGCAGTGTAAAGGAAAAGCCCTAGTTGTTGCTCGCCGTCGGCCGTACCCAGAATTAAAATTGGTGCGGGTTTTGGCGGTTGGTTTCCTTTACTTTTGGAAAATGAAAAGAAATGGGTAAAAGGGTAAAAGTTGTAATTCAGAAAATAGATTACAAGTAAATCCCATCTAAAACTAAATTATTAAGTTTTCTTTTTTTTCTTTTTTGAGTAAACTTAATATTTGTTTGGCAAAAGTATACTTTAAAGAAAACCTTTTATCTGGACAATAAGGTATATTAATTAATAAAGATGTTCCTAGTAGGGCTCGCAATTTTGGTTCCGGTTCCATGGATTCGATTAAATCAAATCGCCACCCCCTAGATGCGAGTGAATTTCCATAAATTACCCGATGAAAGAACAACTAGGGATCGCCCCAAGAATCCATTCAATATTAAAGATACTCGATACTCAATTCAAAATGGTTCGTGAAAATGTAGTTTCGACTCGTTTTATTTTTAAATAACGAATCAAATTTGACCATACATTTTCGCTTGATAAGATACTGAGTTCGAGCTCAATTTAATTTAAGCTCAATAAAAATGGAAACATGCATCCGTAAACATAACTAACGCCTAACAACTTCACAAAATGAATCGGCACCTACAAATCCTATGATTTGTTCTAAATGGAGAAAATCAAGAATTCTAAGATCAAAAGAACACATGAAGAAATCAAGAACGTAGCCGCGATACGAAGTTAATTGCAATACAATGACATGATCAAGTATTATGCTATAAATTAGCAAAGATTTACAGGCCAAAAATTGATTGAAACGATTTATATCAAACTGACAACGGTTCTCAAAGCAAAATTCAACCAAAAAAAAAAAACATGTGTATAATTTTTTTTTGTTCCCTTTGTAAAACTGAGAGCATATATATATATATGTGTATAAAGCTTTTGCAAAACAGGACTTCATCATCCCAGAAAACTGACCTACAAGTATTTTGAAGTATATATATATGATATAATATACCTAATATTTTTATTTCTAAAGTCCCTAACAAAATTACCCAACTACTATTCACTCTGCAGTTTCTTTCTCCTCATTCCCCTCTATTGAAGCAGACGTTGCAGTATCAGACGGTGGCTCGTCTACTTGTGCAGAAGATGTGACAGAATCCGAAGCTGTGTCATCAATGGCAAGGCTCGATATTTCAGAAACAATCGAGCAATCATCCTCTACTACGCTCCCTGAAGGTGCAGGTGAAGCCTCACGAGAATATGCTGAAGAATCTTTCGCGACAAGCAGATCGGGAGTGGGGACAAAAGATGGAGAAGCAGAGCCATTGGTTGAAGGTGAAGGAAGAGCAGCTGCACCTGAAGCAGGGGATGGGTTCTCGTCAATGGAAGGTTCCGGAGAACCGCCACGGCTACTGGCGGCAGGTGATGACTCTGATTCGTCCACGGGCTGCTGAAGGCTCCAGTACATAATACTTGCTGTCAGTGTAAGTATCATTTTTTGGTTTACCTGTCAATAACATCAGTTGTTACTTACTAGTGTTCTTGTTAAATAAGAGAATGACAAATTGAACAAGAAAATAAACAAATTGCTCACCTCTATGATATCCTCGGGCAACAAGAAAATTGAACAGCCGAGCTTTCTTGCAACGCTAATTATGTAGGTTGCATTCAGTTTCTTCCCCTCGTCTACAAAAAAGATAACAAGAGGTCGAGTTCCAGTCAATGATTTTTCGAAGTTGGACAAAGATACAGACCATTGAATCATAATCAGAGCAGCAGAAGATAAAATATATTAAGTTATGTCTTGTGAGAATGTAGGAAAATAGTAATTCATATACGACCCGAAGGTGACATTTCCGATAAAAAGAAAATTTTAACGAACTTGTAACCGAAATGCAATAATACACCACTGACACTTTAATAATAAATGCAAAATCTTAATCGGGTAACTTAAACTTTTTGCTACTATGTAACAATTAACTGGGATTAATTAAGTTTACAGTTGGCAACTTACCACTTTCGCCCTTGGATACAAGGTTCCAGTTAACAACTCGTGGCTCACATGCACTGAGAAGCTCAAGAAAGAACAACCCATTTGAAAGGCTCTTATCCTACACAAGCATTCAAAATATCCATCATCGGAGCCGGCCAAAAATTGAAATGTAATTGTAATAATAAGCAAGATATGATGTATGCAAACTGAAGAATATAAGCTTATTATCAACCTTGAAACTTTCCATTTTAGCTTTTCTGCCTGAATTCTTCACTTTTTTGTTGGCCCAGTTCAGAATATCAGCATCTGTAATCTCCTTTTCTTGGAAACGGGATCTTAATTTTTTCAGAAGTTGAAGCATATTAAACCTCATCAACTGCCAAAGGAAAGCTGCAAGTAAACCAAAGGTAATCCAAATTTTAGTTTCAGTTCATCCATCGACCAAATCTGATTTTATAAGAAATGATAACAAAGATTACCACCTCATCAACTAGTAAAATTGGACAACAGAAAACAACGGAAACACTAAATTATAAGGGGAACAACATCGATGTCCAGAGTAGAAAACAAGAACTAGAGCAGGAGGCAAACACGTAAGCAACCGTCGTCTTTGGATTTATTTGAAGGAAAATTACAAGAAGGCAAAAGCCCAAAAACAGCATAAGCTACATTGCAAATCGTCATGCCAAAATCTCATCAAAAGACAGTACAAGGCAGTACTTGATAAGGAAACAGAGTTAATAGAAGCATTTTCTTACTTAATATTTTCCATATATTTTAGGTTAAAATATCAAAAAGCTCAGATGGGAAGTTCCTAGTACTGAGCAAATATCTTTCATCTGCTGGACATAAGGCTTAAACAACTGCCATGATTTCTAAAATACAAACAAAAGAGAGCAAGAAAATCACTTACCAAGTATAAGCTTTTTATTCCCTTGGACAAAATCATTTCCGGCTACATTTACAAGGGAGAGTTTCAACTGCTTCCCTATCCTAACGACTTGGTTGCAGTTCTCCACTTTCCTAAATGGCATTTTTATAGGGGGTTTTGTTGCCTGCTTCCAGTTGACAGATTCTGGAGAAACTTTATCCAACACTTCCAGAAGTATCCACCTGCGTACGTGTGATGCTGGATTAATATGTAGAAAAAGCTAATGTGAAAGATGCCAGAAAATGCAATCCAAACTGAAAAGCTAGTCAACAAATCATCAAAAAAAGAGAAAAAGAAAAAAAATGTCAACATAAGAGAGTTGTATAAAGCTTTGAAACTAACCCATTCCTAACGTCCTCAAACAAGTTATTGACATAAGAGAGAATCCCAAGACTGTTAATCCAAAGGCGGAAGCATCTCTCTTCTCTAGACATTAGCTCATCATCTGTCATCATCTCAGCAAAAGAAACCTTTTTGGTATCTGTGGACAATCCATTCCTGGAAAAAAGAAATCAGTTCCCTAAGAAATTCCCGGAGATTTCAGTAGCAAAGATATATGAAACAAATGTTTATTAATTGAAGATATCAGAACATATAATCTCAGTAAAACAGGGGACTCTTTCAGAGATGAAAGAACTAGCTATCAAGAGTACACATATAGCACACAATAGCAAGATATTTGGACACACTACATTGAACAAATATAGATTTTTTTATTACCTATCAAGAATACACAGCACAGAATTGCAAAATATTTGGAGATAATACATATATTTAATATAGATTTTTTTTATCAAAATATGTGAGTGGTGAATTACAAGCACAGCCTAAGTCCAGTATGTGCCAGCAATAATCCGGTAGAACAACATTAATTCCTTATCAAGAACTTGTGCCAGATTTACAAAAGATTAATATAGCTTTACCATCTAATTCTCCGTTCCTTCCCCATAATACCAAAATGAATAAATTGATTTGTTTACCTCTGGTGGAATATTTGTGCAACAAAAGCAAGATTTAAATTAGATGATCCCTCCACAATATCCTCTGGGGATAGATATCTTTTGCAATCCATTTTCTCTGCATGTTCTAGAACCAAATTAGCCCTTTCAGTGGGATCCTTTGCATCTAAGGTTGCAGTACTGCAGTGCTCTGGAGCGAGTACGTTCAGCAGGTAAGCATAAGCCTCTCCGTCCTGTAGGACATGACAGGAGACCAAAATTACGACAGCTAAAAGTAATTTTTAACTGTAATCCTAGTATGTCTATATATGAATTATAGTTCAGAGAAACAACAAAGTCCTAGTATGTCTATGAATAGACAAAAAGTGTCAATAGCTAATCTCCAAATTAAAAAGATCTCAAAAGTAGAGTCCAAGTTTGATAATGCTTATATTTTTTTAACTCGCCAAAATGTAAGTGCCAATGAAAAGATCTGGTATTCAGGCCACCTCACGGATGGCCATAGGCAACACAAGGAAATATTTTCACCATCAAAACAATCACCAACAAGAAATTGTTACTACAATATTAATCATAAGACAATACACCTTCAAATCAGACGAAAAATTTGATACAGTTTTCTTGTAGCCTGCTTTCTTGAGATGAAAATTCATCCACTTCAACAGAATTTTTTCTGGTGCAAGTCCCATGAGCTCCTCAACATCCTGCATGTATTAATTAACACTTTAGCAAAGTGTATAATTAAGCTCATTCTAAGTTATACATTGTGGACTGAGGAAATTTGACTGCTTAAATCAATTGAGATTTAAAAGTAAATGCAGAACATTACGTTGTTGTCCTCCACCAGTTCCAAGAGCTGGGGTGTCTTTCGGAGATTGAGATCTGACAATAATTGGATCTGAAGGTAACACACAAATGCAGCAGAAAGAAATTATATTAGTAATGATCAACAAGTACACCTAAGTTTGCTATATTCTATTCACTGTAATACAATAATCGTCTCAATGTCCCTTTCTCCTTCTATCTATATCGAAACAGATTGAAAACCTAAGAAATGTTATGAAGGCCAAATGTACTAACCTTTATAATTTGAGAAATTAATCCAAGTAACAGATGAGGCTGCAGTGGAACAAAGAAAACAATATAGTGATCTGGACGGCTAATGATTAATAAGAGAATCCACATCACGCAAACTTATCAACAATAAGCTCAACTTACTCTTCCATCAATAAGGTCCTGAGTGCCAATATTGACTACTGTGCATCCAATAGCCTTTGCAGAGTTAAGGCAAAGTGTGTGATTCTCGTTTCTTTCCCATGGATTGAGTACTCTTTTTGTGTTGATAGCTCGCTCATCTATTGTATTAGGCACTGCAACATTGATCAGCTTGCTACAATAATTCAAAAGGAGAATAAAGCATCAGAAATAATAAGTGTCGACGCCATTCAGGAGCAGAAAACCAAGTCAAAGTCAGTCAGGTTAGAATACCATAAAAGGACTCCATCCTTAGCAAGATCATATAAAGCATTTGACGATGCATCGATTGGAAGAAATTGCTTCAGAAATGGGTCATCCCTGAGGTAGCTATTGATATGAGCAACATACGAAGCCTTTTCAGACTCTATGATAGTGTGAAGAAGGGTCGTTGTGGTGGCTTTAAGGATGGTCGAAGAGGTCTTTGAATTCCCGGATTTGACGCTCGCTCTACTTTGCAATTCCAAGTATGACTGATTATTGGAAGCAACGATAAAGGCGTTATATACAATCCAACTATATATCAATGAGAAAAAAAAAATTATGCCACTTTCCACTTCAGTCAACCATTTCCTCAACAATGTGTTTGTACCCCATAATCCAAATCGAGCTAACAATGCATAACATACGGAAAAAGCTTACCCTGAGGAAGTCTTCAAATTCTACCTCGTCGTTAATATCACGACCTGATTCTCCCAATCCTTGCCTAATCTCCTCCTCGTTAAATGTGTGACTGACACCCTTCAACTTCATCATCAGAGATGGCAAATCTCCAAACGTAACTTTACCATTCTGATTCTTGATTGATATGAACTACAGAAAGAAATAGCAAAAAACAAACCCCCATTCATGTATTGTATACATCAAATTAAGAAACTGCACTTAAACTAGCTTAACCAACTATCGAATTAACAAAGCGCATATTTACCAAAAATTAAGCCCACCAATTCCACATTGATTCAATAACAACAGCCCATGATATAATCGCATCAGCCAACTCAAGGATTCATATCCAGAAAAAAAATAAACAAAAATAAACAAAAAAAAAAGATGGGGATTAAGGAATGTTTACTTTGGATTTGAGGCCGCGAAGCTCGACTTGCGTGAACTGGCTCTGAAGCCATTGATCGGAAACAATAACTCCCACAAAACTAGACATCTCGTCTTTTGCCCCCGCGCCACCACAAAATGGCGGGGAAAATGTTCCAAATCACAATAAAATTAAGTGGTGATTCACCCGAGATTTAAATCTCTGCTTCAATCTAATAAAACCAATATACGCAGGAGAAAATGGGGAAAACAACAACCATGCAACCGAATATAAACACTACGAATCGATAAATCTCCGATGAATACAGTTGCGTTCCTGCCAAACAAAAATCGACAAAAAAATAAATTAAAAATTAAAAAAAAAATCAATCCGAGAAACACAATCGACAACACGCGAATATGTGCAGGCGGCAAGATTCGAAGAACGGTTAAAACGACGATGTGGGGGAGAACGTGGGGGAATTGAACAGTTTTACATGCATACCTGTCAAAGGCAAATCAAGGATTTGTGCAACTCGGTATTCTTTTTTTTCGATCTATTTATTTATTTATTTTTTTATCTTTCTTAGTTTATTTGAAGATTTGACTGCTCGATGTGAATTAATGGAAAATGGAGGTGCAAAATTGCAAATGCAATTGCTTCGGTGAAGGGCAAAGGAGAGAGAAAGTAGAGAGAGAAAGAAAGAGGAGAGAGAGAGATTTTTGGGTGTGGACAGACACGCCAAATGACTGAGGGAAAAATTGAAGCCAGTTATGGAGGCCCAATTTCGACAAGGGCGAGACCCCACACGCGCCCATGATTGGCGACGGAAATGCACGCGCTCTGCTTGTCTCAACACCTCTCAACTGTTTGTAATTACACCTCATCTCTTTATTGCGTCACAACTCACAATAGCCTGCCTGTTTATTATCTCCTCTTATTGGATAAAATCAAAAAATCTTTTATGTTATTTTTATTTTATTAATATAAAATTAATTAAAATAATATTATGTTAATATGATCTTCTTACTAATTTTTTTGGGAAAAAAAAAAGAATATAAATAGCAATTGAGAAAAACCCAAACAAATTATATGATTATTTCAATTGATTCGTACATATTATAAATATATATTTTTGTAATTTAAAATTGATATTGATAATCGCACAGGTGAAATATTAGTATAATCTAATTTTTTGATTAATGTATGAGTTCAGTTTCATCAAATTAATTTAGTGTTATTTAATTTTATAACAAATGGAGTAATATTTTTTTGTTTTTTTTATGACAAGTAAAAAGCAATCGAATTATTAGTTGATATTTTTAATATCCAATAATTAGTTAGTGATTGATTTTATTTTATTTTTGTAGCCATCCACAAATTTTGGTGTGGTTGTAATTGATACCTAAATTTGTGGGCTAATGAAGTTTGAAGGTTCATCCACATATGTAATAAATATTTTTAATTTATTTTTACACGATATAACAATTAACAAACTAAATAAGGATCTATAACACAAGAGAGTTTATATTCAACTATTTACCGGTCAATATATTATGATAATCTAATCATTATATATTACATATAATGCAATTATGACATCAATTAAAACAATAATTCAACCATTATTCACTAAATGCATTATATCGTGACATTTATGACATTTATTTTACTGAATTTGATGTCATAATTGCTTTATTTTCTAGAAATATTTTTATTTCATATTATTTGTCGCTTTAAAATTTTAATATTCCATTAAATACAAATTTTTTTATCTTAATAATTCAACTCTAAATATTAACTCCCTCTAAAAAATGACGGTTAATTTGGAACCAGAGAAGTAAAAATTGTCTAGATATTATTTATTTATCAAAACGAAATAAAAGTATGACTCAATAAAATAAATAAATAAACATAGTCTGACACACACTATTCTGCCTAACTCACTATATAACAGTAGACACTACCTTACAATAAATTGGCACTAATTACTTTGACAAATAACCACACCTATTTCATTATTTGCTAGTTTCAACTTTCAATTATTTATGACGTAATAATTAATTTCACTTCCATCTTATATAATCGAATTATTAACTGTTTAATGTGTACATATTATGATTTATGTACACAACGTGCTGAAATTAAATTAATGATATTCATGTGACACTTTCAAATGGACTGCACGCCTCTTTGTTTGTTTTAAAAATTAGTTATATTTTGTTGTAAATATTAAATGCAAGCAGATGGCCAATACTACATTACACTTCGCCCCGTTTGGCTGGGATACTAGTCGTAATTAACTAAATAATTAAATTTTGTTTCGTGTTATGGGTTTTTAGGGTTTAAGATTTAGGGTTTTAAACTGATGTTAATAAATTCCCGAAAATACCCGTTCCGTTGTACATCGACCCCCTACGATTATAATTCACCTTACCTCGAGCTCGGTCGAGCCAGCTTGACTCATCATCTCTCGGCTCGAGACGAACTCGGGTTCCTTTGAAGTTAATTTCTCATGTCGAAGATGGCCTTATTCGATTTATTTGGGCTGCCCTAAATTGGGTATTGCTCTTGTTGGAAAAGCCCATATGAGATTCTGGCCCATATTAAATTTGTTGAATTTTAAATGCAAATCAGGAAGGGTGATTTGGTAATTTAACTGGTGAAGGGTGATTTGGTAATTTAAGTACTATATATATAATAGAGAGAGAAAGTGAAGGATTGTTGAGAGAGAAACAGCATCCCAAGCGTTTTAGAGAGAGAGAGAGAGAGAGCGCGACAGAGAAGATAAAAACTGAGTGTGAATTTCTCATTACTGGGAGAAACGGAGTGATTGTTCAGTGGCAGATTGGTACAATCGATGAGCGAGAGAGGGGAACCAGCACCGCCATCGGAGATGGTGGTGACGGAGCAACAAATAGCGGAGGCGCTGGGCTCTCTCCTCCGCGACATCAACGCATTCACCACATTGAACGGCGTCGTTCAGCAGCTCGAATCGAAATTAGGCGTCAATTTGAACCACAGAACCGACTTCATCCGTGGCCAGATCCAACAGCATTTCCTCCACATGCAGGCCACCAAACCCCAGAATTTCATGCCCCACCACCAGGACCGTTTCCCCCACCTCCAACCCCCCAATTTCCACGCCGCTCCCTCCCCCCATCACCCACCCCCGAATTTCAGCCCCCATCACACCGCCGAGGGTTTCATTTTCAGCACGCCGCGAACTCAATTGCAATTCTCGCAACCTCCGTTTCCGACTCCGACTCCGACGCCGCCGGTGGGTGTGAAAAACCGCGCTGCTGCCACAGTCGGCGCTTCCACCAAAGAGAGGTGATTTTCTGTTTTCCTTAAAATTCATGATTTTCCCCCTTCTTTTGAGAAAGAAAGAGAAGCTTTTTTGGCATGGGGCCGTTTGGTTGGTGTCGAGTCTGGGAAACCGACCTTTAAACTGCCCACCACCACCTAGGTCATAGGTTTTCCAATTTTTTTATTAATTTAGTATTGATTTCCTAGTTATATTTCTTTGTTTACTGGTTCGGGTACTATTTTCAAATTTAGCTTCGTTTGTTACACATTTCATAATGCTGACAATATAAAATTGTGTAGGAATGCAAGCACTTGTTCTTTCTTATGCTGATGAAAGCACGTAAAACCGTTGCATACTGCTCATAAACCATTTAAAAACTGTAGCATTTTTTTTTTGCTTTCTTCAAATTATTCAATACTCGAAATATCGTGTAGCCCTTCAAACGAAGAATCAGTCAACAACAGAGTAGAAGTGAAGATAGAGAACTATCATAAACCTTGTTTTCAAGAATTGCTCCGAGTACATTGATATTCTGCTTAGCTTATTAAGTATCTCTTTGGCGTGATGTGCTTTGTCTGCAACACTTTTTGCAGTGCTCCAATTGTAAAAAAGAGGAGAGGTGGCCCAGGTGGCCTGAACAAACTGTGTGGTGTTTCTCCTTTGCTTCAACCCATTGTGGGCCAGCCCACCTTGGCGAGGACTGAGGTCTTGTGGCTGTACTCTCTATTTTTCTCTTTATGTTTCGTCCGGATCAATATTTGTGCTTACCTTCTAAAAAGAAGTGTGTTTTGCAGATTGTGAAACAGTTGTGGGCTTACATAAGGAAAAACAACCTTCAAGATCCAAACAATAAAAGGAAGATAATTTGCAACGATGAGCTTCGTTTGGTATTTGAGACAGACTGTACAGACATGTTTAAGATGAACAAATTGCTAGCTAAACATATAATCGCACTTGAGCCTACAAGTATGGATCTGAGTGTAAACATTGCTTTGTGTTCTCTGTCCGGTGACTTTGATGCTTATGATAAATTTGTTATGTGATATTTTTGCAGAACCGAAAGCTCAAAGTGCTAAGAAACCAAAGGTTGATGCAGTGGAATCTGGAAGTAAAGTCGACGACCCTGTTCCCCATGTGATAATATCTGAAGCACTTGCCAGTTTCTTCGGAATTGACGAGAGGGAGATGTCGCAAGCAGAAGTATTAAGACAGATGTGGGAGTACATAAAGGTCAATCATCTTGAGGTATGCAACTGAATAAAATGATTTTGTTTCTTTCTTTTTATTCCAATTTTGTTGCTCTTTCGTTTAATTAAGAAAGAATTGGCCTTCAGTTATATGCTTGAAATATAATTGAACTTGTTCTGCTGCTGTTAGGATCCTTCAAATCCAACGGCTATCATTTGCGATGCAAAACTACAAGAGCTTCTTGGGTGTGAAAATATTTCAGCACTGGGAATACCGGAAATGTTGGCACAACGTTGCTTATATAAGAAGCCATGACCAAGCGGTCAAGCACTGACTGGTAAGTAGAAGGCATCAATTGTTTTGAGTTCTGTGATCTTTTGTTTCTAATACGAGTTTGTAATACTTGAAAAATATTTGCTATCAGTTTGAAGTTCTTTTTACTTTTCCCTTTTGCAGATAAATCCTGTTGACCATAACTTATTTCTGTTCTTGGACCATCTCAGAAGTTTCTTGGTAAGAAGGTTCTATCGGTTTCCGTTTTCGATCATTTAGCTATCAAGTAATGAAGTTGCTTATTTCACCGGCGGCAGTTCCGAAGTTATCATTATCTGTAGTAACTATGGGTTTCCGTTAAGGTTAAGACATATATTCGTTGTAACTTCCCAAACACTGTAAATATAATGAAGGTAGGAGAATAGATGTAAAAGCAGGATATATATTTTACTACTGCTATGCTTTTTGTAGAATGATTATCAGGCTTTAGATCATAGATTGATATATGTATGATGATATCTATTTTTAGGCTGCCTGATTCAGTTTATATTCCTGCTTATTGAAGTATAATGAACTATGGTCCTAGTATTGATTAATTCAAAAGTTAACCGAACTTATCCTGTGATTTTTCTTTTTAACCGATTGTTATCCAGTGTTAACTGGATTTCGTATCGTTCGATCTTATGTTTTTATGTAAGTATTTATATTCCGGGGCAAGCTCAGATCTCCATGTCACAATAAGAATGCAAATGGCATCATCTTTCGTATGGAAAATTTTCACCAACGCATCACTTATTTTCTATTGCAAAATCCGGGGGTATTTTTGTCATCTCATAGAAAAAAAAAAGCGAAGAAAAAATCGCACACGCATGCTGCATGGTAACTTAATTTGGTTAGGTATGATTTTATATATATTGGTATTAATTAATTGCAGTCCCATGCATCCATGGTAACTTAATTCTCTGAGCTTGACAGTTATTTGGAGGTCAATTAATTACTTTCTATTGTTAGTAAGTTGATCAATATTATTACCATCAAAATTGATTTCTTGACAAATAAACATCAATATTTTTTATTTCTTGACAAATAAACAACGAGACAACAAAAGGAAAATACTTTTTGTGGTGTATGCCTATATATATATTATGCCTTACGTACTAAGTACTGATTCTTCATATATAACACAGATATAACACAGAGAGTGATTCTTCATATAACACACAGAGAGATATATTCTTGATTATAACATAAAATAAACAGAAGCATGGAAATTATTAATCCTTATAAAGTGACACCACCATCAGCATGTACAACAACGACGACCGAAGTACCCTCGATCGTTATCGGTAAGTTATACATTTAGTTAGTATTCAATAATATTAATTTTGTAATTCCTAAACACAATAGTTTCCATGCACACACACACACACACACACACACACACACACACACATATATATATATAGTAGAACCTCGACAAATTAATAACATCGTTTAAATAATATATTTTTTAGCGCCCGACTCGAAGACAACATGCTAAAAAGATATTCCGAAAAATTAATATTTCGCTAAATTAATATAATTTGATTGGTCCCAACGCTATTAAATTATAGCGGTTTAACTATATATATCATGACATCGCAGATTCAAATTCTAAATGGGAGTTGTTGGCGGTGTTTTGGTCATGTATGCGCGAAGAGCTATGGTTTTTCTTCTTCCTCACAGTTTTTATTAGTTGCATTACGGAGAATTGGATAACACTCGGATTAGGAGAAGATGCTTTCCCAATTATTCTTTTCCTCACCACGTTAATTGTGGCTGCCGTGATTACTTTTGCTACGCTAGTCGGATTAGCCTATTTTATGTACTCGATTCATAATGGACGCGGACATATAGTTTGCGCGTATTGGAATTCGAACACGCGATTCAACGGATTTTTTTTCGGCGCTTTTAAAGCCACTGCTATTTTCGAACGTATCAAATTAGGTGCAACAAGGAAACCCGAGGCTACTTTTGGGAAGGGGACGACGACTCCCCTCGTGCTCGGTAAGTTAATGTCAAATTAATTAATCATGAAATATATATATTCGATTTTCTTTTCGTAAATATTATTTGAGTAATTATCGTACGTGCAGATTCAACAGCAAAAAGAGAGTTGATGATGGAGTATTGGTTCATGTTGATTAACGAGCTTTTCATATTGTTTTTCACGGTGCTTATTACTTGCCTCTATGGGGTTGGAGTCATAATATACGGAAGAGAAGAAATTGCTTCTCTGTTTGCTGTAGCAATATCGACGGTTGTGGTTAGATTTATTCTTGTTATCGGAAAAGCGTGTATTGTGATTTTATTTCGCACTGGACACGAAGGTACGGTCGTAGCGTGGAATCAGAAGTTGGCAATAATGATCTTGTTCGACACTTTCAAAGCCAACGCTATACTACATAGTCATATTTACATTAACGACGACTCGATTACACCTAATATTCATGATCTAGTGTAGATTAATCGATCCTTTTTTGAACTAA